AACAATGAAATGTGGTGTTTGGAGCTGGAGTTGAACCAGCCACCTTTGGAGAACAGCGTTTCAGGAACTTCTTACAGTCCTCTGCTCTACCAACTGAGCTATGAAGGTGCTTATATATACAAACGCAGAAAACATAGTGGCTTCGGCGAGACACTTTGCCAACAATACAATTGGACCCACATGGTCAATGAAAAAGGTTGAAGAGTGCATACAGCAATGAAATGTGATGTTTGGAGCTGGAGTTGAACCAGCCACCTTCTTACAGTCCTCTGCTCTACCAACTGAGCTATGAAGGTGCTTATATATACAAACGCAGAAAACATAGTGGCTTCGGCGACACACTTTGCCAACAATACAATTGGACCCACATGGTCAATGAAAAAGGTTGAAGAGTGCATACAACAATGAAATGTGGTGTTTGGAGCTGGAGTTGAACCAGCCACCTTTGGAGAACAGCGTTTCAGGAACTTCTTACAGTCCTCTGCTCTACCAACTGAGCTATGAAGGTGCTTATATATACAAACGCAGAAAACATAGTGGCTTCGGCGACACACTTTGCCAACAATACAATTGGACCCACATGGTCAATGAAAAAGGTTGAAGAGTGCATACAGCAATGAAATGTGGTGTTTGGAGCTGGAGTTGAACCAGCCACCTTCTTACAGTCCTCTGCTCTACCAACTGAGCTATGAAGGTGCTTATATATACAAACGCAGAAAACATAGTGGCTTCGGCGACACACTTTGCCAACAATACAATTGGACCCACATGGTCAATGAAAAAGGTTGAAGAGTGCATACAGCAATGAAATGTGGTGTTTGGAGGTGGAGTTGAACCAGCCACCTTTGGAGAACAGCGTTTCAGGAACTTCTTACAGTCCTCTGCTCTACCAACTGAGCTATGAAGGTGCTCATATATACAAACGCAGAAAACATAGTGGCTTCGGCGACACACTTTGCCAACAATACAATTGGACCCACATGGTCAATGAAAAAGGTTGAAGAGTGCATACAGCAATGAAATCTGTTGTTTGGAGCTGGAGTTGAACCGGGCACCTTTGGAACACAGCGTTTCAGGAGCTTCTTATAGTCCTCTGCTCTACCAAGAGAGCTATGAAGGTGCTTATAGACACAAACGCAGAAAACATAGTGGCTTCGGCGACACACTTTGCCAACAATACAATTGGACCCACATGGTCAATGAAAAAGGTTGAAGAGTGCATACAGCAATGAAATGTGGTGTTTGGAGCTGGAGTTGAACCAGCCACCTTTGGAGAACAGCGTTTCAGGAACTTCTTTTCTTACAGTCCTCTGCTCTACCAACTGAGCTATGAAGGAGCTTATATATACAAACGCAGAAAACATAGTGGCTTCGGCGACACACTTTGCCAACAATACAATTGGACCCACATGGTAAATGAAAAACGTTGAAGAGTGTATACAGCAATGAAATGTGGTGTTTGGAGCTGGAGTTGAACCAGCCACCTTTGGAGAACAGCGTTTCAGGAACTTCTTACAGTCCTCTGCTCTACCAACTGAGCCATGAAGGTGGTTATATATACAAACGCAGAAAACATAGTGGCTTCGGCGAGACACTTTGCCAACAATACAATTGGAACCACATGGTCAATGAAAAAGGTTGAAGAGTGCATAAAGCAACGAAATCTGGTGTTTGGAGTTGGAGTTGAACCAGCGACCTTTTGACAACAGCGTTTCAGGAACTTCTTTTCTTACAGTCCTCTGCTCTACCAACTGAGCTATGAAGGTGCTTATATATACAAAAGCAGAAAACATAGTGGCTTCGGCGACACACTTTGCCAACATAACAATCAAGCTATCTGGTCAATGAAAAAGGTTGAAGAGTGCATACAGCAATGAAATGTGGTGTTTGGAGCTGGAGTTGAACCAGCCACCTTTGGAGAACAGCGTTTCAGGAACTTCTTACAGTCCTCTGCTCTACCAACTGAGCTATGAAGGTGCTTTTAGACAAAAACGCAGAAAACATAGTGGCTTCGGCGACACACTTTGCCAACAATACAATTGGACCCACATGGTCAATGAAAAAGGTTGAAGAGTGCATACAGCAATGAAATCTGTTGTTTGGAGCTGGAGTTGAACCGGGCACCTTTGGACCACAGCGTTTCAGGAACTTCTTATAGTCCGCTGCTCAACCAACTGAGCTATGAAGGAGCTTATATATACAAACGCAGAAAACATAGTGGCTTCGGCGACACACTTTGCCAACAATACAATTGGACCCACATGGTCAATGAAAAAGGTTGAAGAGTGCATACAGCAATGAAATGTGGTGTTTGGAGCTGGAGTTGAACCAGCCACCTTTGGACCACAGCGTTTCAGGAAGTTCTTACAGTCCTCTGCTCTAGCAACTGAGCTATGAAGGTGCTTATATATACAAAAGCAGAAAACATAGTGGCTTCGGCGACACACTTTGCCAACAATACAATTGGACCCACATGGTCAATGAAAAAGGTTGAACAGTGCATACAGCAATGAAATCTGGTGTTTGGAGCTGGAGTTGAACCAGCGACCTTTGGACCACAGCATTTCAGGAACTTCTTACAGTCCTCTGCTCTACCAACTGAGCTATGAAGGTGCTTATATATACAAAAGCAGAAAACATAGTGGCTTCGGCGACACACTTTGCCAACAATACAATTGGAACCACATGGTCAATGAAAAAGGTTGAAGAGTGCATAAAGCAACGAAATCTGGTATTTGGAGTTGAACCAGCGACCTTTGGACCACAGCGTTTCAGGAACTTCTTACAGTCCTCTGCTCTACCAACTGAGCTATGAAGGTGCTTATATATACAAAAGCAGAAAACATAGTGGCTTCGGCGACACACTTTGCCAACAATACAATTGGACCCACATGGTCAATGAAAAAGGTTGAACAGTGCATACAGCAATGAAATGTGGTGTTTGGAGCTGGAGTTGAACCAGCGACCTTTGGACCACAGCGTTTCAGGAACTTCTTACAATCCTCTGCTCTAGCCAACTGAGCTATGAAGGTGGTTATATATACAAAAGCAGAAAACATAGTGGCTTCGGCGACACACTTTGCCAACAATACAATTGGAACCACATGGTCAATGAAAAAGGTTGAAGAGTGCATAAAGCAACGAAATCTGGTGTTTGGAGTTGAACCAGCGACCTTTGGACCACAGCGTTTCAGGAACTTCTTACAGTCCTCTGCTCTACCAACTGAGCTATGAAGGTGCTTATATATACAAAAGCAGAAAACATAGTGGCTTCGGCGACACACTTTGCCAACAATACAATTGGACCCACATGGTCAATGAAAAAGGTTGAAGAGTGCATACAGCAATGAAATGTGGTGTTTGGAGCTGGAGTTGAACCAGCCACCTTCTTACAGTCCTCTGCTCTACCAACTGAGCTATGAAGGTGCTTATATATACAAACGCAGAAAACATAGTGGCTTCGGCGACACACTTTGCCAACAATACAATTGGACCCACATGGTCAATGAAAAAGGTTGAAGAGTGCATAAAGCAACGAAATCTGGTGTTTGGAGTTTGAGTTGAACCAGCGACCTTTTGACAACAGCGTTTCAGGAACTTCTTTTCTTAAAGTCCTCTGCTCTACCAACTGAGCTATGAAGGAGCTTATATATACAAACGCAGAAAACATAGTGGCTTCGGCGACACACTTTGCCAAAAATACAATTGGACCCACATGGTCAATGAAAAAGGTTGAAGAGTGCATACAGCAATGAAATGTGGTGTTTGGAGATGGAGTTGAACCAGCGACCTTTGGACAACAGCGTTTCAGGAACTTCTTACAGTCCTCTGCTCTACCAACTGAGCTATGAAGGTGCTTATATAAACGCAGAAAACATAGTGGCTTCGGCGACACACTTTGCCAACAATACAATTGGACCCACATGGTCAATGAAAAAGGTTGAAGAGTGCATACAGCAATGAAATCTGTTGTTTGGAGCTGGAGTTGAACCGGCCACCTTTGGACAACAGCGTTTCAGGAGCTTCTTACAGTCCTCTGCTCTACCAAGTGAGCTATGAAGGTGCTTATAGACACAAACGCAGAAAACATAGTGGCTTCGGCGACACACTTTGCCAACAATACAATTGGACCCACATGGTCAATGAAAAAGGTTGAAGAGTGCATACAACAATGAAATGTGGTGTTTGGAGCTGGAGTTGAACCAGCCACCTTTGGAGAACAGCGTTTCAGGAACTTCTTACAGTCCTCTGCTCTACCAACTGAGCTATGAAGGTGCTTATATATACAAACGCAGAAAACATAGTGGCTTCGGCGAGACACTTTGCCAACAATACAATTGGACCCACATGGTCAATGAAAAAGGTTGAAGAGTGCATACAGCAATGAAATGTGATGTTTGGAGCTGGAGTTGAACCAGCCACCTTCTTACAGTCCTCTGCTCTACCAACTGAGCTATGAAGGTGCTTATATATACAAACGCAGAAAACATAGTGGCTTCGGCGACACACTTTGCCAACAATACAATTGGACCCACATGGTCAATGAAAAAGGTTGAAGAGTGCATACAACAATGAAATGTGGTGTTTGGAGCTGGAGTTGAACCAGCCACCTTTGGAGAACAGCGTTTCAGGAACTTCTTACAGTCCTCTGCTCTACCAACTGAGCTATGAAGGTGCTTATATATACAAACGCAGAAAACATAGTGGCTTCGGCAACACACTTTGCCAACAATACAATTGGACCCACATGGTCAATGAAAAAGGTTGAAGAGTGCATACAGCAATGAAATGTGGTGTTTGGAGCTGGAGTTGAACCAGCCACCTTCTTACAGTCCTCTGCTCTACCAACTGAGCTATGAAGGTGCTTATATATACAAACGCAGAAAACATAGTGGCTTCGGCGACACACTTTGCCAACAATACAATTGGACCCACATGGTCAATGAAAAAGGTTGAAGAGTGCATACAGCAATGAAATGTGGTGTTTGGAGGTGGAGTTGAACCAGCGACCTTTGGATCACAGCGTTTCAGGAACTTCTTACAGTCCTCTGCTCTACCAACTGAGCTATGAAGGTGCTCATATATACAAACGCAGAAAACATAGTGGCTTCGGCGACACACTTTGCCAACAATAAAATTGGACCCACATGGTCAATGAAAAAGGTTGAAGAGTGCATACAGCAATGAAATCTGTTGTTTGGAGCTGGAGTTGAACCGGGCACCTTTGGAACACAGCGTTTCAGGAGCTTCTTATAGTCCTCTGCTCTACCAAGAGAGCTATGAAGGTGCTTATAGACACAAACGCAGAAAACATAGTGGCTTCGGCGACACACTTTGCCAACAATACAATTGGACCCACATGGTCAATGAAAAAGGTTGAAGAGTGCATACAGCAATGAAATGTGGTGTTTGGAGCTGGAGTTGAACCAGCCACCTTTGGAGAACAGCGTTTCAGGAACTTCTTTTCTTACAGTCCTCTGCTCTACCAACTGAGCTATGAAGGAGCTTATATATACAAACGCAGAAAACATAGTGGCTTCGGCGACACACTTTGCCAACAATACAATTGGACCCACATGGTAAATGAAAAACGTTGAAGAGTGTATACAGCAATGAAATGTGGTGTTTGGAGCTGGAGTTGAACCAGCCACCTTTGGAGAACAGCGTTTCAGGAACTTCTTACAGTCCTCTGCTCTACCAACTGAGCCATGAAGGTGGTTATATATACAAACGCAGAAAACATAGTGGCTTCGGCGAGACACTTTGCCAACAATACAATTGGACCCACATGGTCAATGAAAAAGGTTGAAGAGTGCATACAGCAATGAAATCTGTTGTTTGGAGCTGGAGTTGAACCGGCCACCTTTGGACCACAGCGTTTCAGGAGCTTCTTACAGTCCTCTGCTCTACCAAGTGAGCTATGAAGGTGCTTATAGACACAAACGCAGAAAACATAGTGGCTTCGGCGACACACTTTGCCAACAATACAATTGGACCCACATGGTCAATGAAAAAGGTTGAAGAGTGCATACAGCAATGAAATGTGGTGTTTGGAGCTGGAGTTGAACCAGCCACCTTTGGAGAACAGCGTTTCAGGAACTTCTTACAGTCCTCTGCTCTACCAACTGAGCTATGAAGGTGCTTATATATACAAACGCAGAAAACATAGTGGCTTCGGCGAGACACTTTGCCAACAATACAATTGGACCCACATGGTCAATGAAAAAGGTTGAAGAGTGCATACAGCAATGAAATGTGGTGTTTGGAGCTGGAGTTGAACCAGCCACCTTTGGACCACAGCGTTTCAGGAACTTCTTACAGTCCTCTGCTCTACCAACTGAGCTATGAAGGTGCTTATATATACAAAAGCAGAAAACATAGTGGCTTCGGTGACACACTTTGCCAACAATACAATTGGAACCACATGGTCAATGAAAAAGGTTGAAGAGTGCATAAAGCAACGAAATCTGTTGTTTGGAGCTGGAGTTGAACCGGCCACCTTTGGACCACAGCGTTTCAGGAACTTCTTACAGTCCTCTGCTCTACCAAGTGAGCTATGAAGGTGCTTATAGACACAAACGCAGAAAACATAGTGGCTTCGGCGACACACTTTGCCAACAATACAATTGGAACCACATGGTCAATGAAAAAGGTTGAAGAGTGCATAAAGCAACGAAATCTGTTGTTTGGAGCTGGAGTTGAACCGGCCACCTTTGGACCACAGCGTTTCAGGAACTTCTTACAGTCCTCTGCTCTACCAAGTGAGCTATGAAGGTGCTTATAGACACAAACGCAGAAAACATAGTGGCTTCGGCGACACACTTTGCCAACAATACAATTGGACCCACATGGTCAATGAAAAAGGTTGAAGAGTGCATACAGCAATGAAATGTGGTGTTTGGAGCTGGAGTTGAACCAGCCACCTTTGGAGAACAGCGTTTCAGGAACTTCTTACAGTGCTCTGCTCTACCAACTGAGCTATGAAGGTGCTTATATATACAAAAGCAGAAAACATAGTGGCTTCGGCGACACACTTTGCCAACAATACAATTGGAACCACATGGTCAATGAAAAAGGTTGAAGAGTGCATAAAGCAAGGAAATCTGGTATTTGGAGTTGGAGTTGAACCAGCAACCTTTGGACCACAGCGTTTCAGGAGCTTCTTATAGTCCCCTGCTCTACCAACTGAGCTATGAAGGTGCTTATATATACAAAAGCAGAAAACATAGTGGCTTCGGCGACACACTTTGCCAACAATACAATTGGACCCACATGGTCAATGAAAAAGGTTGAAGAGTGCATACAGCAATGAAATGTGGTGTTTGGAGTTGGAGTTGAACCAGCCACCTTTGGACCACAGCGTTTCAGGAACTTCTTACAGTCCTCTGCTCTACCAACTGAGCTATGAAGGTGCTTATATATACAAAAGCAGAAAACATAGTGGCTTCGGCGACACACTTTGCCAACAATACAATTGGAACCACATGGTCAATGAAAAAGATTGAAGAGTGCATAAAGCAAGGAAATCTGGTGTTTGGAGTTGGAGTTGAACCAGCGACCTTTTGACAACAGCGTTTCAGGAACTTCTTTTCTTACAGTCCTCTGCTCTACCAACTGAGCTATGAAGGAGCTTATATATACAAAGCAGAAAACATAGTGGCTACGGCGACACACTTTGCCAACAATACAATTGGACCCACATGGTCAATGAAAAAGGTTGAAGAGTGCATACAGCAATGAAATCTGTTGTTTGGAGCTGGAGTTGAACCGGCCACCTTTGGACCACAGCGTTTCAGGAGCTTCTTACAGTCCTCTGCTCTACCAACTGAGCTATGAAGGTGCTTATAGACACAAACGCAGAAAACATAGTGGCTTCGGCGACACACTTTGCCAACAATACAATTGGACCCACATGGTCAATGAAAAAGGTTGAAGAGTGCATACAGCAATGAAATGTGGTGTTTGGAGCTGGAGTTGAACCAGCCACCTTTGGAGAATAGCGTTTCAGGAACTACTTACAGTCCTCTGCTCTACCAACTGAGCTATGAAGGTGCTTATATATACAAACGCAGAAAACATAGTGGCTTCGGCGAGACACTTTGCCAACAATACAATTGGACCCACATGGTCAATGAAAAAGGTTGAAGAGTGCATACAGCAATGAAATGTGGTGTTTGGAGCTGGAGTTGAACCAGCCACCTTCTGACAGTCCTCTGCTCTACCAACTGAGCTATGAAGGTGCTTATATATACAAACGCAGAAAACATAGTGGCTTCGGCGAGACACTTTGCCAACAATACAATTGGACCCACATGGTCAATGAAAAAGGTTGAAGAGTGCATAAAGCAAGGTAATCTGGTGCTTGGAGTTGGAGTTGAACCGGGCACCTTTGGACCACAGCGTTTCAGGAACTTCTTACAGTCCTCTGCTCTACCAACTGAGCTATGAAGGTGCTTATATATACAAAAGAAGAAAACATAGTGGCTTCGGCGACACACTTTGCCAACAATACAATTGGACCCACATGGTCAATGAAAAAGGTTGAAGAGTGCATACAGCAATGAAATGTGGTGTTTGGAGATGGAGTTGAATCAGCGACCTTTGGACCACAGCGTTTCAGGAACTTCTTACAGTCCTCTGCTCTACCAACTGAGCTATGAAGGTGCTTATATAAACGCAGAAAACATAGTGGCTTCGGCGACACACTTTGCCAACAATACAATTGGACCCACATGGTCAATGAAAAAGGTTGAAGAGTGCATACAGCAATGAAATCTGTTGTTTGGAGCTGGAGTTGAACCGGCCACCTTTGGACAACAGCGTTTCAGGAGCTTCTTACAGTCCTCTACTCTACCAAGTGAGCTATGAAGGTGCTTATAGACACAAACGCAGAAAACATAGTGGCTTCGGCGACACACTTTGCCAACAATACAATTGGACCCACATGGTCAATGAAAAAGGTTGAAGAGTGCATACAGCAATGAAATGTGGTGTTTGGAGCTGGAGTTGAACCAGCCACCTTTGGAGAACAGCGTTTCAGGAACTTCTTACAGTCCTCTGCTCTACCAACTGAGCTATGAAGGTGCTTATATATACAAACGCAGAAAACATAGTGGCTTCGGCGAGACACTTTGCCAACAATACAATTGGACCCACATGGTCAATGAAAAAGGTTGAAGAGTGCATACAGCAATGAAATGTGGTGTTTGGAGCTGGAGTTGAACCAGCCACCTTTGGAGAACAGCGTTTCAGGAACTTCTTACAGTCCTCTGCTCTACCAACTGAGCTATGAAGGTGCTTATATATACAAACGCAGAAAACATAGTGGCTTCGGCGAGACACTTTGCCAACAATACAATTGGACCCACATGGTCAATGAAAAAGGTTGAAGAGTGCATACAGCAATGAAATGTGGTGTTTGGAGCTGGAGTTGAACCAGCCACCTTCTTACAGTCCTCTGCTCTACCAACTGAGCTATGAAGGTGCTTATATATACAAACGCAGAAAACATAGTGGCTTCGGCGAGACACTTTGCCAACAATACAATTGGACCCACATGGTCAATGAAAAAGGTTGAACAGTGCATAAAGCAATGAAATGTGGTGTTTAGAGCTGGAGTTGAACCAGCGACCTTTGGACCACAGCGTTTCAGGAACTTCTTACAGTCCTCTGCTCTACCAACTGAGCTATGAAGGTGCTTATATAAACGCAGAAAACATAGTGGCTTCGGCGAGACACTTTGCCAACAATACAATTGGACCCACATGGTCAATGAAAAAGGTTGAAGAGTGCATACAGCAATGAAATGTGGTGTTTGGAGTTGGAGTTGAACCAGCCACCTTTGGACCACAGCGTTTCAGGAACTTCTTACAGTCCTCTGCTCTACCAACTGAGCTATGAAGGTGCTTATATATACAAAAGCAGAAAACATAGTGGCTTCGGCGACACACTTTGCCAACAATACAATTGGAACCACATGGTCAATGAAAAAGATTGAAGAGTGCATAAAGCAAGGAAATCTGGTGTTTGGAGTTGGAGTTGAACCAGCGACCTTTTGACAACAGCGTTTCAGGAACTTCTTTTCTTACAGTCCTCTGCTCTACCAACTGAGCTATGAAGGAGCTTATATATACAAAGCAGAAAACATAGTGGCTACGGCGACACACTTTGCCAACAATACAATTGGACGCACATGGTCAATAAAAAAGGTTGAAGAGTGCATACAGCAATGAAATGTGGTGTTTGGAGCTGGAGTTGAACCAGCGACCTTTTGACCACAGCGTTTCAGGAGCTTCTTACAGTCCTCTGCTCTACCAAGTGAGCTATGAAGGTGCTTATATATACAAACGCAGAAAACATAGTGGCTTCGGCGACACACTTTGCCAACAATACAATTGGACCCACATGGTCAATGAAAAAGGTTGAAGAGTGCATACAGCAATGAAATCTGTTGTTTGGAGCTGGAGTTGAACCGGCCACCTTTGGACCACAGCGTTTCAGGAGCTTCTTACAGTCCTCTGCTCTACCAACTGAGCTATGAAGGTGCTTATAGACACAAACGCAGAAAACATAGTGGCTTCGGCGACACACTTTGCCAACAATACAATTGGACCCACATGGTCAATGAAAAAGGTTGAAGAGTGCATACAGCAATGAAATGTGGTGTTTGGAGCTGGAGTTGAACCAGCCACCTTTGGAGAATAGCGTTTCAGGAACTACTTACAGTCCTCTGCTCTACCAACTGAGCTATGAAGGTGCTTATATATACAAACGCAGAAAACATAGTGGCTTCGGCGAGACACTTTGCCAACAATACAATTGGACCCACATGGTCAATGAAAAAGGTTGAAGAGTGCATACAGCAATGAAATGTGGTGTTTGGAGCTGGAGTTGAACCAGCCACCTTCTGACAGTCCTCTGCTCTACCAACTGAGCTATGAAGGTGCTTATATATACAAACGCAGAAAACATAGTGGCTTCGGCGACACACTTTGCCAACAATACAATTGGACCCACATGGTCAATGAAAAAGGTTGAAGAGTGCATAAAGCAAGGTAATCTGGTGCTTGGAGTTGGAGTTGAACCGGGCACCTTTGGACCACAGCGTTTCAGGAACTTCTTACAGTCCTCTGCTCTACCAACTGAGCTATGAAGGTGCTTATATATACAAAAGAAGAAAACATAGTGGCTTCGGCGACACACTTTGCCAACAATACAATTGGACCCACATGGTCAATGAAAAAGGTTGAAGAGTGCATACAGCAATGAAATGTGGTGTTTGGAGATGGAGTTGAATCAGCGACCTTTTGACCACAGCGTTTCAGGAACTTCTTACAGTCCTCTGCTCTACCAACTGAGCTATGAAGGTGCTTATATAAACGCAGAAAACATAGTGGCTTCGGCGACACACTTTGCCAACAATACAATTGGACCCACATGGTCAATGAAAAAGGTTGAAGAGTGCATACAGCAATGAAATCTGTTGTTTGGAGCTGGAGTTGAACCGGCCACCTTTGGACAACAGCGTTTCAGGAGCTTCTTACAGTCCTCTACTCTACCAAGTGAGCTATGAAGGTGCTTATAGACACAAACGCAGAAAACATAGTGGCTTCGGCGACACACTTTGCCAACAATACAATTGGACCCACATGGTCAATGAAAAAGGTTGAAGAGTGCATACAGCAATGAAATGTGGTGTTTGGAGCTGGAGTTGAACCAGCCACCTTTGGAGAACAGCGTTTCAGGAACTTCTTACAGTCCTCTGCTCTACCAACTGAGCTATGAAGGTGCTTATATATACAAACGCAGAAAACATAGTGGCTTCGGCGAGACACTTTGCCAACAATACAATTGGACCCACATGGTCAATGAAAAAGGTTGAAGAGTGCATACAGCAATGAAATGTGGTGTTTGGAGCTGGAGTTGAACCAGCCACCTTTGGAGAACAGCGTTTCAGGAACTTCTTACAGTCCTCTGCTCTACCAACTGAGCTATGAAGGTGCTTATATATACAAACGCAGAAAACATAGTGGCTTCGGCGAGACACTTTGCCAACAATACAATTGGACCCACATGGTCAATGAAAAAGGTTGAAGAGTGCATACAGCAATGAAATGTGGTGTTTGGAGCTGGAGTAGAACCAGCCACCTTCTTACAGTCCTCTGCTCTACCAACTGAGCTATGAAGGTGCTTATATATACAAACGCAGAAAACATAGTGGCTTCGGCGAGACACTTTGCCAACAATACAATTGGACCCACATGGTCAATGAAAAAGGTTGAACAGTGCATAAAGCAATGAAATGTGGTGTTTAGAGCTGGAGTTGAACCAGCGACCTTTGGACCACAGCGTTTCAGGAACTTCTTACAGTCCTCTGCTCTACCAACTGAGCTATGAAGGTGCTTATATAAACGCAGAAAACATAGTGGCTTCGGCGAGACACTTTGCCAACAATACAATTGGACCCACATGGTCAATGAAAAAGGTTGAAGAGTGCATACAGCAATGAAATGTGGTGTTTGGAGCTGGAGTTGAACCAGCCACCTTTGGAGAACAGCGTTTCAGGAACTTCTTACAGTCCTCTGCTCTACCAACTGAGCTATGAAGGTGCTTATATATACAAACGCAGAAAACATAGTGGCTTCGGCGACACACTTTGCCAACAATACAATTGGACCCACATGGTCAATGAAAAAGGTCTAAGAGTGCATAAAGCAGCGAAATCTGGTGTTTGGAGTTGGAGTTGAACCAGCGACCTTTGGAACACAGCGTTTCAGGAACTTATTACAGTCCTCTGCTCTACCAACTGAGCTATGAAGGTGCTTATATAAACAAAAGCAGAAAACATAGTGGCTTCGGCGACACACTTTGCCAACAATACAATTGGAACCACATGGTCAATGAAAAAAGGTTGAAGAGTGCATAAAATGAAATTGGTGTTTGGAGTGGAGTTGAACAACCTTTGGACAAGCGTTTCAGGAACTTCTTACAGTCCTCTGCTCTACCAACTGAGCTATGAAGGTGCTATAACAAACGCAGAAAACATAGTGGCTTCGGCGACACTTTGCCAACAATACAATTGGACCCACATGGTCAATGAAAAAGGTTGAAGAGTGCATACAGCAATGAAATTGGTGTTTGGAGCTGGAGTTGAACCAGCCCTTTGGAACAGCGTTTCAGGACTTCTACAGTCCTCTGCTCTACCAACTGAGCTATGAAGGTGCTTATAGAGAAAACATAGTGGCTTCGGCGACACACTTTGCCAACAATACAATTGGACCCACATGGTCAATGAAAAAGGTTGAAGAGTGCATACAGCAATGAAATGTGGTGTTTGGAGCTGGAGTTGAACCAGCCACCTTTGGAGAACAGCGTTTCAGGAACTTCTTTTCTTACAGTCCTCTGCTCTACCAACTGAGCTATGAAGGAGCTTATATATACAAACGCAGAAAACATAGTGGCTTCGGCGACACACTTTGCCAACAATACAATTGGACCCACATGGTCAATGAAAAAGGTTGAAGAGTGCATACAGCAATGAAATGTGGTGTTTGGAGCTGGAGTTGAACCAGCCACCTGTGGAGAACAGCGTTTCAGGAACTTCTTACAGTCCTCTGCTCTACCAACTGAGCTATGAAGGTGCTTATATATACAAACGCAGAAAACATAGTGGCTTCGGCGAGACACTTTGCCAACAATACAATTGGACCCACATGGTCAATGAAAAAGGTTGAAGAGTGCATACAGCAATGAAATCTGTTGTTTGGAGCTGGAGTTGAACCGGCCACCTTTGGACCACAGCGTTTCAGGAACTTCTTACAGTCCTCTGCTCTACCAACTGAGCTATGAAGGTGCTTATAGACACAAACGCAGAAAACATAGTGGCTTCAGCGACACACTTTGCCAACAATACAATTGGACCCACATGGTCAATGAAAAAGGTTGAAGAGTGCATACAGCAATGAAATGTGGTGTTTGGAGCTGGAGTTGAACCAGCCACCTTTGGAGAACAGCGTTTCAGGAACTTCTTACAGTCCTCTGCTCTACCAACTGAGCTATGAAGGTGCTTATATATACAAACAAAGAAAACATAGTGGCTTCGGCGAGACACTTTGCCAACAATACAATTGGACCCACATGGTCAATGAAAAAGGTTGAAGAGTGCATACAGCAATGAAATGTGGTGTTTGGAGCTGGAGTTGAACCAGCCACCTTTGGAGAACAGCGTTTCAGGAACTTCTTACAGTCCTCTGCTCTACCAACTGAGCTATGAAGGTGCTTATATATACAAAAGCAGAAAACATAGTGGCTTCGGTGACACACTTTGCCAACAATACAATTGGTACCACATGGTCAATGAAAAAGGTTGAAGAGTGCATAAAGCAACGAAATCTGGTGTTTGGAGTTGGAGTTGAACCGGCACCTTTGGACCACAGCGTTTCAGGAACTTCTTACAGTCCTCTGCTCTACCAACTGAGCTATGAAGGTGCTTATATATACAAAAGCAGAAAACATAGTGGCTTCGGCGACACACTTTGCCAACAATACAATTGGAACCACATGGTCAATGAAAAAGGTTGAAGAGTGCATAAAGCAACGAAATCTGTTGTTTGGAGCTGGAGTTGAACCGGCCACCTTTGGACCACAGCGTTTCAGGAACTTCTTACAGTCCTCTGCTCTACCAAGTGAGCTATGAAGGTGCTTATAGACACAAACGCAGAAAACATAGTGGCTTCGGCGACACACTTTGCCAACAATACAATTGGACCCACATGGTCAATGAAAAAGGTTGAAGAGTGCATACAGCAATGAAATGTGGTGTTTGGAGCTGGAGTTGAACCAGCCACCTTTGGAGAACAGCGTTTCAGGAACTTCTTACAGTGCTCTGCTCTACCAACTGAGCTATGAAGGTGCTTATATATACAAAAGCAGAAAACATAGTGGCTTCGGCGACACACTTTGCCAACAATACAATTGGAACCACATGGTCAATGAAAAAGGTTGAAGAGTGCATAAAGCAAGGAAATCTGGTATTTGGAGTTGGAGTTGAACCAGCAACCTTTGGACCACAGCGTTTCAGGAGCTTCTTATAGTCCCCTGCTCTACCAACTGAGCTATGAAGGTGCTTATATATACAAAAGCAGAAAACATAGTGGCTTCGGCGACACACTTTGCCAACAATACAATTGGACCCACATGGTCAATGAAAAAGGTTGAAGAGTGCATACAGCAATGAAATGTGGTGTTTGGAGTTGGAGTTGAACCAGCCACCTTTGGACCACAGCGTTTCAGGAACTTCTTACAGTCCTCTGCTCTACCAACTGAGCTATGAAGGTGCTTATATATACAAAAGCAGAAAACATAGTGGCTTCGGCGACACACTTTGCCAACAATACAATTGGAACCACATGGTCAATGAAAAAGATTGAAGAGTGCATAAAGCAAGGAAATCTGGTGTTTGGAGTTGGAGTTGAACCAGCGACCTTTTGACAACAGCGTTTCAGGAACTTCTTTTCTTACAGTCCTCTGCTCTACCAACTGAGCTATGAAGGAGCTTATATATACAAAGCAGAAAACATAGTGGCTACGGCGACACACTTTGCCAACAATACAATTGGACCCACATGGTCAATGAAAAAGGTTGAAGAGTGCATACAGCAATGAAATCTGTTGTTTGGAGCTGGAGTTGAACCGGCCACCTTTGGACCACAGCGTTTCAGGAGCTTCTTACAGTCCTCTGCTCTACCAACTGAGCTATGAAGGTGCTTATAGACACAAACGCAGAAAACATAGTGGCTTCGGCGACACACTTTGCCAACAATACAATTGGACCCACATGGTCAATGAAAAAGGTTGAAGAGTGCATACAGCAATGAAATGTGGTGTTTGGAGCTGGAGTTGAACCAGCCACCTTTGGAGAATAGCGTTTCAGGAACTACTTACAGTCCTCTGCTCTACCAACTGAGCTATGAAGGTGCTTATATATACAAACGCAGAAAACATAGTGGCTTCGGCGAGACACTTTGCCAACAATACAATTGGACCCACATGGTCAATGAAAAAGGTTGAAGAGTGCATACAGCAATGAAATGTGGTGTTTGGAGCTGGAGTTGAACCAGCCACCTTCTGACAGTCCTCTGCTCTACCAACTGAGCTATGAAGGTGCTTATATATACAAACGCAGAAAACATAGTGGCTTCGGCGAGACACTTTGCCAACAATACAATTGGACCCACATGGTCAATGAAAAAGGTTGAAGAGTGCATAAAGCAAGGTAATCTGGTGCTTGGAGTTGGAGTTGAACCGGGCACCTTTGGACCACAGCGTTTCAGGAACTTCTTACAGTCCTCTGCTCTACCAACTGAGCTATGAAGGTGCTTATATATACAAACGCAGAAAACATAGTGGCTTCGGCGACACACTTTGCCAACAATACAATTGGACCCACATGGTCAATGAAAAAGGTTGAAGAGTGCATACAGCAATGAAATCTGGTGTTTGGAGCTGGAGTTGAACCAGCGACCTTTGGACCACAGCGTTTCAGGAACTTCTTACAGTCCTCTGCTCTACCAACTGAGCTATGAAGGTGCTTATATATACAAACGCAGAAAACATAGTGGCTTCGGCGACACACTTTGCCAACAATACAATTGGACCCACATGGTCAATGAAAAAGGTTGAAGAGTGCATACAGCAATGAAATCTGTTGTTTGGAGCTGGAGTTGAACCGGCCACCTTTGGACCACAGCGTTTCAGGAACTTCTTACAGTCCTCTGCTCTACCAAGTGAGCTATGAAGGTGCTTATAGACACAAACGCAGAAAACATAGTGGCTTCGGCGACACACTTTGCCAACAATACAATTGGACCCACATGGTCAATGAAAAAGGTTGAAGAGTGCATACAGCAATGAAATGTGGTGTTTGGAGCTGGAGTTGAACCAGCCACCTTTGGACACAGCGTTTCAGGAACTTCTTACAGTCCTCTGCTCTACCAACTGAGCTATGAAGGTGCTTATATATACAAACGCAGAAAACATAGTGGCTTCGGCGACACACTTTGCCAACAATACAATTGGACCCACATGGTCAATGAAAAAGGTTGAAGAGTGCATACAGCAATGAAATGTGGTGTTTGGAGCTGGAGTTGAACCAGCCACCTTTGGACCACAGCGTTTCAGGAACTTCTTACAGTCCTCTGCTCTACCAACTGAGCTATGAAGGTGCTTATATATACAAACGCAGAAAACATAGTGGCTTCGGCGACACACTTTGCCAACAATACAATTGGACCCACATGGTCAATGAAAAAGGTTGAAGAGTGCATACAGCAATGAAATGTGGTGTTTGGAGCTGGAGTTGAACCAGCCACCTTCTTACAGTCCTCTGCTCTACCAACTGAGCTATGAAGGTGCTTATATATACAAACGCAGAAAACATAGTGGCTTCGGCGAGACACTTTGCCAACAATACAATTGGACCCACATGGTCAATGAAAAAGGTTGAACAGTGCATAAAGCAATGAAATGTGGTGTTTAGAGCTGGAGTTGAACCAGCGACCTTTGGACCACAGCGTTTCAGGAACTTCTTACAGTCCTCTGCTCTACCAACTGAGCTATGAAGGTGCTTATATAAACGCAGAAAACATAGTGGCTTCGGCGAGACACTTTGCCAACAATACAATTGGACCCACATGGTCAATGAAAAAGGTTGAAGAGTGCATACAGCAATGAAATGTGGTGTTTGGAGTTGGAGTTGAACCAGCCACCTTTGGACCACAGCGTTTCAGGAACTTCTTACAGTCCTCTGCTCTACCAACTGAGCTATGAAGGTGCTTATATATACAAAAGCAGAAAACATAGTGGCTTCGGCGACACACTTTGCCAACAATACAATTGGAACCACATGGTCAATGAAAAAGATTGAAGAGTGCATAAAGCAAGGAAATCTGGTGTTTGGAGTTGGAGTTGAACCAGCGACCTTTTGACAACAGCGTTTCAGGAACTTCTTTTCTTACAGTCCTCTGCTCTACCAACTGAGCTATGAAGGAGCTTATATATACAAAGCAGAAAACATAGTGGCTACGGCGACACACTTTGCCAACAATACAATTGGACGCACATGGTCAATAAAAAAGGTTGAAGAGTGCATACAGCAATGAAATGTGGTGTTTGGAGCTGGAGTTGAACCAGCGACCTTTTGACCACAGCGTTTCAGGAGCTTCTTACAGTCCTCTGCTCTACCAAGTGAGCTATGAAGGTGCTTATATATACAAACGCAGAAAACATAGTGGCTTCGGCGACACACTTTGCCAACAATACAATTGGACCCACATGGTCAATGAAAAAGGTTGAAGAGTGCATACAGCAATGAAATGTGGTGTTTGGAGCTGGAGTTGAACCGGCCACCTTTGGACCACAGCGTTTCAGGAACTTCTTACAGTCCTCTGCTCTACCAACTGAGCTATGAAGGTGCTTATATATACAAACGCAGAAAACATAGTGGCTTCGGCGACACACTTTGCCAACAATACAATTGGACCCACATGGTCAATGAAAAAGGTTGAAGAGTGCATACAGCAATGAAATGTGGTGTTTGGAGCTGGAGTTGAACCAGCCACCTTTGGACAACAGCGTTTCAGGAACTTCTTACAGTCCTCTGCTCTACCAACTGAGCTATGAAGGTGCTTATATATACAAACGCAGAAAACATAGTGGCTTCGGCGACACACTTTGCCAACAATACAATTGGACCCACATGGTCAATGAAAAAGGTTGAAGAGTGCATACAGCAATGAAATGTGGTGTTTGGAGCTGGAGTTGAACCAGCCACCTTCTGACAGTCCTCTGCTCTACCAACTGAGCTATGAAGGTGCTTATATATACAAACGCAGAAAACATAGTGGCTTCGGCGACACACTTTGCCAACAATACAATTGGACCCACATGGTCAATGAAAAAGGTTGAAGAGTGCATAAAGCAAGGTAATCTGGTGCTTGGAGTTGGAGTTGAACCAGCGACCTTTGGACCACAGCGTTTCAGGAACTTCTTACAGTCCTCTGCTCTACCAACTGAGCTATGAAGGTGCTTATATATACAAACGAAGAAAACATAGTGGCTTCGGCGACACACTTTGCCAACAATACAATTGGACCCACATGGTCAATGAAAAAGGTTGAAGAGTGCATACAGCAATGAAATGTGGTGTTTGGAGCTGGAGTTGAACCAGCGACCTTTTGACCACAGCGTTTCAGGAACTTCTTACAGTCCTCTGCTCTACCAACTGAGCTATGAAGGTGCTTATATATACAAACGCAGAAAACATAGTGGCTTCGGCGACACACTTTGCCAACAATACAATTGGACCCACATGGTCAATGAAAAAGGTTGAAGAGTGCATAAAGCAATGAAATCTGTTGTTTGGAGCTGGAGTTGAACCGGCACCTTTGGACCACAGCGTTTCAGGAACTTCTTACAGTCCTCTGCTCTACCAACTGAGCTATGAAGGAGCTTATATATACAAACGCAGAAAACATAGTGGCTTCGGCGACACACTTTGCCAACAATACAATTGGACCCACATGGTCAATGAAAAAGGTTGAAGAGTGCATACAGCAATGAAATGTGGTGTTTGGAGCTGGAGTTGAACCAGCCACCTTTGGAGAACAGCGTTTCAGGAACTTCTTACAGTCCTCTGCTCTACCAACTGAGCTATGAAGGTGCTTATATATACAAACGCAGAAAACATAGTGGCTTCGGCGACACACTTTGCCAACAATACAATTGGAACCACATGGTCAATGAAAAAGGTTGAAGAGTGCATAAAGCAACGAAATCTGTTGTTTGGAGCTGGAGTTGAACAGGCCACCTTTGGACCACAGCGTTTCAGGAACTTCTTACAGTCCTCTGCTCTACCAAGTGAGCTATGAAGGTGCTTATAGGCACAAACGCAGAAAACATAGTGGCTTCGGCGACACACTTTGCCAACAATACAATTGGACCCACATGGTCAATGAAAAAGGTTGAAGAGTGTATACAGGAATGAAATGTGGTGTTTGGAGCTGGAGTTGAACCGGCCACCTTTGGACCACAGCGTTTCAGGAACTTCTTACAGTCCTCTGCTCTACCAACTGAGCTATGAAGGTGCTTATATATACAAACGCAGAAAACATAGTGGCTTCGGCGACACACTTTGCCAACAATACAATTGGACCCACATGGTCAATGAAAAAGGTTGAAGAGTGCATACAGCAATGAAATGTGGTGTTTGGAGCTGGAGTTGAACCAGCCACCTTTGGAGAACAGCGTTTCAGGAACTTCTTACAGTCCTCTGCTCTACCAACTGAGCTATGAAGGTGCTTATATATACAAAAGCAGAAAACATAGTGGCTTCGGCGACACACTTTGCCAACAATACAATTGGAACCACATGGTCAATGAAAAAGGTTGAAGAGTGCATAAAGCAAGGAAATGTGGTGTTTGGAGTTGGAGTTGAACCAGCGACCTTTGGACCACAGCATTTCAGGAACTTCTTACAGTCCTCTGCTCTACCAACTGAGCTATGAAGGTGCTTATACATACAAAAGCAGAAAACATAGTGGCTTCGGCGACACACTTTGCCAACAATACAATTGGAACAACATGGTCAATGAAAAAGGTTGAAGAGTGCATAAAGCAAGGAAATCTGGTGTTTGGAGTTGGAGTTGAACCAGCGACCTTTTGACAACAGCGTTTCAGGAACTTCTTTTCTTACAGTCCTCTGCTCTACCAACTGAGCTATGAAGGAGCTTATATATACAAACGCAGAAAACATAGTGGCTTCGGCGACACACTTTGCCAACAATACAATTGGACCCACATGGTCAATGAAAAAGGTTGAAGAGTGCATACAGCAATGAAATGTGGTGTTTGGAGCTGGAGTTGAACCAGCGACCTTTTGACCACAGCGTTTCAGGAACTTCTTACAGTCCTCTGCTCTACCAACTGAGCTATGAAGGTGCTTATATATACAAACGCAGAAAACATAGTGGCTTCGGCGACACACTTTGCCAACAATACAATTGGACCCACATGGTCAATGAAAAAGGTTGAAGAGTGCATACAGCAATGAAATCTGTTGTTTGGAGCTGGAGTTGAACCGGGCACCTTTGGACCACAGCGTTTCAGGAGCTTCTTACAGTCCTCTGCTCTACCAACTGAGCTATGAAGGTGCTTATATATACAAAAGCAGAAAACATAGTGGCTTCGGCGACACACTTTGCCAACAATACAATTGGACCCACATGGTCAATGAAAAAGGTTGAAGAGTGCATACAGCAATGAAATGTGGTGTTTGGAGCTGGAGTTGAACCAGCCACCTTTGGAGAACAGCGTTTCAGGAACTTCTTACAGTCCTCTGCTCTACCAACTGAGCTATGAAGGTGCTTATATATACAAACGCAGAAAACATAGTGGCTTCGGCGAGACACTTTGCCAACAATACAATTGGACCCACATGGTCAATGAAAGAGGTTGAAGAGTGCATACAGCAATGAAATGTGGTGTTTGGAGCTGGAGTTGAACCAGCCACCTTTGGAGAACAGCGTTTCAGGAACTTCTTACAGTCCTCTGCTCTACCAACTGAGCTATGAAGGTGCTTATATATACAAAAGCAGAAAACATAGTGGCTTCGGTGACACACTTTGCCAACAATACAATTGGAACCACATGGTCAATGAAAAAGGTTGAAGAGTGCATAAAGCAACGAAATCTGGTGTTTGGAGTTGGAGTTGAACCAGCGACCTTTGGACCACAGCGTTTCAGGAACTTCTTACAGTCCTCTGCTCTACCAACTGAGCTATGAAGGTGCTTATATATACAAAAGCAGAAAACATAGTGGCTTCGGCGACACACTTTGCCAACAATACAATTGGAACCACATGGTCAATGAAAAAGGTTGAAGAGTGCATAAAGCAACGAAATCTGTTGTTTGGAGCTGGAGTTGAACCGGCCACCTTTGGACCACAGCGTTTCAGGAACTTCTTACAGTCCTCTGCTCTACCAAGTGAGCTATGAAGGTGCTTATAGACACAAACGCAGAAAACATAGTGGCTTCGGCGACACACTTTGCCAACAATACAATTGGACCCACATGGTCAATGAAAAAGGTTGAAGAGTGCATACAGCAATGAAATGTGGTGTTTGGAGGTAGAGTTGAACCGGCCACCTTTGGACCACAGCGTTTCAGGAACTTCTTACAGTCCTCTGCTCTACCAACTGAGCTATGAAGGTGCTTATATATACAAAAGCAGAAAACATAGTGGCTTCGGCGACACACTTTGCCAACAATACAATTGGACCCACATGGTCAATGAAAAAGGTTGAAGAGTGCATACAGCAATGAAATGTGGTGTTTGGAGGTGGAGTTGAACCAGCCACCTTTGGACCACAGCGTTTCAGGAACTTCTTACAGTCCTCTGCTCTACCAACTGAGCTATGAAGGTGCTTATATATACAAAAGCAGAAAACATAGTGGCTTCGGCGACACACTTTGCCAACAATACAATTGGAACCACATGGTCAATGAAAAAGGTTGAAGAGTGCATAAAGCAAGGAAATGTGGTGTTTGGAGTTGGAGTTGAACCAGCGACCTTTGGACCACAGCGTTTCAGGAACTTCTTACAGTCCTCTGTTCTACCAACTGAGCTATGAAGGTGCTTATACATACAAAAGCAGAAAACATAGTGGCTTCGGCGACACACTTTGCCAACAATACAATTGGAACAACATGGTCAATGAAAAAGGTTGAAGAGTGCATAAAGCAAGGAAATCTGGTGTTTGGAGTTGGAGTTGAACCAGCCACCTTTGGAGAACAGCGTTTCAGGAACTTCTTTTCTTACAGTCCTCTGCTCTACCAACTGAGCTATGAAGGTGCTTATATATACAAACGCAGAAAACATAGTGGCTTCGGCGACACACTTTGCCAACAATACAATTGGACCCACATGGTCAATGAAAAAGGTTGAAGAGTGCATACAGCAATGAAATGTGGTGTTTGGAGCTGGAGTTGAACCAGCGACCTTTTGACCACAGCGTTTCAGGAACTTCTTACAGTCCTCTGCTCTACCAACTGAGCTATGAAGGTGCTTATATATACAAACGCAGAAAACATAGTGGCTTCGGCGAAACACTTTGCCAACAATACAATTGGACCCACATGGTCAATGAAAAAGGTTGAAGAGTGCATACAGCAATGAAATCTGTTGTTTGGAGCTGGAGTTGAACCGGGCACCTTTGGACCACAGCGTTTCAGGAGCTTCTTATAGTCCTCTGCTCTACCAACTGAGCTATGAAGGTGCTTATATATACAAAAGCAGAAAACATAGTGGCTTCGGCGACACACTTTTCCAACAATACAATTGGACTCACATGGTCAATGAAAAAGGTTGAAGAGTGCATAAAGCAAGGAAATCTGTTGTTTGGAGCTGGAGTTGAAGCGGGCACCTTTGGACCACAGCGTTTCAGGAACTTCTTACAGTCCTCTGCTCTACCAACTGAGCTATGAAGGTGCTTATATATACAAAAGCAGAAAACATAGTGGCTTCGGCGACACACTTTGCCAACAATACAATTGGAACCACATGGTCAATGAAAAAGGTTGAAGAGTGCATAAAGCAAGGAAATCTGGTGTTTGGAGTTGGAGTTGAACCAGCGACCTTTTGACAACAGCGTTTCAGGAACTTCTTTTCTTACAGTCCTCTGCTCTACCAACTGAGCTATGAAGGAGCTTATATATACAAACGCAGAAAACATAGTGGCTTCGGCGACACACTTTGCCAACAATACAATTGGAACCACATGGTCAATGAAAAAGGTTGAAGAGTGCATAAAGCAACGAAATCTGTTGTTTGGAGCTGGAGTTGAACCAGCGACCTTTTGACCACAGCGTTTCAGGAACTTCTTACAGTCCTCTGCTCTACCAACTGAGCTATGAAGGTGCTTATATATACAAACGCAGAAAACATAGTGGCTTCGGCGACACACTTTGCCAACAATACAATTGGACCCACATGGTCAATGAAAAAGGTTGAAGAGTGCATACAGCAATGAAATCTGTTGTTTGGAGCTGGAGTTGAACCGGGCACCTTTGGACCACAGCGTTTCAGGAGCTTCTTACAGTCCTCTGCTCTACCAACTGAGCTATGAAGGTGCTTATATATACAAAAGCAGAAAACATAGTGGCTTCGGCGACACACTTTGCCAACAATACAATTGGACCCACATGGTCAATGAAAAAGGTTGAAGAGTGCATAAAGCAAGGAAATGTGGTGTTTGGAGTTGGAGTTGAACCAGCGACCTTTGGACCACAGCGTTTCAGGAACTTCTTACAGTCCTCTGCTCTACCAACTGAGCTATGAAGGTGCTTATATATACAAAAGCAGAAAACATAGTGGCTTCGGCGACACACTTTGCCAACAATACAATTGGAACCACATGGTCAATGAAAAAGGTTGAAGAGTGCATAAAGCAAGGAAATGTGGTGTTTGGAGTTGGAGTTGAACCAGCCACCTTTGGACCACAGCGTTTCAGGAACTTCATACAGTCCTCTGCTCTACCAACTGAGCTATGAAGGTGCTTATATATACAAACGCAGAAAACATAGTGGCTTCGGCGACACACTTTGCCAACAATACAATTGGACCCACATGGTCAATGAAAAAGGTCTAAGAGTGCATAAAGCAACGAAATCTGTTGTTCGGAGCTGGAGTTGAACAGGCCACCTTTGGACCACAGCGTTTCAGGAACTTCTTACAGTCCTCTGCTCTACCAAGTGAGCTATGAAGGTGCTTATAGACACAAACGCAGAAAACATAGTGGCTTCGGCGACACACTTTGCCAACAATACAATTGGACCCACATGGTCAATGAAAAAGGTTGAAGAGTGTATACAGGAATGAAATGTGGTGTTTGGAGCTGGAGTTGAACCGGCCACCTTTGGACCACAGCGTTTCAGGAACTTCTTACAGTCCTCTGCTCTACCAACTGAGCTATGAAGGTGCTTATATATACAAACGCAGAAAACATAGTGGCTTCGGCGACACACTTTGCCAACAATACAATTGGACCCACATGGTCAATGAAAAAGGTTGAAGAGTGCATACAGCAATGAAATGTGGTGTTTGGAGCTGGAGTTGAACCAGCCACCTTTGGAGAACAGCGTTTCAGGAACTTCTTACAGTCCTCTGCTCTACCAACTGAGCTATGAAGGTGCTTATATATACAAAAGCAGAAAACATAGTGGCTTCGGCGACACACTTTGCCAACAATACAATTGGAACCACATGGTCAATGAAAAAGGTTGAAGAGTGCATAAAGCAAGGAAATCTGGTGTTTGGAGTTGGAGTTGAACCAGCGACCTTTGGACCACAGCGTTTCAGGAACTTCTTACAGTCCTCTGCTCTACCAACTGAGCTATGAAGGTGCTTATACATACAAAAGCAGAAAACATAGTGGCTTCGGCGACACACTTTGCCAACAATACAATTGGAACAACATGGTCAATGAAAAAGGTTGAAGAGTGCATAAAGCAACGAAATCTGGTGTTTGGAGTTGGAGTTGAACCAGCGACCTTTTGACAACAGCGTTTCAGGAACTTCTTTTCTTACAGTCCTCTGCTCTACCAACTGAGCTATGAAGGAGCTTATATATACAAACGCAGAAAACATAGTGGCTTCGGCGACACACTTTGCCAACAATACAATTGGAACCACATGGTCAATGAAAAAGGTTGAAGAGTGCATACAGCAATGAAATGTGGTGTTTGGAGCTGGAGTTGAACCAGCGACCTTTGGACCACAGCGTTTCAGGAACTTCTTACAGTCCTCTGCTCTACCAACTGAGCTATGAAGGTGCTTATATATACAAACGCAGAAAACATAGTGGCTTCGGCGACACACTTTGCCAACAATACAATTGGACCCACATGGTCAATGAAAAAGGTTGAAGAGTGCATACAGCAATGAAATCTGTTGTTTGGAGCTGGAGTTGAACCGGGCACCTTTGGACCACAGCGTTTCAGGAGCTTCTTACAGTCCTCTGCTCTACCAACTGAGCTATGAAGGTGCTTATATATACAAAAGCAGAAAACATAGTGGCTTCGGCGACACACTTTGCCAACAATACAATTGGACCCACATGGTCAATGAAAAAGGTTGAAGAGTGCATACAGCAATGAAATGTGGTGTTTGGAGCTGGAGTTGAACCAGCCACCTTTGGAGAACAGCGTTTCAGGAACTTCTTACAGTCCTCTGCTCTACCAACTGAGCTATGAAGGTGCTTATATATACAAACGCAGAAAACATAGTGGCTTCGGCGAGACACTTTGCCAACAATACAATTGGACCCACATGGTCAATGAAAGAGGTTGAAGAGTGCATACAGCAATGAAATGTGGTGTTTGGAGCTGGAGTTGAACCAGCCACCTTTGGAGAACAGCGTTTCAGGAACTTCTTACAGTCCTCTGCTCTACCAACTGAGCTATGAAGGTGCTTATATATACAAAAGCAGAAAACATAGTGGCTTCGGTGACACACTTTGCCAACAATACAATTGGAACCACATGGTCAATGAAAAAGGTTGAAGAGTGCATAAAGCAACGAAATCTGTTGTTTGGAGCTGGAGTTGAACCGGCCACCTTTGGACCACAGCGTTTCAGGAACTTCTTACAGTCCTCTGCTCTACCAAGTGAGCTATGAAGGTGCTTATAGACACAAACGCAGAAAACATAGTGGCTTCGGCGACACACTTTGCCAACAATACAATTGGACCCACATGGTCAATGAAAAAGGTTGAAGAGTGCATACAGCAATGAAATGTGGTGTTTGGAGGTGGAGTTGAACCAGCCACCTTTGGACCACAGCGTTTCAGGAACTTCTTACAGTCCTCTGCTCTACCAACTGAGCTATGAAGGTGCTTATATATACAAAAGCAGAAAACATAGTGGCTTCGGCGACACACTTTGCCAACAATACAATTGGACCCACATGGTCAATGAAAAAGGTTGAAGAGTGCATACAGCAATGAAATGTGGTGTTTGGAGGTGGAGTTGAACCAGCCACCTTTGGACCACAGCGTTTCAGGAACTTCTTACAGTCCTCTGCTCTACCAACTGAGCTATGAAGGTGCTTATATATACAAAAGCAGAAAACATAGTGGCTTCGGCGACACACTTTGCCAACAATACAATTGGAACCACATGGTCAATGAAAAAGGTTGAAGAGTGCATACAGCAATGAAATGTGGTGTTTGGAGTTGGAGTTGAACCAGCGACCTTTTGACAACAGCGTTTCAGGAACTTCTTTTCTTACAGTCCTCTGCTCTACCAACTGAGCTATGAAGGAGCTTATATATACAAACGCAGAAAACATAGTGGCTTCGGCGACACACTTTGCCAACAATACAATTGGACCCACATGGTCAATGAAAAAGGTTGAAGAGTGCATACAGCAATGAAATGTGGTGTTTGGAGCTGGAGTTGAACCAGCCACCTTTGGAGAACAGCGTTTCAGGAACTTGTTACAGTCCTCTGCTCTACCAACTGAGCTATGAAGGTGCTTATATATACAAACGCAGAAAACATAGTGGCTTCGGCGACACACTTTGCCAACAATACAATTGGAACCACATGGTCAATGAAAAAGGTTGAAGAGTGCATACAGCAATGAAATGTGGTGTTTGGAGTTGAGTTGACCAGCGACCTTTGACAACAGCGTTTCAGGAACTTCTTTTCTTACAGTCCTCTGCTCTACCAACTGAGCTATGAAGGAGCTTATATATACAAACGCAGAAAACATAGTGGCTTCGGCGACACACTTTGCCAACAATACAATTGGACCCACATGGTCAATGAAAAAGGTTGAAGAGTGCATACAGCAATGAAATGTGGTGTTTGGAGCTGGAGTTGAACCAGCCACCTTTGGAGAACAGCGTTTCAGGAACTTGTTACAGTCCTCTGCTCTACCAACTGAGATATGAAGGTGCTTATATATACAAACGCAGAAAACATAGTGGCTTCGGCGACACACTTTGCCAACAATACAATTGGAACCACATGGTCAATGAAAAAGGTTGAAGAGTGCATACAGCAATGAAATGTGGTGTTTGGAGTTGGAGTTGAACCAGCGACCTTTTGACAACAGCGTTTCAGGAACTTCTTTTCTTACAGTCCTCTGCTCTACCAACTGAGCTATGAAGGAGCTTATATATACAAACGCAGAAAACATAGTGGCTTCGGCGACACACTTTGCCAACAATACAATTGGACCCACATGGTCAATGAAAAAGGTTGAAGAGTGCATACAGGAATGAAATGTGGTGTTTGGAGCTGGAGTTGAACCAGCGACCTTTGGACCACAGCGTTTCAGGAACTTCTTACAGTCCTCTACTCTACCAACTGAGCTATGAAGGTGCTTATAGACCGAAACGCAGAAAACATAGTGGCTTCGGCGACACACTTTGCCAACAATACAATTGGACCCACATGGTCAATGAAAAAGGTTGAAGAGTGCATACAGCAATGAAATCTGTTGTTTTGAGCTGGAGTTGAACCGGACACCTTTGGACCACAGCGTTTCAGGAGCTTCTTACAGTCCTCTGCTCTACCAAGTGAGCTATGAAGGTGCTTATAGACACAAACGCAGAAAACATAGTGGCTTCGGCGACACACTTTGCCAACAATACAATTGGACCAAAAGGTCAATGAAAAAGGTTGAACAGTGCATAAAGCAATGAAATCTGGTGTTTGGAGTTGGAGTTGAAGCAGCGACGTTTGGACAACAGCGTTTCAGGAACTTCTTACAGTCCTCTGCTCTACCAAGTGAGCTATGAAGGTGCTTATATATACAAACGCCGAAAACATAGTGGCTTCGGCGACACACTTTGCCAACAATACAATTGGACTCACATGGTCAATGAAAAAAGTTGAAGAGTGCATACAGCAATGAAATGTGGTGTTTGGAGCTGGAGTTGAACCAGCGACCTTTGGACCACAGCGTTTCAGGAAGTTCTTACAGTCCTCTGCTCTACCAACTGAGCTATGAAGGTGCATATATATACAAACGCAGAAAACATAGTGGCTTCGGCGACACACTTTGCCAACATAACAATCAAGGTACCTGGTCAATGAAAAAGGTTGAACAGTGCATAAAGCAATGAAATGTGGTGTTTGGAGCTGGAGTTGAACCAGCGACGTTTGGACCACAGCGTTTCAGGAACTTCTTACAGTACTCTGCTCTACCAACTGCGCTATGAAGGTGCTTATAGACCCAAACGCAGAAAACAAAGTGGCTTCGGCGACACACTTTGCCAACAATACAATTGGACCCACATGGTCAATGAAAAAGGTTGAAGAGTGCATACAGCAATGAAATCTGGTGTTTGGAGCTGGAGTTGAACCAGCGACCTTTGGACCAGAGCGTTTCAGGAACTTCTTACAGTCCTCTGCTCTACCAACTGAGCTATGAAGGTGCTTATATATACAAACGCAGAAAACATAGTGGCTTCGGCGACACACTTTGCCAACAATACAATTGGACCCACATGGTCAATGAAAAAGGTTGAAGAGTGCATACAGCAATAAAATCTGGTGTTTGGAGCTGGAGTTGAACCGGCCACCTTTGGACCACAGCGTTTCAGGAACTTCTTACAGTCCTCTGCTCTACCAAGTGAGCTATGAAGGTGCTTATAGACACAATTGCAGAAAACATAGTGGCTTCGGAGACACACTTTGCCAACATAACAATCAAGCTACCTGGTCAATGAAAAAGGTTGAACAGTGCATAGAGCAATGAAATCTGGTGTTTGGAGCTGGAGTTGAACCAGCGACGTTTGGACCACAGCGTTTCAGGAACTTCTTACAGTACTCTGCTCTACCAACTGCGCTATGAAGGTGCTTATAGACCCAAACGCAGAAAACAAAGTGGCTTCGGCGACACACTTTGCCAACAATACAATTGGACCCACATGGTCAATGAAAAAGGTTGAAGAGTGCATACAGCAACGAAATGTGGTGTTTGGAGCTGGAGTTGAACCAGCCACCTTTGGAGAACAGCGTTTCAGGAACTTCTTACAGTCCTCTGCTCTACCAACTGAGCTATGAAGGTGCTCATATATACAAAAGCAGAAAACATAGTGGCTTCGGCGAGACACTTTGCCAACAATACAATTGGACCCACATGGTCAATGAAAAAGGTTGAAGAGTGCATACAGCAATGAAATGTGGTGTTTGGAGCTGGAGTTGAACCAGCCACCTTTGGACCACAGCGTTTCAGGAACTTCTTACAGTCCTCTGCTCTACCAACTGAGCTATGAAGGAGCTTATATATACAAACGCAGAAAACATAGTGGCTTCGGCGACACACTTTGCCAACAATACAATTGGACCCACATGGTCAATGAAAAAGGTTGAAGAGTGCATACAGCAATGAAATCTGTTGTTTGGAGCTGGAGTTGAACCAGCGACCTTTGGACCACAGCGTTTCAGGAACTTCTTACAGTCCTCTGCTCTACCAACTGAGCTATGAAGGTGCTCATAGACCCAAATGCAGAAAACATAGTGGCTTCGGCGACACACTTTGCCAACAATACAATTGGACCCACATGGTCAATGAAAAAGGTTGAAGAGTGCATACAGCAATGAAATCTGGTGTTTGGAGCTGGAGTTGAACCGGCCACCTTTGGACCACAGCGTTTCAGGAACTTCTTACAGTCCTCTGCTCTACCAAGTGAGCTATGAAGGTGCTTATAGACACAAACGCAGAAAACATAGTGGCTTCGGCGACACACTTTGCCAACAATACAATTGGACCTACATGGTCAATGAAAAAGGTTGAACAGTGCATAAAGCAATGAAATGTGGTGTTTGGAGCTGGAGTTGAACCAGCCACCTTTGGACCACAGCGTTTCAGGAGCTTCTTACAGTCCTCTGCTCTACCAAGTGAGCTATGAAGGTGCTTATAGACACAAACGCAGAAAACATAGTGGCTTCGGCGACACACTTTGCCAACAATACAATTGGACCCACATGGTCAATGAAAAAGGTTGAAGAGTGCATACAGCAATGAAATGTGGTGTTTGGAGCTGGAGTTGAACCAGCGACCTTTGGACCAACAGCGTTTCAGGAACTTCTTACAGTCCTCTGCTCTACCAACTGAGCTATGAAGGTGCATATATATACAAATGCAGAAAACATAGTGGCTTCGGCGACACACTTTGCCAACAATAACAATCAAGGTACCCATGGTCAATGAAAAAGGTTGAAGAGTGCATACAGCAATGAAATCTGGTGTTTGGAGCTGGAGTTGAACCAGCGACGTTTGGACCACAGCGTTTCAGGAACTTCTTACAGTACTCTGCTCTACCAACTGCGCTATGAAGGTGCTTATAGACCCAAACGCAGAAAACAAAGTGGCTTCGGCGACACACTTTGCCAACAATACAATTGGACCCACATGGTCAATGAAAAAGGTTGAAGAGTGCATACAGCAATGAAATGTGGTGTTTGGAGCTGGAGTTGAACCAGCCACCTTTGGACCACAGCGTTTCAGGAACTTCTTACAGTCCTCTGCTCTACCAACTGAGCTATGAAGGTGCTTATATATACAAACGCAGAAAACATAGTGGCTTCGGCGACACACTTTGCCAACAATACAATTGGACCCACATGGTCAATGAAAAAGGTTGAACAGTGCATACAGCAATGAAATGTGGTGTTTGGAGCTGGAGTTGAACAAGCGAACTTTGGACCACAGCGTTTCAGGAACTTCTTACAGTCCTCTGCTCTACCAAGTGAGCTATGAAGGTGCTTATAGACACAAACGCAGAAAACATAGTGGCTTCGGCGACACACTTTGCCAACAATACAATTGGACCCACATGGTCAATGAAAAAGTTTTAAGAGTGCATACAGCAATGAAATCTGTTGTTTTGAGCTGGAGTTGAACCGGACCACCTTTGGAGAACAGCGTTTCAGGAACTTCTTACAGTCCTCTGCTCTACCAAGTGAGCTATGAAGGTGCTTATAGACACAAACGCAGAAAACATAGTGGCTTCGGCGACACACTTTGCCAACAATACAATTGGACCAAAATGGTCAATGAAAAAGGTTGAACAGTGCATAAAGCAATGAAATCTGGTGTTTGGAGTTGGAGTTGAAGCAGCGACGTTTGGACAACAGCGTTTCAGGAACTTCTTACAGTCCTCTGCTCTACCAACTGAGCTATGAAGGTGCTTATATATACAAACGCAGAAAACATAGTGGCTTCGGCGAGACACTTTGCCAACAATACAATTGGACCCACATGGTCAATGAAAAAGGTTGAAGAGTGCATACAGCAATGAAATGTGGTGTTTGGAGCTGGAGTTGAACCAGCCACCTTTGGAGAACAGCGTTTCAGGAACTTCTTAGAGTGCTCTGCTCTACCAACTGAGCTCTGAAGGTGCTTATATATACAAACGCAGAAAACATAGTGGCTTCGGCGAGACACTTTGCCAACAATACAATTGGACCCACATGGTCAATGAAAAAGGTTGAAGAGTGCATACAGCAATGAAATCTGTTGTTTGGAGCTGGAGTTGAACCGGCCACCTTTGGACCACAGCGTTTCAGGAGCTTCTTACAGTCCTCTGCTCTACCAAGTGAGCTATGAAGGTGCTTATAGACACAAACGCAGAAAACATAGTGGCTTCGGCGACACACTTTGCCAACAATACAATTGGACCAAATGGTCAATGAAAAAGGTTGAACAGTGCATAAAGCAATGAAATCTGGTGTTTGGAGTTGGAGTTGAACCAGCGACGTTTGGACAACAGCGTTTCAGGAACTTCTTACAGTCCTCTGCTCTACCAACTGAGCTATGAAGGTGCTTATATATACAAACGCAGAAAACATAGTGGCTTCGGCGAGACACTTTGCCAACAATACAATTGGACCCACATGGTCAATGAAAAAGGTTGAAGAGTGCATAAAGCAATGAAATGTGTTGTTTGGAGCTGGAGTTGAACCAGCGACGTTTGGACAACAGCGTTTCAGGAACTTCTTACAGTCCTCTGCTCTACCAACTGAGCTATGAAGGAGCTTATATATACAAACGCAGAAAACATAGTGGCTTCGGCGAGACACTTTGCCAACAATACAATTGGACCCACATGGTCAATGAAAAAGGTTGAAGAGTGCATACAGCAATGAAATGTGGTGTTTGGAGCTGGAGTTGAACCAGCGACTTTTGGACCACAGCGTTTCAGGAACTTCTTACAGTCCTCTGCTCTACCAACTGAGCTATGAAGGTGCTTATATATACAAACGCAGAAAACATAGTGGCTTCGGCGACACACTTTGCCAACATAACAATCAAGCTACCTGGTCAATGAAAAAGGTTGAACAGTGCATAAAGCAATGAAATGTGGTGTTTGGAGCTGGAGTTGAACAAGCGAACTTTGGACCACAGCGTTTCAGGAACTTCTTACAGTCCTCTGCTCTACCAAGTGAGCTATGAAGGTGCTTATAGGCCCAAACGCAGAAAACATAGTGGCTTCGGCGACACACTTTGCCAACAATACAATTGGACCCACATGGTCAATGAAAAAGGTTGAAGAATGCATACAGCAATGAAATCTGGTGTTTGGAGCTGGAGTTGAACCAGTGACCTTTGGACCACAGCGTTTCAGGAACTTCTTACAGTCCTCTGCTCTACCAACTGCGCTATGAAGGTGCTTATAGACAGAAACGCAGAAAACATAGTGGCTTCGGCGACACACTTTGCCAACAATACAATTGGACCCACATGGTCAATGAAAAAAGTTGAAGAGTGCATACAGCAATGAAATGTGGTGTTTGGAGCTGGAGTTGAACCAGCCACCTTTGGAGAACAGCGTTTCAGGAACTTCTTACAGTCCTCTGCTCTACCAACTGAGCTATGAAGGTGCTTATATATACAAACGCAGAAAACATAGTGGCTTCGGCGACACACTTTGCCAACAATACAATTGGAACCACATGGTCAATGAAAAAGGTTGAAGAGTGCATACAGCAATGAAATGTGGTGTTTGGAGTTGGAGTTGAACCAGCGACCTTTTGACAACAGCGTTTCAGGAACTTCTTTTCTTACAGTCCTCTGCTCTACCAACTGAGCTATGAAGGAGCTTATATATACAAACGCAGAAAACATAGTGGCTTCGGCGACACACTTTGCCAACAATACAATTGGACCCACATGGTCAATGAAAAAGGTTGAAGAGTGCATAAAGCAATGAAATGTGGTGTTTGGAGTTGGAGTTGAACCAGCCACCTTTGGAGAACAGCGTTTCAGGAACTTGTTACAGTCCTCTGCTCTACCAACTGAGCTATGAAGGTGCTTATATATACAAACGCAGAAAACATAGTGGCTTCGGCGACACACACTTTGCCACAACAATGAAAAATTGAAGAGTGCATACAGCAATGAAATGTTGGAGTTGAACCGCACCTTTGACCACATGGTCAATGAAAAAGGTTGAAGAGTGCATACAGCAATGAAATGTGGTGTTTGGAGTTGGAGTTGAACCAGCGACCTTTGACAACAGCGTTTCAGGAACTTCTTTTCTTACAGTCCTCTGCTCTACCAACTGAGCTATGAAGGAGCTTATATATACAAACGCAGAAAACATAGTGGCTTCGGCGACACACTTTGCCAACAATACAATTGGACCCACATGGTCAATGAAAAAGGTTGAAGAGTGCATACAGCAATGAAATGTGGTGTTTGGAGCTGGAGTTGAACCAGCCACCTTTGGAGAACAGCGTTTCAGGAACTTGTTACAGTCCTCTGCTCTACCAACTGAGCTATGAAGGTGCTTATATATACAAACGCAGAAAACATAGTGGCTTCGGCGACACACTTTGCCAACAATACAATTGGAACCACATGGTCAATGAAAAAGGTTGAAGAGTGCATACAGCAATGAAATGTGGTGTTTGGAGTTGGAGTTGAACCAGCGACCTTTTGACAACAGCGTTTCAGGAACTTCTTTTCTTACAGTCCTCTGCTCTACCAACTGAGCTATGAAGGAGCTTATATATACAAACGCAGAAAACATAGTGGCTTCGGCGACACACTTTGCCAACAATACAATTGGACCCACATGGTCAATGAAAAAGGTTGAAGAGTGCATACAGCAATGAAATGTGGTGTTTGGAGCTGGAGTTGAACCAGCGACCTTTGGACCACAGCGTTTCAGGAACTTCTTACAGTCCTCTGCTCTACCAACTGAGCTATGAAGGTGCTTATAGACCGAAACGCAGAAAACATAGTGGCTTCGGCGACACACTTTGCCAACAATACAATTGGACCCACATGGTCAATGAAAAAGGTTGAAGAGTGCATACAGCAATGAAATCTGTTGTTTTGAGCTGGAGTTGAACCGGACACCTTTGGACCACAGCGTTTCAGGAGCTTCTTACAGTCCTCTGCTCTACCAAGTGAGCTATGAAGGTGCTTATAGACACAAACGCAGAAAACATAGTGGCTTCGGCGACACACTTTGCCAACAATACAATTGGACCAAAAGGTCAATGAAAAAGGTTGAACAGTGCATAAAGCAATGAAATCTGGTGTTTGGAGTTGGAGTTGAAGCAGCGACGTTTGGACAACAGCGTTTCAGGAACTTCTTACAGTCCTCTGCTCTACCAAGTGAGCTATGAAGGTGCTTATATATACAGACGCCGAAAACATAGTGGCTTCGGCGACACACTTTGCCAACAATACAATTGGACCCACATGGTCAATGAAAAAAGTTGAAGAGTGCATACAGCAATGAAATGTGGTGTTTGGAGCTGGAGTTGAACCAGCGACCTTTGGACCACAGCGTTTCAGGAAGTTCTTACAGTCCTCTGCTCTACCAACTGAGCTATGAAGGTGCATATATATACAAACGCAGAAAACATAGTGGCTTCGGCGACACACTTTGCCAACATAACAATCAAGGTACCTGGTCAATGAAAAAGGTTGAACAGTGCATAAAGCAATGAAATGTGGTGTTTGGAGCTGGAGTTGAACCAGCGACGTTTGGACCACAGCGTTTCAGGAACTTCTTACAGTACTCTGCTCTACCAACTGCGCTATGAAGGTGCTTATAGACCCAAACGCAGAAAACAAAGTGGCTTCGGCGACACACTTTGCCAACAATACAATTGGACCCACATGGTCAATGAAAAAGGTTGAAGAGTGCATACAGCAATGAAATCTGGTGTTTGGAGCTGGAGTTGAACCAGCGACCTTTGGACCAGAGCGTTTCAGGAACTTCTTACAGTCCTCTGCTCTACCAACTGAGCTATGAAGGTGCTTATATATACAAACGCAGAAAACATAGTGGCTTCGGCGACACACTTTGCCAACAATACAATTGGACCCACATGGTCAATGAAAAAGGTTGAAGAGTGCATACAGCAATAAAATCTGGTGTTTGGAGCTGGAGTTGAACCGGCCACCTTTGGACCACAGCGTTTCAGGAACTTCTTACAGTCCTCTGCTCTACCAAGTGAGCTATGAAGGTGCTTATAGACACAATTGCAGAAAACATAGTGGCTTCGGAGACACACTTTGCCAACATAACAATCAAGCTACCTGGTCAATGAAAAAGGTTGAACAGTGCATAGAGCAATGAAATCTGGTGTTTGGAGCTGGAGTTGAACCAGCGACGTTTGGACCACAGCGTTTCAGGAACTTCTTACAGTACTCTGCTCTACCAACTGCGCTATGAAGGTGCTTATAGACCCAAACGCAGAAAACAAAGTGGCTTCGGCGAGACACTTTGCCAACAATACAATTGGACCCACATGGTCAATGAAAAAGGTTGAAGAGTGCATACAGCAATGAAATGTGGTGTTTGGAGCTGGAGTTGAACCAGCCACCTTTGGACCACAGCGTTTCAGGAACTTCTTACAGTCCTCTGCTCTACCAACTGAGCTATGAAGGAGCTTATATATACAAACGCAGAAAACATAGTGGCTTCGGCGACACACTTTGCCAACAATACATTTGGACCCACATGGTCAATGAAAAAGGTTGAACAGTGCATACAGCAATGAAATGTGGTGTTTGGAGCTGGAGTTGAACCAGCGACCTTTGGACCACAGCGTTTCAGGAACTTCTTACAGTCCTCTGCTCTACCAACTGAGCTATGAAGGTGCTCATAGACCCAAATGCAGAAAACATAGTGGCTTCGGCGACACACTTTGCCAACAATACAATTGGACCCACATGGTCAATGAAAAAGGTTTAAGAGTGCATACAGCAATGAAATCTGTTGTTTGGAGCTGGAGTTGAACCGGACACCTTTGGACCACAGCGTTTCAGGAGCTTCTTACAGTCCTCTGCTCTACCAAGTGAGCTATGAAGGTGCTTATAGACACAAACGCAGAAAACATAGTGGCTTCGGCGACACACTTTGCCAACAATACAATTGGACCCACATGGTCAATGAAAAAGGTTGAACAGTGCATAAAGCAATGAAATGTGGTGTTTGGAGTTGGAGTTGAACCAGCGACGTTTGGACAACAGCGTTTCAGGAACTTCTTACAGTCCTCTGCTCTACCAAGTGAGCTATGAAGGTGCTTATAGACACAAACGCAGAAAACATAGTGGCTTCGGCGACACACTTTGCCAACAATACAATTGGACCCACATGGTCAATGAAAAAGGTTGAAGAGTGCATACAGCAATGAAATGTGGTGTTTGGAGCTGGAGTTGAACCAGCGACCTTTGGACCACAGCGTTTCAGGAAGTTCTTACAGTCCTCTGCTCTACCAACTGAGCTATGAAGGTGCATATATATACAAATGCAGAAAACATAGTGGCTTCGGCGACACACTTTGCCAACATAACAATCAAGCTACCTGGTCAATGAAAAAGGTTGAACAGTGCATAAAGCAATGAAATCTGGTGTTTGGAGCTGGAGTTGAACCAGCGACGTTTGGACCACAGCGTTTCAGGAACTTCTTACAGTACTCTGCTCTACCAACTGCGCTATGAAGGTGCTTATAGACCCAAACGCAGAAAACAAAGTGGCTTCGGCGACACACTTTGCCAACAATACAATTGGACCCACATGGTCAATGAAAAAGGTTGAAGAGTGCATACAGCAATGAAATGTGGTGTTTGGAGCTGGAGTTGAACAAGCGACCTTTGGACCACAGCGTTTCAGGAACTTCTTACAGTCCTCTGCTCTACCAAGTGAGCTATGAAGGTGCTTATAGACACAAACGCAGAAAACATAGTGGCTTCGGCGACACACTTTGCCAACAATACAATCAAGGTACCTGGTCAATGAAAAAGGTTGAACAGTGCATAAAGCAATGAAATGTGGTGTTTGGAGCTGGAGTTGAAGCAGCGACCTTTGGACCACAGCGTTTCAGGAACTTCTTACAGTCCTCTGCTCTACCAACTGCGCTATGAAGGTGCTTACAGAGCCAAACGCAGAAAACATAGTGGCTTCGGCGACACACTTTGCCAACAATACAATTGGACCCACATGGTCAATGAAAAAGGTTGAACAGTGCATACAGCAATGCAATGTGGTGTTTTGAGCTGGAGTTGAAACAGCGACCTTTGGACCACAGCGTTTCAGGAACTTCTTACAGTCCTCTGCTCTACCAACTGAGCTATGAAGTTGCTCATAGACTCAAACGCAGAAAACATAGTGGCTTCGGCGACACACTTTGCCAACAATACAATTGGACCCACATGGTCAATGAAAAAGGTTGAAGAGTGCATACAGCAATGAAATGTGGTGTTTGGAGCTGGAGTTGAACCAGCGACCTTTGGACAACAGCGTTTCACTTCCTACCTTCAGAACAGAGCTTGGCAGTTTGTACCTAACAGTCATTGCCAAGGACTCAGAACTGATAATAAGTACTCTTAGGCTGGGTGAATAAAAAAATGATGGTTGGAAAATAAAGTAGGAGTTATCTTGTTTGTGTTTTTACATTCTTGAGGAGGTGACAGATGAGGACAAGGCTTTGTATTATTTCAATTTGATTCCACCATGAAAATTGCTCACACCAATGAAATGTTGGTGCATTGAGCGGGAGTCAGAGGGGCCCTCTGACTGCCATCCCCCAAAGTCCAGGGGCCCTCTGATTGCCGTCCCTGTCCCCCCTGCCCAATTCATATCACCCTTCTCTCTCGGTTCTCTTCAGATATGCCCTATGACAGTGTGAGTAGTCATAAGATCCTAGAGAATAGAGGCCCTCTGACATTGCAATTTGCATCGGCATCTGCATCGCCTGGACCCTTGGGCCCCTAGGCGCCGGCCCCACTGGCCCAGTCAGTAATACGGCCCTGGTTCTGATGAAAGCGCACATGGTGGGAAACTAACTGTGTACCTATTTAATTGTTACTAAAGCACAAATATAATTATTAAATTACATAATCCCTTTGATTGAGCTGTCCATGTCGCTTGGCCATGATACTGTAATGGAAACAGCGTCAACAACACTGCTTTCTAATGTCTTTTTTTTTAAACAAGGAAAAACAAAGTTATTTTAACATGTCTCACCTTGCTCAGAGTATTTTACTAAATATGTACAAAGCCCCCTGTTGCATGGTTCTCACTCAAACAATCACAACATAGTGGAAAAACACAAGCGGAAAACACAGTGATGGTGATAGGATTTATTTACTATCCAAGGTGCAGTACAAAAAAGTCTGTTTGGAAGTTACAACAAACTCCAGTCTGATAGAAGGAAAGGCTCAGGAACCCTTTAAAAAAACCTAGCCCCTCCCAGTTGGCGTTATTACTAACATATGTTTGGAAAAACTAATTTTTCACATTCAAACCATTTTTACAATTTTTAACTTTCAGACCTTTTTCTAGAAGTTTTTGCCATTTTCACAAAGTTTTTACACAAATCAATGGAGCATTATTTGTAGGGATTCATGGCAAACAACAATGGAATTATTTTTTCTTGTATCACGTGACCACTTTGACCCACCGTACCAACCTATTTTACGTACGGAAGTCATGCGCTCTGTTTCTGTACCTGGAAACCTTTTCCGGCATGGTGGCGGGAATGGACGCCCGGCGGGTAAGTGGAGAGATGAATATCTATTAGGCTGTATTAGGACAGGGTAAAAAAGTGCTTAGAACGTGAATCTCGTTCCACTTCAGTGGGGCAACATGACCTGTGATTCATAAAATAGCTGTATTGATAGTAAGGACTAAAAAAAATATCTACTCATGCCATCCTGTCGATTTTTTAGTAATCAGTGTTTCGGTGTCGAACTATTTCCTTTCTGCGGCGTAGTGATACTTGCACACGCGCAATCGAATATGCAGGGGGTGAAGCGATTTTTGTCAAGTGGACCAATAGGAGCCGAGTCTCGTTGCCATAGTATCAGAAAGACACAAACATGGCGACGAGCGCATCCAACACCGAGACAAGCGAAGAGGAAGAAAAGAAAAGAAAAGAAAAAGAAAACAGCTTTCAAAAGTGCATAAAAAAGAAACGAAACGATGCTATATGCATCTATCATCTGTCCAGAGTGAAGACGTTCTCAACTTTACAAGGACACGTTGGGAAACTTACAGAACTAGTATTGGAAAGTGGCTTTCTCTACAGGGTGAGACAAAGGACCTTGCAGAAACTTATAAACATTGCGTTGATATCGACTTTGACAATGTTCCTGATGACGCTGGGTTTCACATGACATGCTACCAGCGATTTATTTGCAAAAGGCGTTTGAGAAACAAGAACGTGATGCAGCCGCGGGTCAGTCAAACTCTTTAGCCAGCATCGCCGACGCATCCACGTCCACGGCATCTGAAACTCCGCGAAAGAAACTTCACTCGAGGACATAGGCTGTATTGGGACAAAGGAGAAAGTGTCGAGAAAGTGAATTTCGTTCAACTATGCTGGTGCTACTTGTTCAATGTATTTTTGCATAGACAATACCATTCTGGACTCTGGGTTAAAATATCTACTCAGACTGTCTGTCAGACTTTTGTCACCAGCCAGAAATGTACATATATGTAAATAACGCAAAAACAATTATATGGTGCTGCTGTTTTTGCTTATAGAAACTGCTATGTTGATTCTGGCAAGGTAGAATCTTTCTCAAATGTCATAAATACATCTACCTAACATCTAAAACAGTTATTGGTGCCTTAGTTTACACAGGTGAATTCATATTATGCAATGTAGCAAATTTCTTGAAGAAAATGTCTCAACTCAAGTGATTTGCACCCAGCACAATGAAATATATACAGTAAATTTAGCTAAAGCTTATGTTTCATACATAAAAATGACAAATATTTTTTTTAGTACTTACTTTCTATAGAGCTATTTTATGAATCACAGTTTATGTTGCCCCACTGAAGTGAAACGAACCAACACGATCTCGCTCAGCCAATACAGCCCATATGTTTTGAACATAGACAGTCTATGGTTTTGAATGTATGTGTTAGCGCTGTTTAGTGGGGAATTAGAGACGCTGGAGGGGAGGGAAATGTTTGCCGCGTTTAAGTCGGTATGTTTGTGGCTCAGTGCGCTGCCCGCGGTCAGTGAGGACACGTTTTTCACATTCATTGACAAAAATGACTCAAGGAATGGAAAGTTGGGATGACTGTTTTAGAAGGGAGATGATTTTGACCATTTTCATTTCAAGGGAGATGCCACGATTTGATTTGAATGTGTGTACATGCAGAGCTGGAGGAGCAGACTCGTAAAGCTCTGGAGTTGAAGCTGCAGAGGAAGCGGGCGAAGGAGGAGGCAGAGCGGCTGGAAAAGGAGAGGCAGATGGCTGAGGAGGCCAAGGCAACACTGGCTCAGCAGGCAGCAGATCAGATGAAGAACCAGCAACAACTGGTACCGACATTTAACTAACTTCTAGTTTACTCTTTACCCTGGTGCATTTGGTAAGATTGGTGGAGAATAGGATAGGATGTTTCAGGGTTGCATTTCTAAAGGCCACAATGTATTGGTTATATAAATGGCATGACTCAAATTTCCCTTTATCCTCTGATGGACACATGGCTGGAAGGTTAGTTGCTTTATTTGCATACACTGAATAAAAAGCTAATGTGAGGCAACATTGATCCCATTTTACTGTTTGTGCTCTTTTCCTGCATGAGCAGTGATCACTTTGGCGGTTATTTCACTTAAAGTTAAATATTCTTCTCTATTTTAGTCACACTTAAGTCTTTGTTGCCCTTTTGGTATAGTCTAAGATAAAAGTCAGCAGCAACTCACCACATTTTTCACGAGTTTTAGTCTCAAGTAATTACTTCAGCCAGTTTTTGTCTTCACTTTGCCTAAGAAAAAACAGACACCAAAAACATTGCTCATCAATGTTAATGACAGTTTTTGAGAATTCAGTGTTGCATGACTGCCCCAGCGTTGGTGAGAGAAAAATAAAACACACAAGACCAAGTAATTACACTGATTAATGACAAATAAAAGCTTGAGTAGGCTTTTTATTGCTCACCTTTTCACACACAATAACAGTTAACATTTAGCAACAGCTTTACAGACTCTGTAAGTAGGACAGCTTTGTTTTCGAGCTTTAGTTTTGGGTTTCATACCTAAAGCTCATTTTGGCTCCACTGCCCTGTAGTTCAAACATCTGAAGAGATCCATGTCAAAAAGTTTTGCAAAGACAGTTTAACCTTAAGCATTTAAGCCCCTTTGACAGTATGAGCTTAGTTTTCAGTAGTATTGCAAACTGTGCTTCTAGTGCTATGCTTGAAGTCAGTGTTTTTAATGACATTGTTGGGTTTTGGGATAAGATTTAATTCGACAGCGGGACACAGTGAAAAAGCAGCAACTGTCATCTTTTTTAAATTTGGTCTTTTGTAACCATTCAATAAGAAAGGAAGGACATTAAAAGTCAATTAACAGTGTTTTATTTGGCTTTGGTCCTTAGGGGAGCCCACTTATATTCTTTCTGTAACAGAAATGTAGTTTAAATAAAATCAGAAGAACTACAAGTAGGAAATACACTGTGATAAACAGTCACATCGTTAATACCTTATTTTTCTTTTCTTTGAGGATGAAACAAAATACAAAAATCTGTTAAGGAAACAACCACTCACATTTCATGAAACAGTATTCAGACTGAGCCTAAGGCAAGTTTAAGGCAGTAAAATCACATCTCAACAGAATGAGGGATGCATGTTGACAGCCATCACATATAACAACCAGAGGTATGTTTCTGTTGAATCTCCCTTACTCAGCAACACTGACTCCGACTACAATCTCTTATTGTGGAAAGACATCAAGTACATTTAGAAAAATAGCTCTTTAACAATGTCAAGATAGTAAAAAAATATTATTTTGCCTCCATAAACTTAATCGGTCTTATAAATCCGAAGGAATGTTGACACAAACCCTTTAGAGGTGTGTAATATTAGGTTGTAGTGTCCCATCCCCATCACAAACATTGGCACACAGTGCCAGTCAGAAAAGGAAGGCGAGAGCACCTCAGTTATGACTGACTTGCTGAGTAATCACATCATAGCACATGACCATTACAGTGACAGAAGAGAAGCATCAACTGTTAGGCTTTAGACAGCGTGATAACACCGGCAGGGATTACTGAGGACTCGTTCCTGAGAGTAACACTTTTCAGATTACACTAGAGCCCTTAAGAGAAAAGCTTTTCAAGTAAGATCACTCAAAGACTACAAAGAGGAAAATGTGGTGGTTTTAGATTCTTCTGATTCAGAGCCAGAAGCAAAAGCTTAAGAACAGCTGTGCACCAAGCTGAGTCATTTGAATTGTTTTGTTTTACAGCTCTTACTCTATTCTTGTTTCAAAATGGGTCAGAAATACTGTCCTGAGGGGAAAATTGAGACCACCAGGCTCTAGTGTCTCAAAACTAATGAGACAATATTGCCTTTAATATGAACACTTTAAACCACAATACTGAATACTTCTTAGTGCGGTAAGAGCTTTTAATCAGCCTTGGGCTGACTCAACAACATCCCTTGTCACATTTGGGCGTCTCATTTTTGGGGGTTACTCAAGTATTCTCACCGTTCAGTGTCACCATAAAAATACTTGAAACTTTCACCTTCTCTCTCTAGAAAGCCCTTTTACATAAACATAGGCTTCAAACCAAAGATGACAAATAACCACTGATAATTATATCCAACATACTTTGTGTAAATATTATTATATCAAACAATTATCTTGTTTAAAAAGTTTATATGATACAATTTGTATCAACGAAAAGAGGTGCCATCTGGCTACAAGATACGTCAACCAGGCAAGAGTTTAAGCTTTAAAAACAGTTAATCAGATCTCAGATAATGATCCAGTAGGTGTTGTTAGAAAGATTAAAGAATACTTTTTAGTACCACAGTTACAGTTGAAGTGCTTTACTTTGAAAAAATGACATTGAAAATCAAGAAATTAGTAGAAGCCACAATAATGTATATCGGCTTATTCTTAGTCAAAGTAGTTATGCATTTTTAACTAATTACTGTCATAAAAACTGAAGTCGTAGTCAACAAGTACATTTTTGTATGGCTCCAATTCCTAAACAGTTGAGATGCTAAGTAATTAGTGAAACAAAAACAAAATCTTTGGTTTGCAACTAATTTACGATGCCAAATGTAATTGAAAATAGTGCAAAGAAAACATATGAAACAATGAAATTTGACTTTTTTTGTTTCTTCCAGTATCGGTACAGAAATACAGAAATTCCAAATTGTTGTACAATTTTCTTACACAGTCTCTCACAGAGTAGAAAATCTCTTCCTATCTTTATTCAGAGAGATTTAGCCTCTCTGAATTCCCCTTTTTATGTCCAGTCATGTTAACAACCTGTTGTGAATTAACCTCATTAGTTGGGAAATGTTCCTCCTAGTGGTTTTTGTTAGCAGTTTTTTTTTTGGCACAATACAACTTTTTCAGGGATTTGTTGTCCCCAGCCCAACTCTTAAAAATATTTCTATTATCAAATTTAGAGTGAGCATTTTATATAAAACTAAATTTTCAGTTTGTTTTGTTGTCTTCGCACTATTTTCAATTAAACCATCACAATGTATTTTCTAATACACTTCTACTAAGTGTACTGACTTTTTCAAATTTGGGTTGCATTTCGAATCTTTCATCGAATGTCTTTCTCTACTACACCCCTGCAATTTGACTTATCCAGTGGTATTGATGGAGCTTCTGAAAAAAGTTTCTTAAGCTTAACACAAAGGCCTATGAGGTTTTCATAGCTCTCATAACATAAACAGTGTTTGATAACAAACTAAGCCAGAAAATTTTGATCTCAAGACGTTTGTTGACCCATACCAATGTGTAAATGTTCAACAGTATAGGCCTCTGTTTATTTACAGAGGGTTACACATCTTCTATACCCTGTTTGAAGGTGTCCAAACCCTCAGCTGACATAAGAGACCCTGTGCCTCATGCATGTCAGACATTCTCGCAAATAAAAAGAGAAATAAATTAACACAAATTTTAAATTAAAGTCAAAATTAGATTAAAGGTCTTCATTCCACCTTGACAATCCTGATGTTTTCCAAGGCCAACTTGATGTGATTAGGTTTGATATGTTTAAAAATTGTTGAAAATCAGCACTGAAAGCTAGAGAAGCATGAAGTCAGCTGACAGGACTACCCTAGCAGAGGAAATACACTAAAATTAATAACAGCCCTTGGGGTTTTTGAGTGGAGTTTTCACTATCGTTTTTTGTGGGTACTGTCTGAGTTTCACTTCCCTTTCGGGGAAATCCAAAGAAGCTAGCCACAGCAGCTGATATGCCACCTGCCAGCGAAGACTGAGCTGTATGCTCGGCTGAATTAACAACTGAGCGCCTTGGGAATGTATATGAGGCAGTAAACCGTTACTGTTATGATATTATGTAATAGGCTCTACCCATGTAATCTCAGAGATTGGAAAACAGCTATTTGGCACAGATGGAAAGGACATTAGGGCTTTTCTTCTACCCTGACATGATTGCCAAAAAAGATAAGGTGGAACAAAACTTGAACAAAAAAGTGCCAAAAACAATTATTTTAAAACACGTTAATAACTTAAAATATAAAAAAATAATTTAATTTAAAATCAACAACACTGTCACCCTTATAAAACACAGAAAGCCTCCACAAGCACAGGCCCAATATGCCCATTCTTGGTTGCAAGTGCTGAAATAACCAGCATTGTTAATATGATAATTTCTCTGAAAAGTACATTTTAAAATTAACAGATCAACTTACCTGCAATGGAGCTAAGCACTCCACTGACAATGAAAGGCTTTTGGTTTGTAGACATCAAACCTCACTTCAGTAATTCAGACCATTTCAAAGAATAAACCTACAAAATTAGTCAAATATAGATGAAGCTGCAACTTCATCTTTTGGCTTTGTTCAACATCAGTGCTGCGATTTCTCCATTAGTATCGCAGCTGCAAGCTCCTGAGCATCCATGACATGAGGGTTCCTGGTCATCACAATCCTCACCAAATCTGGAGGGAAGATACGGCTCAAGTTTACAAACATTTTCTCTCTTAGGTCCTGGTATCTACCCAAAGCAGGAGGTTCCTGGTGCTGGGGCACTGAGTGCAGGGGGCTTTTGTGGGCAGTGATGGATGGTGAGGATAACTGTGGGAATGTTGGAAGACTCGATGCTGAAAGGGCATGAGGTGATGAATGAACTTGTCTTTCCCAAGGAGAGTGCCAGGATTTCTCTTGGACTTTTGGAAGACTCTGAAAGGTAAGCAGGTCAAAGCTAGGCTTAGGGGACTGCTGGTGAAGGCCACCCCAGTTTAACTGATGCTGTGGTTGTTGATTTAGTCCTGGGTGGTTACTTTTAGAATGAACTGGTGACCCTTTGTACACATGGGGGTCCTGGAGTCCACCCATCTGCCAAGGGGAGTCCATTACATTGTGCCTTTGTGAAATCTGAGAGTAGGAGTGAGTGGTGGGTGCTTGAGGTGGGCGGACTGAGAATTCCCCTGGAAAACCGCTCAGCAAATGGTGTGGAGGTAGGGTTGGTGTGAAGGCAGAAGGGGCTTTGAAGAGATGTGCAGATGCATGCGAGGTGACAGGAACTGGTGGGCCCTCTGAGGCGAAACCATGTTGTCTCTGCAGTGACTGAGGAACTTCAAGGCTATGAGAGACATGCTGGCCAAGTCCAGGAGGAACACGGCTTACACGGTGAGTGTACTGACCAGGGCAATGCTGCTGATGATGGTAGTGATGTTGGTGAGGATGGTGACACTTGGTGCATTCATCTAGCAAAGGGTCGGGGGAGAATGAGTCTGAGCTGACACTGCCTTCACTGCTACAATCTGATGCCAGTGATGAAGCTCGCAGATCTGCTGGGGAGAAGCATTCAGGACTCTGAGGCACCACCAGGCTGAGGCTAGAGTAGGACTTCAGCAGTGAGCTGTAGCCCAGGTCTGGGGACTCACATCTATGGTAAGTTTCAGCCAAATTTGGTCCTGAGGCTCCAGGCATTCTGATGCTTCCTCCGGCACCACTCCCAGGTTGCTCCCATCGGTCCAGAGACCCCAACAAAGGGGGTCCCCCTGGAGCAGCATGCCCTAGAAAAATGCTACTACAGCTACTGCTGCTGCTGTTGCTCCCCCGCCGCCCCTGTACTTTAGACTGGACCCTGAGTCTGTCCTCCAGAAGGTCATTTAGGGAGAACCGTGGACTAGAGATGAGCTGTTTCTTTGGAGTGTCCTGACTTGGTTCAGCTTCAACCCTTCTTTCAGGTGGACCAGCACTTTGGATCTTCACCATCAAGGGATCTTCCAGCAGGCCTCTGGAAGCTACTGATGAAATTTTGGCACTAGCACGGAGCTCATCAGCAACAGCTCGCTGGGGCTGGCTGCCCCTCTCAGGGTGGTAAAACTTGCACTTGTGGCCATATGTGCACTTCTTTCCTAAAGGAGGGACACAGACATCAAGGTTTAGCATCGTCTCTGTATGTGAACAGTATTTTGTGCTGTGCTCTTTTCCATGTTATCATGTTTGAACAGTTTACAATAGAAATGTTGTGACAATTAAATAATTAAATAATAAATTAGAATTAACACATCTTTAGGGCTGTCCTGTGGGTGTAGATTTTTACCATAGGGACATGGCTGCCTCCTGTGTTCAGGGATAATAGGCCTTTTCCTCAGGAAGTTCTCCAGACTTGGTCCATGGCGTCCCAGTGGGTCATCTGGAGGCATAAACCTAAAAAGATATTTTACAGTTTAAATTTCGATCAACTCGAAGTTTCAATGGACAATCCCCCCATCAGGCATAGAATTTTGAAATTTTAAAAATTTTCTCCCCTTTACTGGTCATTTTTGCTATGAGTGACTCACTTGTCGTTTACGAAGGAGTACATCAGTAGACGCTCATCAATGAACTTCTTCCACTCTGGTTTCTCGTTGGCTAGGTCACGGTAGTTGTCATTGGAAACAATGATGCCATCTGACTCGTAGGCCAGTTTGACGATAAAACGATCATCATAGCAAACCACTCTGCGACCCTGCACACGGCGTGATGGAGTGAACACAAGGATCTTGTCTTTCTCAAGTCGCCGTAAGATCTCTTGGTCTGCAGAAAAGGATTGTTCACACATAAAAAGAGTCAAGAAGAGAACTAGAAACATAAACGGACACCGCAAAGGACCTTGGCACATCAGTGTTTTTGATTTGTGTCATTTTAACATCTACTACCTGAGATAAGAGCATCAGGTCTGGACTGTTCTTTTCTCCAGGCAGGGACAAAAACAGTGATGTCACGGTGGCCTCGCTCCAGGAACCAATCAACAGCCAACTGGATGCCTTGACAGGAAAAGACTTCCTTATTTCCATGACTGCAAGGGCAGAAAGATGTGTTAATGTCAACCCAAGGGATACATCGAAACATTCCTCAGAATTCTGATCTCTGGATGCAGATTCAGATTTCCTACCTCATAGCTACATTGCTCCCATCCACCACAACAGGCCGGAAGTTGTCTTTGTCCTCAAGCAGGCGAGACTGGCACAGTTGTTGACAAGAGTCCAGAGAAGAGGTGGGGGTAGAGGAGGAGCAGGCCAACGAGGAAGACAAAGAGGAGGAAAAGTGGGAGACCATTGGACCATCTTGTTGTTTTGTCTCTGTCTTGGTTCCCAGTTTGACCAGCTCACCCAGGATGTCATTGATGAGTGCATCCGGGCCAAGTTTCCTCAGCACCAGAAGCACCAGCTCCTCAGGGTAGCCAAGCTTGAGAGCAAAGTCTACCTTGTTCTGGTACTCAGTTGAGGGAGATGATGTTTCAGGCTGTGCAGGGTCAACACAGGACTGATTTGATGCCAGGTCCAGTCTGACCATCTGACAGGACTCTTTGAAGTGAAGGTTAGGGGTGTGATCTTGTGAATCAGTACCAGACCGAATTTGGAGTCGCTCATCGTCACTATCTGAGACTGCACTCTCCTCAGATAAGTTACTGCAACTGCTACTGCTGCTGTAGCCTGAATGGGTACTAGAGTTAGTGCTACTAATACTAATACTGCTGTTACCTGGGACATTAGGTCTTACATGTAAGACCCCTGTATTTCCAGGACCTGTCACAATGCTTGAGCCCACCTGCTGCTCAGCACCTTCCACATGGAGGTAGTCCAGATCCAGCCCCAGGCTGAGGATGTGGCCTGTCCCATCGTCCAGATGGTCCTTTACGCCCATGAAGCTGTCTCATACATCCAGCTCCACGCCCTCCTTGACCTCTCAGGCACCTGACAGACCCCACTGTTACTGCTGAGAGGTTACCGCTCACTGAGTGGTCCTGGAAGTGAAGCTGGAGAGGAGACACAAAAATCATCAGTTAGACTGCCAAAGATTGCATGGTAGCTGTTTTGAGCAGATGTGGTGGGAAATGTTAAAGACAGGTTTAAAGTTACTTATTCTGGCACCCACACTAAAACTGGGTAGGTGATCAGATTTGATTTTCTGTCACAATGTATCTAAAGGAGAGAGTTTTGTAGCACAAGGAAGTTGCTGACTCATGTTCATTGTGGCTGTATTTTCAACACACAGCAGCACAACTATCATTCAGCCACAAATGGAGAACAGAGAAGGGACGAGGAGGAGAAGGCAGATGAGAGAGTGTTTGAATGTGTCTGAAAAGCAGAAGGATGGAGTATGAAAAATGAAAAAGCGGCTTTAGTGATTTAGTGAGTGACATCAGTCTATTCCCTTTTCAAAATATAGGTCATAGGGTCCCTTTCAGTTCTGGTAATATGATTTTATTTCATACATGTTATTTTCTTAAGCCAACCGGTAAGTTTTGATTAACAAAAAGCATTTCTTTTTGACTTATTGATGTTTTCTTCAGGGATTTTGGTATATTAGGTTTTAAAGAATTGCTTAAGGTTGCATAAATGTGTGTTTGACAACAACAAGCAGCCCTCATCCTGGCTTATACACAGATCTCAGATGTTCTTAAGTTAAGCATCCAGTGTAGTCTAGAGACTTTCTTAATAATAATAATAATAATAATAAAGTTAAAAGATGGACTAACTCTTACGCCTTCTGCCAAATCATGTACAAAAAAGCCTTAAAATAAACTTAAAACTGCTGAATGTTGTATTATTTTATAGGTAACACAGCAAGCCTGAGGGAAAAAAAGCAAGAAACAAATTTCAAGTTGGAAACAGTAACCTCTCTTTCCTGCTGTTCCACCTCTACTGATTTGCATTTTAGCTGCAATGATCCCTTTTGTCAAAGACATCAATTAGGCTAGAGGCGAAATACCTGACGTCTGAGGCTAGAACAATGTCCAGGTGCAGACAAACTACTTGATTCCACGTACGTCATGGCAGAGGGTTATACCCTGTGTTTAATTCAGGTAATACTCTGGAACATTCAGCATAAGCGAACGGGCCAAGCTGATGACGCTGCTTCGGTTTAAGGGAGTGTTACTCTTTGGCACTCCTTACTGTCTTAGATGAATTTATTGGTTTCCATTGTGTTTGTCTTGTGGTCTTAATGGATGATACTGGTACAGAAATAGTTATCATTGCTAAGGACACCCCACCTGCATGTGCTATCCAGTTGCCTACACCAAAGACAGTATTTTGAATTGAGAGCACGTCCAACTTTAATATTTTTTCCCAGTGAGGTGCATACATGAATGGCAAGTTCATTGGAAATATCGGGACATACATGTCCTTAATTATTTTTAAAAAATGTCAAGTTGATGTGTGATACAGCTCTGGTTTAATCTGATGATAAACACTGAATAACTCCTAACATTAATCTGAGGACATACTGTAAGTCTGCTGCCATAACATCTGTTTGTTGAGACAAAAGGATACAAATTTAACAACACAAGAAAGACCAACTGGACCAAGAAAACTCACATAGTTCAAGTGAATAAACCTGACCTGTTACACAGTCTGTCAACATGCACATTTCAGTTGACCCATGTTTATGGTTAGGCTCAGTTAGGTTATTCAAATGGACTGTTGTCCTAACACAAGAATCACTTGTTTACAAAGTAAATCCTCCTCCACCATGCTGACTGCCAATACGCCCCCTTCCAGCTGCTGTATGTTGAACCTTTTCTTGGCTGAATTATTCAACAAAAGACAACAGTTGACAACGAGTTAGCAAGAGGCTAACTGGTACATCAAACTGAGGAAACACTGATGACTCTACGTCCCCTTTCCTTTGTACATACAATACCACAGTTGTGTCTCTGTTACTTCTCCTCTTCTGATGAGGTTTGCTGGCTGGCTTACTTCTTCATTTATTTACACTGTAACCTTGACCTGTAGAGCATATATAAACAATAAGGTCAGTTTGGGTCTGTCTATGGTGTGTATAGTAAGTGGAAATTGATCCCACACTGCATTATCTTGGTATGTTAGTCTGACCCTGAGGACTTGCCTGTTAATGTGAATTTTAAAGGTCATGTTTCAGTCAGATTAAAACCATTAATCCACCTTTTTAATTACATTCACTTGCAGAGTCCTGTCTCAAGCTTGGCTCTAACCACAAAGATGCAAACCTTGTCACGCCTTCGGAGTCAGTGTGTGCTCCAAATTAAACATTTAAGGATGACATAAAACCCTGCAGGCTAGCTTCTACCCATTGAAGTTCATTGCCAAACCATGACCTTCTCAGGGAGAATTATCTCTTACACAATCTTTTAAATTATATATAAAAGTTGCGTAACAACAACAATATCATCAACAAAAGAGGATATTTCAGAGGCATTTATCACTCATTTAGTGATTTAGTCGATTAGTGTCTAATATGTCATAATAGATTATCTGCCTGGCTGCAGCTCCTCAGGATGACCTCCTGGTTACATAGAATAGCGTGAATACACCTCAGTTATCTCTTTCAGACCAGGCTTTTCTTACTTTCACAACAAATTAAAGGTTCAGATCTTGTAGTGCACTGGCTGAAATGACATACTCTGTTTTTTTAATACATTAACTTGCAGATTTACTAAAATGTTTCAAACATCTTGACTTCACTTGTGAAACCAACGGTATGAGTAAAAATGCATACGGCACAGCTGCTAAATAAAACCGTTTTTATAAGTTATTTTGGATCATTATTTTGTTGTCAGAAGTCAGAGAAAGCTCAAGTCTCATGCCAAACATTAGTTTTGTTTGTTTGTTTTTTTTTAGCATCCACTCACATCAATAAATTGTAGTATTACATACATTATTCCTCACCTTAATACATCAAAGTGTACAACCAAGCAAGACACAAGCAAAATATTACTTGGAGACAAAAAAGACTTTAGGTATGTTATAATTTGTAAAAAAAAACAATTTACAACCAGTATACCCGTATTCAGCACAGAGTTATCGTATTGTATTATCTTATTTTACTCAGCACACGGTGCTAGATTGAAGCAAGCAGCCTTTCCTGTTAATCAAATACGCAATACTTAGCAACCAAGACAAGGCTATTAGCAATGCCTTTTTATTACAAATGCTTTTCACTCAGCCTTTAAAGAAACTATGGAACACCATTAAGAAAATAAACCATGTGGAGTGCAATGATCTGTTATTGTTTTGTTTTTTAAAGACTCCTGGTTGTTGTAAATCAATGGTGTGTGTCAAATTGTTGTCAGACAGTGGGTTTACTATATATTACAACTATCAACACCACTATAGGCTCAGTTGAATTACTTGTAGCTAGCAGGACTACAAACTTCATGTACAGAAAACAGATAGTACTAGAAAGGACTACACATCAGCACAAAAATTGCACATTGCTGAACTTTTTTTTTTTTCTCTGATAGCCCCCCCCCCCGACTGCATTTTATATATTGCTGCATGTACTTTATTGGTACAACTTTGCTTCCAAAGTTAAAGGCTAGGGGTGTATTTGTGAAGGTTACAGGGACTGAGACGAAGCTCTTATGTTAAACCTCATTATGTCTGTAGCTGAATGTTGGCATACAGTCATAATGAAAGCAGATGATAATGACGGCCAGGATGTGCTGCCAGGGTTTCTCACGCATAGACCCTTTGTAGGTGGACCTCCAAAGTATTTGCATCAGCATTTTACTTTCTTAATCTGCTTGAGATTGCTATCTTGAGTGTTTATGATTTGATGTCGTGTGAACTTTAAATTTCTCTGAAGGGAAGATAAGAGTCAAACTTGAGAGTTTAATCTTTCAGAGAAAAGTGCTTTTTTTATGTAACCATTGTAACTGACAGAGCACTTAAAAGTGTGGGCCTCTGGAGAGCTTTCTCTTACAGGATTAGTTTGACATGAGCAGGCAGTTTTATGAAAACCTGCAAGGGAAGCACCAGTAATTCTGATTTTAGCCCCATGCAGCCAAAAGTTCAACAAGTGCAGAAATTTTTAAAGAAAATGTGTGTAAAAAAACGAAACAAACAAAAACTAAACACAAGATTTATTCAGCTATTGCACACATAATTTTTCACAAAAGGCTAAAACACTCCAAAATACTGGTAGTGCCGTTCTTTAAGTAATCGCAGGACCATGAAAGATGACATTTTTTATTAAATTTTCAATGTACACCATTCAAAGTTTCTCCTGTATAAGAATTTTAAAGAGATTCCTTAACAGTGGTCACATCCTCCCTCTGTTATAGGGGTGGGGGTCCGCTTATTGTCTGAAACAAAGGGAGATCTAATCTGATGAGTAATTACTCATGACCCCTTAAAAAAACAACATATGTTCATGATTTCTCCACATCTCCAGAGTCAAGGACACACTTATTCTAGCTGTAATTTCCAGAAAGCTTCTTTTAAGGCTGACTTAAAGGTTCTCGAAGATCTAGTTCATACATCTTTATCTGACTAGTAAGACATGGGCATTGTTCATTGTATTACAGATAATTAAATTTCAGAACAATAGATAGGATCATCCTTCAGTTTGCTCCAATTATGTTTTAAGCTCTGGACAAAGATGTGAATGTAAGGGACAGCACCTGCAGTCGCTGGTTTGATGTGGGTTGAGTGTCCGTTAGCATGCTTGAGTGGGATTTTACACCACAAACAAATATGTGGTGTGATAAATGTGGTTGTTTACGAGTGGAAATACCCATGTAGGGTACTTCCACAGTGTCGAACCGCTTATCAACTCAAACCAAATTAGTTGTTTCCATCATTTAATTTCGTGCTAGACACTCATTTCAGTGCTCGTTTTACAGCATGGTTTTGTTGGAAGATTGCACTATGAGCTGCACTTTATGCTTTAGTGTGATTGCTGAGTAAACAGGGCACTAAATGTGGAGGTGGAAAGATGTCAAGACGATAGTTGCTTTAGTAGTCTAATCCATCCACAGGAGAAGAATAAGTATATGAAGTGTTAGCAAAAAAATTCAAATGTACAACCTTAATTTAGGTATAATAGGTGGTAGATTAATCTAATCTAATTAGCTTTAGCTACCAATTAGACTTATTATAGATTAGACTGGAGAAGCCATCTTACTATTATGGTTTATTAATGCATATCTGTGTTTTTGTTGTCCACACTACATGGTGCCCATACTTTTACTCTAAGTACCGGGACATGGGATAACCAATGCCATTTTCAATTCTTTTAATAACCCAATTTTTGGGTTTTTTTTTGGTTCTGTGATCAGTGCCTGCAGATAAAAAAACAGGTTTTCTGTGCCAATACCACAAATTTTTATAACATGTTTTATTCCCTTCACTGCTCAGTGAATGGAAAGCCTAGCTTCTGGCAGGACCTGAAGAGGTCAGCTGATTACAGATACAGCTCTCTCATTGGTGGACAGAGGAACTGTCCAGCATTGTCAGCTGATAACAGAAATGGCTATGTTTCCCAGTAAATCCTAACAGGTTACCTTCGTTTTTAAAGGGATTTGACCCAAGTAATCCATCGTCTATGTTGGATAGAAGAAACCCTGATTGTTCCAGAAGCCCACAGTTTACTGTTAAAAAACAGGTTCATACTGCTCTGTTCTAGAGTTGGCAGTGTAGGCACGTTACGTCTGATGATCATTTTCCCACATCTTTGGTTGTCTCCGGTGACAAGTAACACAAATTTTTTTTACAAGACATGCAGAACCAAGAGGAGAGCATCAAGATAGGTTCTTCATTCACATCCCATATTGAGACAGACCATAAGTCTGCTTGTGTTTTTTTTTCTTGCAATGTTGTTGTTTATATCACTGCACAAGCATGCAGGATTGGCTGATGAGGTATATCAGTTAAAATTTTAGTTACTGTATGTCAGACCTTGTTTAAAATGGGTGTTTTGTTTTATAATGGATTTGTATTCTTGAAGGACAAAAACCACCATGAGGACAACTTTTTCATGACTTATTTTTATCCATTCTTAATAGAAAGATGTGAGAACTCTGACAGAGGCGACAGAAACACAGTCAGACCACTATTCATCAAGCTACTAACCATTAATCTTGAGGATTAATTTTTTAAAAGGAACAGTAAGCGTGTGGTTCCCCTCACCACAGATGCTAAACTGGATGGACATCAAGAATAACAAAAACCAGCACCAAAAACTGCTCTGAAAGGGGCTTATTCTAGAGACGCTCATTATATGAGCTGTCTCTGTCAACTGTTTCAAAATTGTTATTTTTGATCATTGTCCGCATGCATGTGCAGTTATTATTTAGAGACATTTGTAATGAAGAGTCCCTTCAATCTTAAGCCAAAGCACCGGAAGGCAGGGGCCTCTTAATGCCCCGACCCCGACGTCTAAGCTGCCGCGCCGCTGTTTGTCACCCTGAATGCCACAAGAAAGCCGGAATAATTTAGTTCGCCAACAACAAAAGAGGCACAAAAGCAAAGAGTGAGAGTGTGTTTGTGTGTGTCAGGGGGTGGGGGGAAGAAGTGTGTCTGGCTTGCCGTCCCTCAACAATGCAGCTGCCACCCAATCTGTCCTCCTGTGACGGAGGTATTGTTCTCTGCCCGAGCAGCATGCACAGACGGAGGCTGGGGCTCTTTAAACTCGTTCACCCCGAGTACGACGCACACTCATGCAGATGACGCTTGGTATAACGCAGCAGTAACACCAGAGTCAGCCATCAGTTACCAGACAGTATTTTTGAGGAGTCAGCAGAAATATGACAGTGACACAGCAGGTTCAAACCACCGCTGTCGAGCTTTTGAAGCTGTGGCTGTAAGCTTTACAAAAATACAACATTAAACTGTCTTGTATATTCACTGAAATAGTACTGATAGTTTGAGCAGGAAACCCACTTCAGCTACAATTTGGTTAAAAAAAAAACCAAAAAGGAAACAAAGCGAGGAGGAAAAATGTCCCTGCTTTGAGTTCCTTCAATCCAAAGGCCTTTTGAGATGAATCATAAAGAGGATCTTCATTTAGGAAAACATGAGCTCCTTCATTGATGTTAAATTTGACTTTCTTCAACATCATTATTTCAGTATTACCTGATCTTGGGTAGACTTTCCCCACAGTTAAACTGTTTGCTAAGAACAAAGGATCCAAACCCTGCTCTTACATGGTAAGATGGATCACAGACAACTTGAGCAAGATCATACAGCCTTTGTGGATTTGAAGTAATTTAAGGATGGATATAATGGGGCTGCAGCATATTATTTATGGGATTTTGGTCATGGGGATCCTTCCTGTTAAAGATAATCAGGGGCGGACCACCAGGGTTTTCATGCGATTTTGACATTAACGTTAACTTTGGTTTAATCTACACAAAGTAAACAGACGAACAGTTATATAAGTTAGGGTCAACTTTGCCCACCTCTGGTAATATACAAAAACAGCACCTCGACTGAAGCGTGATACAGCTATGTGATTACTTTTGGTGTGATTCAATTATGTGCAAACTAATCTGTTTTTAATTAACTGTGGTGTATTTAAAAGAAAAATATTACAAGTCTAGAAAACCAATATCCTGTGTCTTTAACATATCAGCACTGTTGTTCTGCTCTAGAAAGATCTGGTGTTCATACAAAAAAATAAAGGTGTCAATAACTCATCATAGTGATTCACAGATTCACATCCATTTAAAAAAAACAAAGTAAGCGGACCCTTATTCCTGATTCATGGTTTTCTGCAAATCTAAACTCCCCAACCCACCAGTTTAGACCTGCATCATAGTTTACAAATGTCTCTGCTTTTTGCACAGGTGCATTTGCCTGAGTTTTGCAACCAACAGCTTTGCTAATCTCCATAAATTAAGATATTTTGTGCTGAAGCACAAAAGGAGGCTGCTTTACAGAAGTATTCAAAGGACATGATGTTTCTTTCAGTCTAGTCTCCTTCCTTTTGTTGCAGTTTTTTTTCTCCTTACAGCTAATTTTTTTCCGAGAGAATAACTCAACTACCCAATAATTTCTGGGTTGTTTGAGTTTTTATGGGAGGAGGGGTCTCCCACTTTGAGCAGATGCTGCAGCCTCCACCTCAGTGACCTGGCCTGCCTGCGCTGCCTCTGCAATGGGTGTACCTCTGTGCATGTCATGGTCCAGGGTTAGCCCCCTTGGGGGTGTAAAGAGGGGATGAGCTCCCCTGAGGCCAGACCCTGACCAGTCCCTCAGGGGCATTGCATGGCTGCCAGTTGCCGGCTGAGCCCAGCAGCTAGCCAGTCTGCCATACCAGTGACCGGCTGGAAGGGGGGACGGGGGGGTGTATGTGGTGGGGGTGGGGGTTTGGTAGGGTGTATGGGCAGTGGGGGCGACAGATGCCTCCTGAAGCCACAGGGGACCTCCCTGAAAGCATCCTCCAGCTCCTCCCTCTCTTGCTCTTCTTCTGCAACTGGTGGTGTCCAGATTCATCCTCAGTGATACATATCAGCACTGTCTGTCTGTCATGTGATCTTTCAGCTGGGGGGTCTGGGTAGCACTCACTTTCACCTCTGAGTTTTGGAGACCTTTATGTCTGGTTTGCTTTCCTGTTCTGACTACAGACAGGAGCAGAGAGGTGAGAAACGGTCTGATGTTCACAAATGGCTGCTTTTACATCTTAACAGCTTTTATAGTTTATGGAAATATTTTTATATTATTTATGTATAGGAAATATTTCATATTCTTTCATTTCTAGGCAAACCACAGACAACCACAGGTACCCTTTTGCACTTTTTTAAATAATACTCCAAACCAAAATATATGTCAAAATTTAACAAATTACAATAACACTCAATCACTCTAACATTTCGTTGAAATCCTTGCATTGAGATTGAGGACTCTTTAATCAGGCCGTGACATCCAAAGTGCCATAAACTTCTCTACAATTTTACTGTTTATGTATTCAAGTGTTAAGACAGTGATTCAAACTGTAATCTAAAACAAAATTATAGCAATAATTTGGGCTTCATGTTGATGTGTTCAAAAAGATTACCATGATAGGATCAGCTAAAATTCTTTCACCAAAAATGCCAGAAGTCTATCGAGTGTAAAACAAACTGCTTTGAATAGAAGATAATACTTATTTCCACAACAAAGCACTCAGATGTTTGCCTTGGTTTTGCACAGATAAAGCAATTTTTAAGAGCACTTACCAAACAGCTCCAAGAGAAACAGCAAACCAGCCAAACAGAGCAAATGCAACGACTCCTGCAATTTCTTTCATGAAATGTTTTTGTAGATCATCCCAGCAGTAAAATGCAGAGTGAAAAAAAGCCTTAAAGGAAGTTCCTCAAAAATGAGGTTTTTAAAGCGTAGAATCCTTTAATAAGGCAAAAATACAAAAAAGGCTTGTTATCCACTGAAAGAAAGTAAAGCTGTCAATCCACGTGAACAAAACCGTCTTCCTGGTTAAGTTTTAGCAGCAATCCTTTAGGAAGTTCTCCTTTTTGGCTGAGAAGCAGAGAGCGGTGTCCTGATGCTGCAGGTTTAGAGATGTGACTAGCAACAGATGGAGTGTAAGAGATCCTCCATCCCCTCTTCACTCTGAATCTGACCAATGGGAACACAGACACCAGCCACAAACATACACGTCTCACTTTCCTGTCTTCACTGAAGCTTATTTTGTACACACACCAATCAACCCAACTCTCAGCCAATAAAAAGGGACACTAAGATAAGCTGGTATATCTCCACCCACTCTGCACCCCCGACCTAAACCACACAGACACAAACACACAAAAACACCACAACTACCATCCAATGAATGGACGAGGAGGCAGGAGTTGACAATAGAGGGAGGGGGGTTGGAGGGGGGCACAAAGAAGGGACCCTCTGCAGGCAGCTGCACACACACTCACCATGCTAAGGGCCATCACACACACACACACACACACACACACACACACACACACACACACACACACACACACACACACACACACACACACACAAGCATCCTGATAGAGGAGAAAGAGGGGAGTGAAAAACCCAGAGGACCCAGAATTGAGCTCTGTGGAACACCTGTCCCACTGGGGACGGCTGCCACATCCAACCTCTTTGTTTCATGTGTGGGGGATTGGCTTGACTCAGACAATGAGACAAATTATGTTAAAAGTAGTGCGTGCTCCAAAATGGGTGTTAGCAGTGCGAGTTTGTGTGTCTGACGGAAGGTAAGCAGGTGGGGAATGATGCAGCGAAGGAGAAAAGCTGCCAAAATACCAAGAGGGAGAAAGTAAAAGTAGTCAGAATAGAGAGAAAAGGATGAAAAGTGAGAGCTGAGCTTTGGGTTTGAATGCAGCTTTGACAATATCACGACATCTTTTCAAAGACCCCCAGAGTGTGTGAAGGGGTTTTACTTATAGGCTCAGAAGGATCAGACACAAAGACTAGCTGTCCGTCAGGCTGGACTTAAACAGTTTGAGCTACCAGGTCATTTTAACCTAAGAATGGGGACAGTGTATGATTTTATCCCCACTGCTTTCAATGTCACAAAAGATCATTTACCTCTCGGTAGAAAAGAGTATAAAACAAGTATGAATACACGCCAAAACAACAACAAAAAACACTTCTGCAACATTTAGGTAAATGCTCAAATAAAAAAAAAAAAGTTAAAATGCAGGGCCAGTTTGAATATCCTGATTTCTCTTCGATTAGATACCATCAATAGTTCAATCTGTCTAATTATTTCAGTGTTGTATATTTATGTATGTCAACACATCTGCTGCTATAAATCATCAAACTCAACCCAACCAACATGACATACTTACAAACTGTCTCTTGAGCATCTAAGGTTATAATTAGTCTCTCCACTGGAGTTTAACCTACATACCATCGTACATCCGATACATTACATACTCCCTGGTTAGCCACAATAATAGAATAGTCTTTTATTGCCAGTGTAACAAGTTTGAAGAAATTTAAAAGTGCCAGAAGGTCAGTGCATGAATAAAAAGAAAAGAATTTACACTACAGTACTAAATACTCCAATAACAAAATACACACACACAGTAGTAAATACTACAATACTAATAAATCACACACACTCACATCTACCATACATTACGTCAATTTGTATTGCACAATTCCACTACTTATATGCATTGTGTTGCATTGAGGCAATGAGGGTAGTTATTGCTGTTGGATAGAAACTGTTTTTGAGTCTGTTTATCAGGACAGCTGATAATGTATTATACAACATTGCGTATTAAGAAGCATAAAGTGGATGCTCATGCTTGTGTGTTTGCATTTGTGGTGATTGACAGAGCAGCGAAAAACAAACGCGAGTCATAAAAGTTGTTGAACCCCTTTCGCTACGCTGTTTATGGCTCATTTATGAGAACAGAAACTTTATCACTTTGGCAGCCAGCTCTGATGGCCCGTTGCCAGCCCAGCGAACATTCTTGAGAGGAGTGTTGCAGGTTTTTCACATGCTCGATATAGTCATTGAACAAACCACGAATTTTATCCAGTGTATTGACTAATCCCTATTCACAGCTTGGAAAGCGGCCAAGTCTGTCGTTCTTGGGGAGCCAACATGCAAATCTGCTGTCAGAGTTTCCCATTTAGGTGTGAAGTAACAACGAGGCAGGGCTGAGCACTCACTAAAGGTTATTTCTGTAAATGTCATCTGTATTGTTCATGCAAATGACACTGTCTGACATCTGTCAGACAAAGCATGTATCTGACCTAATCTAATTCAGGTGACAAAACCTGTTCATGTTCATCTTACCAAACACAGCTGCTATCTGTGTGCTGTGTCAGTTATCACTCCTGCTGTAGTCTGAGAAGGTATAATACTGAAGGTAGATTAACTACAGAAATAATCTGCCTATAAGGGATTACAGGGCCACATAGAGGAAGAAAAAAATAAGAGACTTTTAGAACAAAATTGGTACATTTATGAGAACAAAAGTACAAGAATAGTGATTTTAGTAGCAATGTTGACTTAAGTTGTGTAGTGGGAGAAAAAAAGTCATCAATCAGTAAGAAAAATAAAATTCTAGTTTGTAGATTTACAAAAAGAACACTGAAAAATTACAAAAGTAGTTATCTTATGAAAGTGAAGTTTTAAATCTGCTTTCAGGCAAACTATGACTTCCTGAAACTTTTAATTTTTTTCATCAAATTTATGACTGTCTTACAAGTGTAGGACTTTACCCTCATATCATCACATCTTAAATTCCTATTTTTTTATTTTTACATATATATATATGTATAAATCAACTCGGTTGTTGGCATCTTAACCATCTATAACCTCTCCCAAATAATGCTTCGTAATAATCAAAATAACTTGATTATTAAATCATTCTTTCACAAGAAAGAATAAATATTTGTAGGGAAAATCCAAATATCCAGTATGTTAAAAAATCAGATGACAGTCATTTCATTTTTTGACTTATCTCCCTCCCCCCCTGACTTCCCCCTCCTCCCTGACTTGCAGTATGACTCCTTAATTGGGGCTCAGCTGACAGGTTTTCCCCTCAGGGAGCAGGAGCCATGTGGACCATCTGCTTCTAGTCGCAGGATGAACAGGTGTCCTGCTCCCCGCTGCCTGCCTGCACCTTACCAAGGCCCTCGAACGCAGCACGACTCTGCACTGCACAGTGTGGCTGCTGTTTACACAAGATAAATCTGAAGAGTTTTATTTGACCTGTGAGCTGTTTCCACCTCAAACAAAAGAGGAAACATATGGAGGTGGCACCAAATCTGACAGAAAGATCACAACCACAAGAGCTGAGCCTGTTATTACAGTCCTGAGTCAGATTAAGTGATATTCTTAGACCAGGACATCTGCTATTAAACATTTTAACGATAAATTACTTTTATTAGCAAACCACATAATCCACATTTATCTCCCTGTTTTTTTAATTCAATTAAATAATTACATTTGCAAAGAAAATCTCTTTTGTTGAGCCATAGCCCTTTGTGATGCTGCGTTGTTAAAAAGTTAAACTCATCAAACATTTGGCGCTCATTCACGAATGAACCTTTTGTCTTCTAGCTTTTGGCAAAGTTGCTTGAACACAGTTTTACACCATCTGTAGTATAAATGCAACAAAACTATTCAGACAGTACCACTGTTACAACTGAGACTGGGTAACCTCAGTATTTCAGGACCTTCCAAAATCAAAGGATACCAATGGCTCGCATACAGCTGCAGTCTGCATCACTCACCAAACACAGTCCCCTGCTCTATTAGATATCACAGTTTCAATGACTTGCATTAATTTTCAGAGGTTCCCTACAAGAAAATGTAGGAATGTAGGGACATTTGTTTTTTTTTAAACTAAAGTTAAATCACATTGATTTGGCCCTGGGTTTTTTACGTGAAAGGATGTGCACAGCCAGCCTCTAACTCCACAGGGGTAGGTGATTAAAATGCACCAGTTTTAGTGAGTATCATAAAGCAGAGCTGGTATGGCAGACATATGTTTCTATCAAAGAAAATGCAAGTATGAAATCAAGACTTTAAAATGTTGCTCAGAACATCCCCGACAAGACAGAGGAAAGGTCGACCAGTAACACTTTAATTAGATGATGGAAAATCATTAAACTCTGAGGATGAAGAAAGCAGAACCAGAAAGTGTGAGGTTAATCCAAGCAGAGGAATGGATGGACAGAAAGAAACAGAAGGAGCAGCTCTTTCTCAGCCCTCTGGGTAAACACTGATCCAGGCTGCAGGGATTACTCTACTCCCTTAACAAGACCTGAGAGGAAGAGCAGCTCTCCAGCTGGTATCATCCACACACACTTTACAGGCACCATGCTAAACTAGTAACAGCCCCCCAACACACACACTGCTAACCATGGAGAGGGAGCCAAACAAACCAGACCCAACCACATGGCATGTATGTTTGAGTGTGTGTGGGGGGAGTTGAGGCAGGGTCATCGAGGACTTAGAAGGCACAAAAGCTCGGCCTCAGGCCTGCTGACCTTTAGGGTCACTAAAAGAGGCAGAATGAAAACACACACACACACACACACACCACCTGCTGTTGGCGCGGGCTGCTATTTGGTGTAATGGAGATGGAGTGATTCTGCAGACACACAAAGAAGACACATTGCTGAGATTTACCACATAACTCTGGGCAATAAAAGCTCCACAGCAACGCTGTCCGCATCTATGGAACTGTAGTTTTCAAGGAGCAGTGCAGGACTGCAACTTTAAGAAATTTATCATCGCTGATGAGTGTGAGTAAAACAAAAAGTCACAAATAAGGGGAGCACCTTTTGATGTTCGCAGCCAAACCCTTAAATATCACATTTATGATCACATGAAACAGAAAAGGAGCAAATGTTCATATCAAACAATCAAATTCCTACAGTATGCATTAATGGTTGACTAGTACATTTTTTTTCTTATTGTTGCAGCAGCTTCTTGTATTTGCTTCATACTGTTCAATTACTAAAGACTGCAGGTCTTTGTGTCTGATATCTTACTGCACAAACATAATGATAGGTATTTCAAATGTATGAATTTATGTTTGTTAATCCTGTGTATTGCATGAGTTGTGATATGATATTATAGTATTTGGCTTCTGTTACAAAACGAATCGATCCTTAGGGACAACAAAGATTTTTCCACCCAATCCAATCCTGTCATTATATCACCTGTCTCTAGTTTGGTCCCTGATAAAGTGGTTTGCTCACTTTCGGCTTCAGCTGAGGTATTTAGGACACTGATATGGGAATTGGATCGACTCTTAAAACATATGTTTCAGTAAATTTAAATGTAATCAAACGTAATGTTTTAGACTCTCTGAAAGTGCTGTGGTTCGTTTCTAAGAGTCTAAAGACAATTAGGGCAAAAAATGCAATTTTTCTGACCGTGATGAAGCAGAGCCCTCTTTAGATCACTGTTTAGCTTCAGCCTGACAGCAAAAATTGTTCAATCCAACATCATTAGCTCCACTGTAATGAGTGATCTTTAAAAGAAGACACAACTTTACCCACAGAGTCCTAGCCCCCTGATTAGGTCTTGATCGATTGTCCCCTTAGGACCCACTGATCAGCTTCTGTGCGTGTGTCTATGCTGTGGGATGCAGGATCCTCATTTACATATATACTGGTGCATGCTTGTGTGTGCGTAATTGTGATCGTGTGTCTGCTACGTGCAGGTGTGTGATAATGTGAGCGAGTGTGTGTGTGTGTGTGACATCAGGGCGAGTGCCAGGTCAGGAGGGGTCAGAGGGGAACAAAAGAGCGGAGCAGCTCCCAGCTGCCAGGCCAAACGTCATCAGGCTTCCCCCACTCCCTCCATCCCCCGTCCTATTCAAAGGGAGCGTGCCGCTGTCCGGCTTCTGCTGACGCATGAAGATTTACACAAGCGCACACACTCACACACACGTCGTCGGGCGGGACAGTCCTCAGTTATGTCTCGAGCTCGCTGCAGCAGGTGAACAGGGGTAAAAGGGCACATAGGGACATATGCAGTGCAAGAATGGATGTTAACACAAAGCGCAAGCTCACGTCTGAACTCACACGTGAGGTTTTTAAAGCATTTTAAACCAACAGAAACCTAAAACGCGCAAAAAAGTGCTATGTTTGTCAAATTAGACAAGAACAGGCAGCAATAACACCTGCAGCATACAGCCTGGATTCAACTAACAGGCTTAACTGACAGACCTATATGTTTTTAATATATAATAAGGCTAAATGCTCCTGTGAGTGCAGGTATTGGCAGATTATTTGGCCTATTTCTAGTGTAACTGAACCAACATTTACTGTGACCATCTTAAAAAGAAACCTAATATTGATGTGCCAAAAATAAGCGTATTGTATGCCCCCTTCAGACTCCCCAATGCCCCCTTTTAGCTGGTCTTTGTTTGTCTCACACCTCTTGTCTTTATTGTTTGTTTGTTTTTTTATTTTGGTTGTAAAAAACTGTAAAGTAAAAATATTTTAATAAAGATATTTTGGCAGTCCTAATGAGTCTTACACATAATAAATACCCTGTTAAAATCCACCACTTTTCAGCCTCAAAATGTCTCGAATATAATAAGAGAAAACCTCCAAAACTACTTTAAAATGGTTCCAGTTTGAGAATATTTTGTATCACTAAAATGCAGTACAGGTGACAGTATATATGACCGTCAAAGCATTAAACAAATAACCCACCTTCTTCCCCTTAAAAAAAATGCGTTCCTCTATCAAAAGTAAAGCCTTTGGTAAAGGTCATGTTTAGTATGACTGCCTATAGCAACAACTGTTGACAATGAACTGACTTCATCTGAATGATCATGCCAGGATATCCAGTGACAGCAGTGTGGTGTTGGGAAAGAGTGTGGTACATGACAAAACCTGCAAATTTTAGTAATTACAGTTTTTTCAGCAATGATATGTACCTGTGCCTGGGGTGATCTCTCTGTATACAAGGAGAAAAAATGATCTCAGCTCAACAAAAACCTTCAGTTATGATCTGATTTGAAAACAAGACAAACTGAAATGCCAGAGCAGATCACCTTTGCTCTCACACCATCACAGCCTGTCAGTGTTGCTGAGCTGAGCTTGTGTATTGAGGTCGAATGTGACTGAATCAGACTCACCTCAGACACGATGTCATGAAGCTGTCAGGAGTCAAATACCTGCTCTGTTTCACCACCAAAACATCCGATTTGCATACAAGCACAAAGAAGAAAGCGAGCTGGACTTGTTCAGTGAGGACTGTTTCATTGACCTTGATGATGTCGCAATTATTAATGTAGGGCAAACTAAATTTCTGCGGTATCTTATGTATCTGACATATCATAAACATACAACGCAGCATTAGACATTTTACACATATTTGAGATTCCCTTTTATCTATAAATACAATACAATTTGTATTATGATGCATTGTTTTTTTCTGTTGAGTCATTAATTGTGCCGCAAATCTAAGATTTGTGTTAACTTGACCAAAGTTAACAAAACATCATGTAAACATTTGAGTCCTTAAGATATAAGGGTTTGACACGAATTATGACCATGAAAAAAAAAGACTATTTATTATTTACTATTTATTGAAAAACGTTTTTATGTAAATTAAAGTATTAAATAAATGTATCTATTTTTTATTTAGGTACTAACTGCAAATGTTTGGCATTAATCTGACATTATGAAACAATTATAACACTACACAAACAAAAACATTTTGCTCTTTGAACACTCATCCTTTTAGGTAGCATTAAAGTTTAAATTCAGGTGACATTACCTCATTTTGTATATATATGAAATAGTAGTCCAGTAAAAATAAAAAGACCCTTACACTATATTTAGCATAAATCATCATGTTTTGCTTGTTTTTGTTAATGTAGCATCAACAAGCTTCACTACATTGGTAATTAAACTGAAAGTTTACTGAATAAGTCCTCTTAAAACTATGAATATCTGTAGTTTTTACGATAATAGCAGCAGCAACAACATATGTTCAATTACATCTCATACCCAAATGAAACTAATGTCATAGGGGCTTAAAGGATGAGTCACTTACCTTTTCATGTCACCCACTCCGTCCTGAGTTCATCCTCCATCTCCCTCAGACGGTAAAAGTTTGACTACTGTTTGATTCGGTTTTAACCGAGAGCTCTAAAAATATCACGATAGTAGTTTCCAGCAGGTATGAGTGTGTCTGTCTGTGGCTGACTGTGTGAGGAAAAGCACTTTGTTAGAGTTTCCACCAGACGGGCTCCACCTAGCGACATAATCCCGTTACTGCAGGCGGCCAGTCAGTCTGTACGCTTGTATACAGTCTATGGTCTGGGCGTGTGGTGCTGCTTTTTGCACATTAGATACAAACTAAAGCCGTAGATTGTGAGTTTGTGATGGTTTTATTCTGTTGTGATGTTGATTTTAGTTTTGTCTTTTTCAGTCATATTATCTTGCTTCTACTTCTCTTATTTTAGTATAATGGAGCCCAATTATCCCCTCTAAATTTTAGTTTTTCAAAGTTTACTGACATCAGAAATAAGGAAGTCAAAACATAATGAGGAAAAGTTAACCATGATACTAAAGAAAGGGGATTTATAGAAATCTTTTGACCTGATTTGGTCTCAGTTTCTCACCAAAAGTGTAAAAAGTATAATGCAGATACTGCAGATAGATCCCACTGAGCAATAGACGGCTATTGGACATCTAGTTTTTTTTAGACCTACTTTTAACCGTCTAGATTCTGTATATTTTTAGATGGAATATAGACGTTGCACTTTAACCCAGTATTCGATAACTATTTATTTACCAAAATAATTATGATAGCCGTTGAGCGATATATAGTGTAGTATAGACATAGCCCAGATTTAGACTTGGTCTAAACTTGGTCTAAATTTACATGTCTAAAAAACTTTCATTTTTAGACCTGTGGTAGCCTGATTTTGGACCAGTCATCTCGGCTACATTTAGAGTTAAAAGGGGATGTGTCTCTCTCTAGTGGACAGCAGTTGTACCAGCAACTTTATTCAACAGGTGTTACTACGAAGACAAGAATATTCACAAAGGATGAGGTTTGTCAGAGAAAATAGCAGATCCTTGAGATGGGCTTATTTATTTTCAGAATGTGGATCTCTCAACTATTCAAAACTGTGATAAATGGACAAAACAAGTCCTTCATTTTTATAACAGATACATTATATTTAACTTAAAATACTTTAAGAACAAAAAGCTCAAGGATTTTTGTGTAAAAGATATTCTGTATAAAAATAACAATAAGAAGAAACACATTTCAATGTAATACAACAACAAAGTAAATCAAACCACACAAAATGCCAAGTAATATAAATACAGTGTACATTCTGACGGTGACTTCAAATCAGTGCCAGTTAAAAATGATAATTTTCTTCACAATACCTCCAGATTAGGGAGACATTTGAATTATTCATGTCATCACAATGTTACAATGTCATGAATAAATCTAAGTGTCAGTTGGGACTCTTCTAAAATATCAGTATTTCACAGATAAGGTAACCATATACTGTGGATCATGTCACAGATCAGGAAAGACTCTTCATTTACATTTTTAGGAGCTTAAGAAACTCTTTAGCTTTAGTAACTTTTTAGCTTAGCTGCAGACCAAAGACAATTAAATCTGTTTCTTTTTCACTTCATATCTTTTCACACTCCTAAGTTTAATGCACATAAACATTTGTGATGATTTCACTTTTTTTTTTGTCTTTTCTTAGCCCTACGCATGGATATGTTATCTTGTATTTGCATGGAATAACGATGGAATAATATTAAAAAATATATAAAAATTATTATAAAAAATATTGAAAAAATCTACATCTGAACTCATTTGCATCATTTTGTTATTAACGAAAACAAACCAAGCCTCTAGGTCAGTTTTGACAAATTAAGATAACTCTAAAGCTCAGAGCTCTGTTCTATTCTATTCTATTCTATTCTAGCTGTACATAAATGTGTATGACTATTTGTGAAGTCAGCTGCCGGAGAGGTTGGCACATTGTCGGCTACAGACCAGTCTCAACTCAACCTCTTTGTCAGTTTCTGATTACCAATGGTTAGACCGCCATACTCAGGCATCACCTCCTCAGAAACAGATATTGGACATCACTAGTGCTATCTTTCACAGTTCATCATGTAACAGAATCATATGATGTAACAGGATCCTCCATCATTTCTTTTTCATCTTTTCAGAGCCCACACATTTTTCAAATAATAGAAGACTGATGGTATTTCTTTGCCGGGGTTGCAGGCATTAAGTACCTCACTCTCTTCCAGAAGCGTGAGTTACATTTAGACGCAGCCCTTGAGTCTTTCGGCCACTTGATTGGGGCGCTCTTGTGAATCAGGTGCTGCAGGCCAGGAGGAAGGTGTGTGTACCCCTGAGGCCCCATGTCGCCTAGCTGGATCAGAATCACACTCATTTCCCTTTGGACCAGCACATGATGAAGCCCCACCTGGTGGACGAAATTAAAAGTTTCCAACTGTATAAATTAAACTAAGAAATCATGAACCCCCATGATATATCATAGTGTATTTCTCTGAGTCTGACTTTTAAGGAATAGACACTGGTTTGTGTTGTAAGTTCTTTGTGTTTAGTTAATTTGTTCTTTTGTCAAAATAAATCACTTGATAAACTTTATGAAGGTATTTTGTTAATTCAATGGGTCAAAAGGTAAGGATAGTTGTTACCCCCATAGGGCCACCTTTGGGTGGGGCGTAACAAATGGGGGCTCGTCTGTGATCGAACATCCATGAGGTTCTTTGAATTTGTTTTCCTCACTTTGTAACAAGTGACCATAGTTTGGGTTTGTTAGTTCTGTCACTATCATTAGTAGTTGCCTTTCTTTGTAATTTCTGAGCTCCCTGATCATTTAGTCGCCGGGCAGGGAAGAGCTTACCTCTATTTTGCCCTTCTTATTTTTGGTGGTAAACCTGAGGAGGGGGCACACTTAGTGATGCCTTGAGCTCGGCAGGCCACCTGAAGACTAGTTAGGTAAGTTAGACATCTTGATAAACTTTTGAAGGTGTTATGTTAATTCAATGGGTCGAAAGGTGAGGATAGTTGTTAGCCCCATAGAGCCACCTTTGGGTTGGGCGTAATAATCTGAACTTGCAGAGAAGATCAAAGACCAGTGGTGCCAGTACTGTACTTCTTATTGTGCAACCTGAAGCAGCCTATGATTAGGTATGCATTTACTCATTATTTAATTGTTCTCTCTGACATTTGGTCTTGATAGACTGCAAAAACCAAATGGCCCCATAGGAAAAATAAAATAAAATTGTCTGAGCTAATGCAAGTCACACCCAGCAAATCAGACACTGTGATTTGGTATTTGGCTATACTGCAGGAATTGTGCTCATATTTTGAAGTTTTCTAACCCCTAGTTATGTCAGTAAAAAAGACTTTTGTCAAACTTGTTCCAACATTCACCCTTCAGTGATGTGCAGATGCAAATATAGCGTTTACTGAAGCTCAACAGTAACATTTCACAAGATATCATGAAAGCGATAGGACATGAACTTGAAGCTTCTTCACCCAGAGACTATTAAAAGTCTTCTGTTCAAACTGTTTATGCTGTAAAACTTAATTTAGTCTAAAGGCCGAGACTGTGAAGATATCCTCAGTCCTTCACAGTGTTTCATTCTTTTCTGGAAATCGTCTGAAGAAAAACTTTTATGGCTTGTAAACCTAAAACAAAACAAAAAACAGCTTAACACTGCCTTCATTGTATCTTTAGGTTTGTAGTACTCATACCTGCCAGTCAAATCCACCCATGATTGAGTCTTCAGGCGAGGAAGAACTGGTCTGTGATTCTGGACCTGGGGTGAGGATAACCATCAGTCTCCTGCTCTGCTTCATGCAGTCTTCCACCAGCTCCAGGCGATCTATGAGATCATAATTTGTAATAAAGTCTCATCAATGTTTTGATTAAGAAACTTTTCCTAAGACTTGAGTCACTTCTTAAACATTTCAAGATTGGACAGACCCTCAGGGAGGTTAAATATTTTTGTTTTCTTCTTTGACAAGGCAGTTAATAGATGAACCAATCAAAAAGAAAATTAACTCAAACCACTCTCCAAAATCATGAAGAGGATGTTAAAGCATTGAAAGGGAGTGAACAGAAAAAAATAGAAGATGATTCAATCCTTCTGTGGCTTCAGTGTGACTCATTTTTGGTTCACAAACAGTTCAGTGTCCAAATATTTGCCATGCTCTCCATCTAAAAGTCATACAAAATGGTTGGGTAAACCTCTTTAGTCATTTTAGGACACAAATTATTTCTGTCATTTATGTTAAATTAGCTTTTTGTTCAGTCTCTGAGTTGGTTTCAATGTGTGAAAAAGTCACAAAGAATTAAATTCTGTAAAATCAGATATATACCACTTTCAGTACTTTTTTGTAATCTGAAATTTGAGCTATGTCTCATACAAGTTGTTAAACATGGAAGTCTCTTGCAGGAACAGAGTTCAAATCCTTGTCCCCAAAAAACAGATGACAGCACATGTACCTGAGTGACCGAAGCATATTTCCAGTTTAAACGAAAATAAATGTGTTCCGTAACTAAATGTGTTGAGTTGTGCGGATGGACACATTTGGTCTTTTTATCATCCATCTTGTAACTTGTGTGTAAAATTCTAAAATTTCAGTGTATTAAGAATCTGTGATACTTAAGTCTATTTAAGTGACACTTAATTTAAAAGGGGAAACACCTGTTTGTGACTCAAAAGTGTGGTAACAGTGAAAGAGTTTTCCAGACTGCTGGATTTTAAATGTTGGATTCAGCATTGATGAAGAATGAAAAATTCCTGGTATGCTAGGTTCTGAAATACACAATAATGTGAGTGATTAAATAATAAAACAAGGATGTAAATATGTGAGGGAGTAATTAAGTTAGTAAAGAAGTTTGTTAGAAGGCAAGGAATTATCTAAATAAGTAATTAAAAAGGTCAGTAAGGAATTGAGTAAGTAATTTAGTGAGCCATAAAAAAGCCTGTAAGTAAGAAAGGTTGTTAGATAATAAGTAAGTCGAGTACTATCTGACCTTCTCCTGGTATATCATCTCTTCCATGGATGAAGAGTCGATATCCACACTTCTCCTCAAGGACAGAGGGCAATTTTTTAGTGACAAAGCTAGAGAGTGTGTCCTCAATAGCCTTGTCCATGTCCTGCGCTTTGTAGACCACGTAGGCGTCGTACACCCTCCCATCTGGAACACAAATACATTTATGATATTCACTGGTAAACATTGGTTTGTTGTGGGACATGGACTTTTCACCCTCATGCTTTGTGAGTTTATTTATGAGGCCAGGGTCCTCACTTTTATTTTTTTTTAGGTGACAGATTTTTGTACTTTTAGACAACCCATTCATATGCTGTTTTTCCTCCACTTATCTTTTGTTGTTATTTTTGATTGGTAGATTGTTCTTAATTTTCTTTTCGCAAAATCTCTACGCCAGCTAAAAATGTAGCAAGAATGTTGTTTGAGAATGTCTTAAAACATTTTAAAGGTTATAGTTTGTAGTTTGGAGCTAAGTTGCCAGGTCCCCTTACCTTGTTTTTCACGGCTCAGCGGGAGGTACGGTCTGAAGAGGAGAGCAAGGTCGATGGCGAAATACTTAATCAGCACAGCAGCAGTCACGCACAAGAACAGCACGCACAATCCCCCGATGATGAGTGGAGTTACAGACTCTAGAGTAAAAACACAAATATGTTTTTTAAAAAACAATCATGTTAGATCAAGATCTTTGCAATTCTTGCAATGTCAGTAAATTACAAATAACAATTGAAACAACAATTAAATATGGCTGCCATTTTCCTCTGATGTCATGGAGGGTGTTAGATAATAGAGGAATATTATATACTTTTAAAACATTTCGCTACCCTACTTTTACTAAGCCCACATGACATTTAGCCCTATTAGATGATTGTGTGAGTAAGATGACCAGTAGCTAGCTAAATTTGCTGCAAGTGGACCTGTGTATTTGGCTAGCCCACAGAAGTTTTAGCCAACTGACTGATAGTTATACTCAGTGACTGCTGGCTCACATGACTGTTGGTCTGTTGGAAATCCTTGTCTTTTTGCATATATTTATGGTTCTCTGGTTTAGACACTGGAAAATACTCTGATTTTTACTGTGGAGAATGTTTAACTTTTTTTCATCGTAAGCTTTAAAGTGCTCACAATGTGCTGGATTTCCGCTGTTAAACTGTTTATCAACCAAGAGTATTTGGGGCAGACACTAGAGTATCTCCTAATTCCCAAAAAGGGTGACCATATTGTGACTTCCCAAAAAGAGCACACGACTAAGCAGGGGTGGAGTCATGGAGTCGCACAAAGTTAATTTTGAGAGTTTTTCGGGTCAGATCAGAGTGTCTTTTATGCACTTCTAACTTGGTAAGTCCACGTGACACAAAATTGAAACTCGCGTACAGAACTGAGGATATTTGAAGTATTTTAAAAACCCAAAAAAGAGGACATGTCTGGGTAAAAGAGGACATATGGTCACCCTACTTAAAGGCCATATCAGAAGACTGAAGTAGTCGCAACGGAGCGTGAAAGGTTCCTCAAAATTTGTCCAAGTATGTGTCATACTTTTCGAAGGATGTGGAGGATGCTTTGTGGCCCATGTATCTTTGCACGTCAATTCGATTGAAACAGTTGACTCACAAATGAGTTTAAGGTGGCTGGTCACCCATTTCCAGGCAACAGGGGAAATACCATACGTCGCCAGAGTAAAGTGAAATAACAGAAATTGAAAATCCACTGAAAAAAGCAGATGTTCTGTCTGCGGATTGACATGAGCTTTTCCTACTGATTGACCCCTTTGGAACCAGTCTCTAAGACCAGGTCCTTTGAAGAGACCACAGCCCCTGAACTGGGATACAGCATTTGATCCTCTTACTGACCTCTGGGCTTAAGAGTTAAAGTTGAATTCACAACATCGGTAAGTCCTTCAACAAAACATGTAAATGTGGTCTGGAAATCTTTAGCAGTAACTTTTTGGATAATCAGGGATGCAATGGCAGTTGTATTCTCTGTCGGGTTCTCTCTAAAAAAAAAAGAAAAGAAAAGGGAGCGAGTTCAGATCATTAAACTCTGAAAACATCACCATTACTGAACAAAAACTGATGAAAACAAAGGAATGAGTTAACACTGTCGGCATGAAACGTAGGTCATTTGTAGTGTCTGAGCAGCAGTGCAATTACCCATCACTCTGCAGGGCTGTAGGTCCAGTTAATGGCAACAGCTACAATGCTCTTCTATCCAGATGTAAACAAGCACAGCTCACAGGGAGCATCTCACAACTCTGGATGGCTTAGCAAAGTTCCCTTGCAGGGAGGACCAAAGGCTGGTGTCGGCTAGCATTAGCCAAACTTAGCAAAACAGTTTGACATCTTTTGCCTGGAAACTCTGCAATCCTGTGTGTAGCTCTAGTAAATTGTCTTCAGCTTTCTTTTTTTGTGACCTTTAGACTAGCCAGCTGCTCAGACTTCAATTTTGGTTTGTATCTTGGTTCAAACATACTAGAAAAATGTGTTGGTTTATGGTGACTTGCCATGCTATGGCATTTTGAGAAGCCTTTACAGCTTTAAATACTAATCTCTCTGATTAGTTAAGCTTCGATCAGGCTTACATTTTGGTGGTGCAGCTGTATCCATCAGTGGACTTGAAAGTCTTCCCATCAATAAGCCAGTAAGCACGGCAGCTAGATGCTGCGTTTGTCCCACATAAACCTGAGCAGTTCAGCGTAATCCCCATGCCTGGTAGAGAAAAAAAAAGAATCAGTTAGGAATTTTCCCAATAATTCATCATGACTCCTGTAAATATGTAATGTATTCACTTTAGGCTGCTTCACAAAGACTGAAGGGTTGAAACCATTTGAATCCAACAGTGGTGAGATTGAGAAATTTCAGTCCCAGTCAAGTAGCTCTTGAAATATGAGAACCTTTGATTGAATCGAAACGCCCTAGTTTTAGTAAAGACACCTTTGAGAAACACTTCACCTGATGAAATACATGATGTGCATTTGGGCCCTGTTTGAGCTCAACCCATAAATAAAACAAACAAAAAAAAAGACGACTGATTGAATGTTCGGATATGTTTGTTGGTCCTCCACTAGAGGGATATCCGAATGCAAGGATAACACTTCCATTTGGAGAAAAAACCTGAACACTAAACATTGTCTCTGCAGTTCTTACAGTAAAATTTGCACACTACCTTTACAGTCCTACAAGCTTTAGGCAAAACAAGGTTAAACTCGACAGCTCTCTCCTCACACTAAAGACATATACAGTAATCACATTACAACTGATACGATATCAGATTTTTCCCTCACAATTATCATGGCTATAAATATCACAATGATGACATCACCACAATATTTATGGAAAATTAAAATTAAAACAATCTGTCAAATTAAGGAAAGGCCAAGACAGAGCAAATATTACTTTATAAACTTTACTGATAGTCATAAAGTAACTTACATGTCATCATACATTTCTAGTTATATTCAAACTTGTGATTTATCTCCAACCCTGTGACTGAATTATATTGAGAAGACATTGCCTGAATAAACCATTGTTTTTCAGATGTATGGTCAAACCATGCTTTTATTTTGGAATACACTACCTCAAGTAGATCATACTGGAACTGAATAACTATGTTCAAAATAACGGTCTAAAAATACATATTTATTTGATTAGTACAATGAAGAGGCACACGCTGTTATATTGTTTTTGGATTCACAATCAGTCATCAAGACCAAAAATGACGACAGTAAAATATAAGCCTTTTTGCCGATGGTATCAGTTTGAGTCTGTTTCTCAAACAGCTCACATTGCCTTCAAAGTAAAATAGACACTCTGAGATTATTATTATTAATTAAATCTTTAAAAATCTAAGTTATTTTGATATGTCTTGGTAAAAGGCAGTATGGTTTCCACTGCCTTTTATTTTGAAGGCTAAGAAACAGAGGGACAGCTGTTGTGCGATTTCTTGGTGGTGTTTGGCAGAATAATATTTGTCACATTCATACTTTGGAGAATCAGACTGTTATTTCATGATATTTATAAAGTATAGGCATTATACTGTAGATAACCCTTGGCTATATCGGTGATAGTGCTGAGATATTTTATCCACTGAAACAAGTGAGACTAATAAAGAACCCACTAGTGCGCTAATATTAGCAGTTGTTAACTTCGTAGAGCCTATTTTAATACAGTGTTAGAGTCACTACAGAGCCTATTGCTAAAATACAACAAAACAGCATATACTATTATTTTGACTTTGAAGATACTTCATGATCATTGAGATAGAGGTATCCTGTGCAGACTTTAATAATGAGACAGTGGATATCAATAACCATATCGATAACCATGGGCGTGTAAATGTACTATGGGCTAAGTTCCATCTGTAGTCTCCAGCAGGTTGGTGGTATATACAATTAAATGTACATCAAGTATGTAAATTAAAAAGTACATGAAATCACACAAGAAGCATAGAGCAGACTTAAAACATACAAAATTTCACAACAACACACATACAATGGCAAAGAAGGTGGCTGTGCAGCTATACTCAAGAAAAACAGAATAAAATTTAAAACTCAAATTAAATTTAATGCAATTTGGTACAGACTTTCATAGTTCCTCATCAATGGGCAAATTCATTTTACTGCTCTCCATATGGATTTTATTAACAATAGAGGAATTTGACTTTATTAAGTTTGAAAGAAAAAAAGATTAAGAGTCACAGGACATGTTAACAGATGAATTCAGACATACAGATCCAGTTATTTTATACCAATTTTGAATATTTATCCCCCTTCTTGTTTGAAGAGTTAATGAAAATTTCTCCATCTTGGGAATAGTTTATGGTGTTTATTAGGAGTTTAATGGTCTAGTGGTTCCTCTGGAGTCACTGCTTCACTCTCAGCCACAAAGTCTTTAAATGGTATGAGTCCCTTTTACCGCAAACTTAGGAAATTTCTCAGGGTTAAGAGAGGCGAAAGGAGAAATTATGTGTCATATCCTGGAGGTGTGAGATGGAACACCCTGGTACGTTTCAGAAATATTTTTCGTCAGGATAAGACGGGTATCCAAGTAATTGAAACCGCCTCACGCTCCCTTCCATGGAAGTTATTTTGACCTGCTTAATTTCTTCAGAAATCACTCCAGGGAGAAGAGATGCAGGGCGGTAGATTAAACATTTCCTCAACGGTGCTGTGTGTTACTGCACTCCTTCAGTTATCATCTTATAGTGGTCAAAAATATGATAACACAAACAGACAATTCAAAACATAGTGTTGGGGGACAAAACATTCAGGTGTGAAAAAATCTGACAGGGTCAAAGGTATTGAAGTATTGAGCAAATAAAGAGTACATAAGAAAACTGAATGAAAATAGACAGTAAAACAAATAACACAGGAAATAAATAAACAGCTCCTGCCCCTAACGTTTGGTCTGAGTAACTCAACTGCTGTAATAATAATCAAAGTAAAGAAAACATTGTAAATGTTGTCCTTTAGAAGAATTTTATCTGGATGGGTGTAGTATTATTCATCATATATCTGCAATGCTCTCAGTGCCTCTTGAATTTTCAGCACCAAATATACCTGGTTTATTATTCTGGGTTCAACTAAATCCGGAGTCCTCTTTTTTTCATACCTTCATCAGCAAACTGCTCCTTGTTGACTGGAGAGAGGAGTATTGGTCGTCTGTGGATGGCTCGAGCTGTATGCACACAAAAATACAACACAGGGTTAATGCTCTTTTGTATTATTCACAGTAGGCAGTAAAATAGCCCAAACAATCTTCACTGAAAGAAACTTCTGCAGCTCTGTAACAACTACATCAATAACAAATCTTCAGCAGAGAAAACAAAACATGCAACTGATAAAAAACGGATTAAAAATAAAAAATCCAAAACCAGAACATTCAAGCGGAAGAAGACCCCACATCCCCACTTGACTTTTTGCCTCCTCTGTTTCTTTCATCTGTAAAAAAAAATTGCCACTCCAAGCATTCATACAAGTCTTGAGAATATGCATTATTTCTTAACCTGCTGCAATTCTCCCCAAGAGACATTTTTCAGGCTGTCACTGATTGGCTGCCTCTGTTGCCCAGTATATCTTTAAAACACTTCAGCACGGTCAGTTACTCTTTTCTCTTTCACCATACTTTGTGCAGTTGAACTTAAGCTCAATTTTCTAAAGAAAAATACTGACAAACCGTGCCACACTACAAGAAATCACCCGTTTGTTTCCATTTGAGCTGTAGAGCAGAACGACATCATGGCAATCACCACTATCTGGCGCTACAGCCTGAGCTAGTTAGTTATTAACTGCATTCTGGACCCCCATAAATAATAATTATGAAAACTTTTGCAATCAACTCCTAGTTTTTGTGTCAGCCAACAAGGGTGACAACATTTTACCATAAAGGCAACCAGTCTAAAGCTATCTGAGTCATTATCTCACCACTAGGTTGCTAATAAGGCTCCTCTCCACTTTTTTTAAAAGGTGGGGTAGGCAGGGTTTAGTTTAAGAAGTTTATTTTTTTGCGGTGTATATACAAAAAAGCTTTTAATATCAGTCAATAACTATTAGTTATTGATGATATTTGACAATATAACAATATCGCTGTGTTTCGTTATGTCTGTGTAGTCAACATTTTAAATTTCTTGAGTGGCCCGTTTTTTTCTGACTGTAAACAAAGCCATTTTACGTCTCCCCCAACCTGACTGGTTGTGAGGCAGACACTGCTCCCCCGTGTTGTGAGGCACGCTCCACGTCCTCAAATAACATTCACAAGCCAAAACAAAATTAGCGTACTATGATATAAGACTCCTGAATCCTCCTTTGGCCACGACTGCCAACACAAGCAAGAAAACGAAGTAAATACTGGAGACTCTGGCGGAATAACGGGCGCTTAAAACGGAGGTAGACCAGACAAGAGCTAAGGAGCCAGGTCGGCATAAACGATGGGGGACGCTGTGGGATCTTACAGACCCCTTAACTGTTCTACTGGACAGGTAAACCACTTTAACATAGTAAGCCAAACGTCTGTAACAGAAGTGTTTCTTGTCAAACGGGACAAGTGTGTGTTGTAACGCTGCTAAACTGTTTACCTCGGGTCCTGGACTATGTCACTTTATCCTAGTTGTAGAAGTCCTGCAAACATTGTGTTTGCTGGTAGTCTGTTGGCATCTACTGGGCCCCATTTGTAATGATCTGAAGTATTTATCTGCATTATATCTGAATTTAATTGAAACGATACGAGCGAGCAGGAGTGTCTGTTTGTGGGCGGGGCTTGCTGGAGCAGAGAGGGAGGGGAGAAGAGGAGCTGAGGGGAAAACTGATTGGAAGGGGTAGTGTTAACATTCAAGACGTCTCCCAAAAACTGGCTCTTGCTCAGATCCTGCATACCCCACCTTTAACTGCTCTTATCCTAACATGTAAACTTTTTATAACCCCCTCTCACCTTTTACTATCACATTCCTGGAACCCGAGGTGTTGTACTCCTTCTCATTGTGTCTCCAGGTACAAATGCAAGAATAGATGTTTGCAGTTTGGCCAGTATTAGTCACCCATAGATAGTTTGAATCTTCGTTTCGAAGAGGCTTGAAGTCCTGCGGGAAGACAAAAAGAGATGAGTGGTTTTTAAATTCTGAAACAAAAGAGAATATTAGGGGGGAGTGTGAAAACATTTCAGCATTAATGACTGCACACGCCTGCCATCAAAAGATTTCAAAAGACTAAAACAATATAAGTGTAAACTTCAGCTGGAACTTTGTTGCCATGTAAAATTTTGTCCTCAGTTTTGATACTTGCATCAAATATTAAATTGAACTGCACATTAAAAAAAAAAAAAAAACTCAACTCTAGTAGTTTTCTTCATGTGAACTTTTTGCTTGTGCAACTCATGTCTGACCAATTTGCATATGTGTTCTTTGCTTCTAGTGCCACCATCTGCAGCATCCATGCCAGTCATAATTATTTTTGTGATAAATCTCTTTTCCCCTCGGTTAGTCTCAATATGGGGATCACAGTGACACCTAAGTTACATGTAACCAGACAGAATTCTAATTTAAATCATCCATTCTTCAAAACCAATGTTTATGAAACTGTTTTTAGAGCGTCCATCCTGTTGCTTATCACTTCCTCTAAATGCGGTGATATGTTGATTTCCTCAGAGGTTCAGCAGAAAATTATTTACTTGTGCACATCATCTTACATGGAAAACACAGTGTGCAGTTAAAGTACACACTTGTGTATTTATGAGGAGTATGTACAAAAGAGCATATATCATCACCTCAGGATGAAGCAAAAAACTGACACAAGTCCATAAACTCCATAACCTTTCATGAATATCAATTTATTGTTGTGAAATTTTATTCCAGTTATCTATCTTACTGAGAGATATGTTTTGCAAGCTTTGTAACACAGCAACAGAGAGCTTTTAGTCTGTTTTTTTTCCCCTCAACCCACATGCAAAACTAAACAAACAAGCGCCTGAAACTTTCTGTGTTTTCCAAGTTATCCAATGATTAATAAATCTTTCATACATTATTTAGCGCCATATGCAAAAAGTTCTCTGTGGTTTGTTCATATTGCACAAGCAGGAAACATTTCCAGAGAACTTAAAGGAAATATCACTTTCATATCTGCTTTTCTCTGAGAAACAATTGCCAACAAATGTTGGCTCCAACATCTCGTATTTGCGATAGTGAAAAAGCGTCAAAGCATTTTTGAAGCATTTTTGAAGCATTGATAAAAATAACATTTCGAAAGGAACTTAGAGGAGTTATGAACCTCTCTTAAACCGATGCTTCCTCGTGAGTTACATAGAACCATGGCATTATCAGCAATGAAAGCGGCAGGACAGACTATCAGGGCTAGATTGAGGGTGGATTAGTCACCATCAAATAAAATGGTGTTGTTACAGGAATTAAGTTGTACAAAAAATATGTAGTTTGGCTTTCGAGTTATTCTATTATGAGAGGGGTCAGGATGATAGGAATAAATTGTCACTTTTGTGCTGAAAGAAATGGCTTGAAAGAAGGAAACCAGGTGTTACACTAAAATGATACATCAATCTAAGATTCACCATAATCACAGACATTCCTACCTTCTCCCAGGCGAAATTTCCTTTAAATGCTTTACATGTTTCTTTGACGTTATCTGGACACGGCACTCTTATCTTTTGGGAACTGCTACTGATTCTCCCGTAGAGAAGTTTGCCTACTTCACTTTTGTCAAAGACCACCAGTTTTAGACTATATTTGTCACACTTTCCAGACGGGGTTTTATGCCTGGAAAAATAAACAAAAGTATTTTATGATTCATGTAAGACATCTTATTTCCATCTCAGGATTACATGAAGTTTTTTTTACCTTGCAATGTATAATCCAGAGTCCTCAATTTTTAGTTCTAAGAATAAGAGCGTCGCTCCATGGTAATGTACTCTCTCGTCTTCATTGTTGGAAATTTCCTTGGAGTTATTTTTGTACCACGTGATGTTTTCATCTGGAATGCTCTTCAGTCCAACATAAGGTGCATAATAAAATGCCTCACCCTCAGGTCGGTGAAATAACTCTGTATCATATGCAAAACAGTCAGGCTCAGCTGTTTCTGAAGATAAGAAAGTAGATGAGAGAAACATTCATGTCCGAGTAAATACGCAAGTTGACAAATGAGCAGTCACCAGCACCCGGAATTACTTAAGTAAGAAGTCATGCAGTGACATAAAATTCATAAAATACCGTAATAGTTATTGTCTGGTTCTTATAGGGTGGGCAAAGGACAGATATCTTGTTTTATAAAAAATAAAATAAAATAGAACAAAGCTATCACTGAAGATCTACTCTACTGTGCATGTAAACACACTGAAAAAAAGCATCAACCAAATTGAAGAAAACATGAAGCAACCACCAGCTGCAACACAGAATGGGCTTAGACATTCAGGAGTGGCTGGGTGCAAAGAAAAGGCCACCAGGTGGGGTTTTTATATCTTTAGGGTAATATGCTTTGTGATTCGGTCTTGTGTCACTCTTTTGGGACTGAAATTCTTTGCATTTACTCTTGTGCTGCAAAGGTATGTAGATGGTAAGAAACTTTTAACAGTTGCAAAAACACAAGTATTAATGTTGTACTACCTGAAGTGGATGATCTTATCATCATGGAGAGGCCAAAAATGAGGACAAACCCACAAAAATTCATTTTCTGAAAGAGACAGAGTAGATTTTAAGTTAAAATACATAGTTTTCTCCCTGCATTTAAAGAAGTGACATTGCTTTGGTTACTTAATGATAAACAGTCTTATTCATGCACAGCCAGTCCCGCAGTAACCTTCAAACATACTGCTGCTTCCTGAAACTACCCCCACCTTTCCAGCTACACCTTACAAAATGATACGATCATATCAGTTTCGAAATAAGTCATGTGGGTTTTATCTCTTTTCACATTATTGCGGATGTATGAAGACTTATGACACATTTCTGTGGTCTTTCATAGAAAGATCTCTCTGTGATCTTTCATCCAAGAGATGATGTCTGTTGGCACAGTTTGCACATGGAGAAGGATTTTTTCAACAACATTCCATAACAACTTCTCATTACCTCTTGTATTTAACCTTGTGTGTCTCACTGTCTCGTCACCAGTTTGTTGCACTTCATAGTCCACGTTCCAGCATTATTCATAGTCTTAGACAAGCCATTTATGGCCTTTGCCTGCCTTATTTTTGACCTCGCCTTTTTGCCTGAGAGACAAGCTACCCCATAACCAAACATATCATGGAGGCCAGACTTTGGCTATAAACTGTCCCAGATATGCTGCACACATCTGCAATGATTCTACAATACCAAGTCCAGTTGCTCCAAACTGCACTCCACCCAGTAAGCGAGAATGCTTGCCTTCAGAAAAGCCCACAGAATGTGGTGCACTCACATCCTGTGGGTTTTCAGTAAGGGTTCTGGATCTGCCCCTGCCTTGTATGACTTCTCCTGTAAAAGTGTGAAAGTCCCAGTCCTCTAAAAAGAAAGTGACGTTCCAGTGACAAGTTAAAGACAGCAGCAGTAGTTACATAAGCAGGAAGTGGCAAACGTTACTCTGCAGAGAAGAATTTGCACAGGACAGAGGGATCTTATCTCCTGTACACTGAGTTCCTCTCCTTATAGACTTTAACTCTGCAGTTTCTAAAAAACAGATAACACTCATCACTCAAGCCGGACATGCAATTGCCCAGAAAGACATGAGTAGCTGGAAATTTACCTCCTTTGGGTAAAGAACAAGAGGTAAGCTGAAGTCTGCATGCAGAAGGGGAAATGTTATATTGCCAAGACATTCTCATGAAGCCCTGACCAAACAACAGGCTGCCAATGAGCTGCGTGACACGGCAAACCTGAGTGACTCAGGTGCAGCTCATGTTAGCTCAGGAAAACCACTTTATCCAAACAACCAAAGTTTGATTTAAAGTTAGGCTACTGCACAATCTGTAAGGCAGGAAGGACTGAACAGACTGATAGAGAGATATGTTGTTGAAGACATGCTTCCTTTGTTCACTGCTGAGTCTACTTTTTGCTTATCGTGTCATGATTATTTAAGAACATGGGGACTACATGTAACAGACAAATGCATATTCTCCATAACAACGATGACCATGACAGATAACATTAACTCCACAAGCAGGCTGATACTTCATACTACCCTTACAAGTCAGTAAATAACTGTGATATTCCAGTCATACTGTGTTTATGAAATATAACTGCAATAAGAGGGTTATCAAAAAGATTTTCAAATATTACGCAAAGACATATTTTCCTGTCAAAATCTAAACCAATTATGTCTCAACCCCTGTTTACTGAATACCAGCGTATCTAGGTTGCCATGTAATCATAAATGCAACAGAGGACCAAGCAGCAAGGTTTCAGAAACACTAAGAATGATTAAGATGAGAGATCACCTGTTACAAAAGAGTTACGCCTCAAGGGTTAAATCTGATGCAAATTGCAGCACCACCACCCACAAGCATTAATAAGAAAACCTTTTCCACTGAGGGTCCATATTCTAGTTAAGGCAATATTCTGAATAAAGTCTTTGGCAGCAGGACTGCTCCCGTTCTCATGGGCATAATCTGAATAAAACAGTGATGTATAATGTTAACGGTTAGGAAGTAATGATGATATGTTCTTTTCTTTTCTGCAAAAGTTCCCATTCCAAATGGCATCAGTAGCTTTTACTTCAACAAAAAAGCATATTTTACACTGTAGTGTGTAAAAGCAACCATTCACCCCTGTCTTGTCCTTCCTCATGATATATCATAAAGAATCATGATATTTTACGGCCATGATAATTGGGAAGTAAAAATCTGATATTGTGAACGCCCCTTTATGAAGGTTAAAAAAAATCAATTGATTAAAAGAACAACACGTTTCACCTCACAGGCTTCATCAGGCTTCCTGTGATGCATAACTCGTTGTTCTTTCAACCAATAAATAAGTTTACGTTCTTACCACGTTGTGTGCGGTGGAACTCTTTTATTATTAGGAACTTTTTTCCTGACATCACCAACACCAACATCTAGATCTGTGCTGTGCAGGGCAATCCTCCTTTTTGTATTAAAAAAATGAAGTTCATGTAGTTTTATAAATCAATAATGTTATAAAACATAAACGACTGTGACATTCTATAAAACTATGATTATTACCTGTATGATGATGATATTGCATTTTGCAGTAACTAACTTAATAATTGGGTAATTTCAATCATCATTGAAATTAATCTTTGATTTCCACTTGCCCTGTACTGGCAGACTTAAAACAACCCTGAAATTCTCTTGAAACTTATTGAAGCACAGTGCGCATGATTTCGCTCGGCTTTTCTGTATATAAGCATATATCTGGATTTGTTCCTGCAGCCTTATAGAAAATAAATGAAAGAAGTCAGAGTGAACTAGAGTGATGATGCAACAGGTAATACTCTGTTAATGCAATGACTGAACCATGTGGCTGTGCAATAAAAACACCAAAAGCCTGAACTCTGAATGTGCAAATATAAAGTAAGCCATAGATAAGATGCAATGAGCTTATAATCTTGCACCAGCTACACCCTTGTTCTTGATGTCTGCTCCTCTTTGTGCCACAACCACAAGTCAGAGGTGACAGAATCTTGTCTACCTTCAGGGAACTTTTCGGTAACACATAAGCAAAAGTATTTAAAAAAAGAGTTGCCCATCTGTAAGCCTCGTGGTTACCTTTTGCATGTTATTATCTGTTCACTTAAATATCTGGCTGCCTGTCAGTATACTGTCTGAACTCCTGGTGAATAAACACATGCTTCAAAGAAGAGAACAGTTTTCAATGACACTCCAGACTGCAGAAAAAAAGTCTTTCTTACCTTATTATGTAAAGTGTATGTTTGGAGAAGCTGGTCGGGGTGTGTGTGCCGCTGTCCTCATCTGCCCTGTTTTATACCCCCTCTGATGACGCTGAGCTCAACATCAGCTCCATGTGGGAAGGAAACTGTATCTAACCAACCCACATACACACACACACACAGAGAAAGAGAGAGAGAGAGAGAGAGAGAGAGACTTTTCATTCTGCCCTTTTTCTCTTACACAATAGTTTAGACACACTCAAACGCACTTGTAGTACAACACTAAAAGAATTGACCCAGTCTTTGTGTACTGCCCTGGACTAAATTCAACAGTCTAGTCCACGGATGATCCCTTGTTTACATCACCAGCATCAAATGACACAACTGTGTCACCTAGCGATGTATCTGCCAGGAAACAATCAGAAATGTTTTTTATTTGCACTGGTGTTACTTTAAACTGTGGACCAAAATGGATATTTAAAGGGATATTCCAGCGTAAAATTAATTTAGGGTCAAACACACCATAACACCGAGTTAGACACCCCCTTGAGAGATGAATGTTGCTGACTGCTTGCTTCTCTAGTTATACCAACTTTAGTAACGACCACAGGAGAGCAATACACAGTTGTTTGAGGAGCCACACACAAACCTCAACCAAACACCACTCTATAGCCACAAATAATGCTCAGAACAGCACCTAACTTCATCAACAGTACATACAGGGTCCCAGCATTCAATTACAATCAGACTCCCTCTGGTGAAAACTGTTGAGCAAACATTATATTCAAAGTGAATCCGAAAGTTTGCATGTGTCTCTTACCAGCTTTGCCTGTTTAGATTAAATATTAACCTTTCATTTCGACAGACAACGTCTGACACAGCATGAAGTGAGGTACATTTCCAAGAACATGATACTGTATTTCCTGTATAAAAGTGACATGGTTGTATGACTCACACAAATGAAAGAAATTGCAACTTCTGGGTGCAAACAAGCAAACCCCATGTATTGAGATGTTTCCCTGTTTCTAAGTGCTTGCTCATTTAGATACCAATGAAGCAGAGCATCACACTTTATTACTCAGATCCCTCACTTCCTGTCTGGAGTTTGTTCATGAAATAGTGTAAAATTCATACTAATGTCTTGTCATGATATCCAAAAACCAACAAGACCATTAGCAGCAAGATTGACAATTTTCATGATGTAATTTTTCAAAATTGAAATTAATTAGGATGACAGAGGACACTACTTAGGTAAGAAGAGGGCAAGATTGCTTTGTCCAAAGGGGGCACCAGAATTGACACCAACTTTAGCATCAGGCTGTGTTAAAGACTTGATTGACACGCAGTTGGTCAATATCCCAAAACAGGGGGTTACTAAAGGGATCTATATGTTTAAAAGTGACTCTTGGCTCGACCTCTTCACACTCAGAATTCATGCACATCAAATCAGTTTGTGGAAATTAGTAGAAATTTCACGTCTGCCTGTTGACACTGTGACCAAACCTTGTCACATGGCAAGGTTTGGCTTACATGTAGGGATTTTACTGGTTTCATAAAGACTTAAATGTTGTTTTGTTGGTTTACCAACATCTATTGTCATTTTACATTAATATATGTATTTATTTCAATCCTTAGGTATTATTTTGGCTTTGAAAAATCTGTTTCATTTCAGCAAAACATGGGCTTTTAAAGGGTAAATCCAGGTTTACCTTTAGATGGGTCTTGTCCAATCTGAAGGGATTCATAACCACCACATAGATAGATAGATAGATAGATAGATAGATAGATAGATAGATAGATAGATAGATAGATAGATAGATAGATAGATAGATAGATAGATAGATAGATAGATAGATAGATAGATAGATTGATTGATTGATTGATTGATAGATTGATTGATTACACTTTATTGATCCCAAACTGGGAAATTCACAATGAGACATCATCTCTTAATACCTGCATGAATGAGTGTGAAGGATGCTACACTATTCCTGGACTCTCATTAAAAAACAAATAAACCTCTCATGAGGGTTTCCACTTCGTAAGAAAGTGGGAGTGAAATTCTATTAGGGCTTATCAAGAAGGGGATGTTGTAGCACATGTCTTTAAGTGCTTCTCAAAAGTGCAGCTTATTATCTGCTTGGAGGTGCATACTAAAAGCCCTAGGAACCACTTCAACACAGTCAGTTGCCAGATGAACCCTCACACTGAATGTAAAGGTGTGGCCTTTTTTTTCTGAGTGCAAAAGCAGAAAGCGGGAAATGTCACAAGCGTGTCAGAAAGTAAATTAACCAAAAAAAAAAAATAACAGAGGTGGAATCTGGGAAACTCTGACTCTCAAGCTCTGTCATGACTTACTGTTGGTCAGACACGGCATTAAGTCACAAACCAAACACAAGTAAAACAATAATGACACCTTCAAACAGAAGTTAATAACACACTGTTTATTTGATTATTTTACATGAGGAAAACTGGTGACTAGTGTTCTGGGTTTATGTCAGTTCCTCTTAAAAATTAGCCAGATAGACTAAATGTTTGTCTTGCACCAGTTTTCATTACTTATTCATGCACAGAGTCTTAAAATTGAATCTGGAAATAATTCATCCTTATTAAATGAACTCAATTGACTCTCTCTTGAATCACTTCTCATAATTTGGGCTGCTCCTTTTTTATTCCCACATTTTAAAAATACAATGATAACAGTACCTTTTCATTCCAAAATGACCTTCTTCAATAGGAATTGACGGACAGAGATGTGCTGCTAAAACAATCAAACACAACCTGGTGATTCAGTGGCTCAGACAGTGGGGTGGTTTTCTTTGGAACAGTATTCGTCCTGTGGAATTTCTTCAGTCACTTCTGGTGAACAGGTTTCATCATATCAAACACACAAGTGCACCAATGTACAGTGTGTGCTAATTCAGTGGCTCAGACAGACTCCTGAAAAGGCAAAACTCAGACTCATAGGGCCTGATCTACCAAAGGCGAGTTTGAGATGATCAGGTACATTATTGTCACACTCTTTATACTTGTCTCAGCAACTCCTCTTTGAACTGCCTGCAAGTGCTGACCGGTCAGGAGCAGACAATTAGGCAGTGAAAGTTATTTTAGTGCTTGCCATGCAGTGTCTTATATTTGGACAAGGCAAGTGCTAAAATAACTTTTGTAAATGTAGCCATCTTGTTTCCGCCTCCGATTTTGCTTTTTTCCGACTTGGTAACTGAAACGCTGGTAACTCGGGTGTGATGTCATTCCCAGCTCGGACTTCTGACTTCCGAGGTAACTCGAACGCAACATTAGAAAACACAAGTAGTAAAAATTGAACACTTCACTTTGTCATTGAATCTGCAGGAAAACGATGTCAAATGGTTTACCGAGTGGTGCTAACTCTAGCAGAGCTAGCACCACCAGCCCTCAGTTTTCTTGCAGGTTAATAACCACATACATGTGCTCCAGTCTTGTGGTAATATGCCAGTTTAATAGATACAGCCTAAGAGCATTATCTCTATTTTTAAGTACCAAAATTGACCTTTGGGTTTGTTTGCCTCCAGGTAGTGTTAGAACAGCCCGAACTAGTGTTAGGCAGCACAGCCAAGACACAGTATGAGCGTGGTCTAGACCCGCTCTTTTTCTTTGGAAAGCGTCTTGAGATGACGACTGTTGTGAATTGGCACTATATAAATAAAATTTGATTTATTTATTGATTGATTGATTATGTGAGAATTTCTTTATCCAGCTGGTGACTTGAGTGCTAACTCGTGAGGGTGACAGTGTATGAAAACCCACTTCAGAGTACAGATGACCATGTTACATGACTGGCATGTGACTAATTTTCATTGCTGTGGACGTTCTTATCACATAGATGTGTGATTCATGGAAAACACTTGATTCGTGAGCCAGAGATTCCTGGCTCACTAACTGAAAGGCCGCAGGGGAATTGATAACTCACGGGAATGACTGTTCCTTTGATTTCCTCTTTTTAATGACTATTTAAAGAAAAATGACACAGTTCTATTGTTCTATGTTTTAATTCACACACTGCCCAAAACTGGATTCTGTCATCATTAATGTAAGCTCATGTTATTTTATTTTTTATACTGCCGGGCTTGAATCGAGTTAAAATGTCAGTGTCATATAAGAAATGAACACTGCTCTCCTGGTTCCCCTTTTGTTATAACCTGACATTGTGCAATCATGAAGTCCTCAGCGTTTTAGATTTAACCCCACTTAAAGGAGAAGACACTACTCTGAGTCACAAAACGTAGGCAGTTTCTGTGACCAGTGAATAGTATTTCCGTTTTTTAGGACTTTGCCTAAATATACTCCAGATCTGTCATGTTTTCAATTCCCCGAATTATTCCCACTCTGATTCATTGTGCACGCTTAATGACAGCATTACAGTTCGATGTCACTTCTGCCACATTAACGTAAGAGGTTTTTAATACCACTGTTGGTTCCGCAAACTTGTTTAAGAAGAACTTTGTCTCTTGTTGATGACATTGTTTCTTTTTGATGTGGGGCATTTTCATTGTTTTATCAACCAGCAGGTTGAGGGGAAAAAACAATCACTGTGCTGTGGGAAAGTTAACCCTTAAATGCCTGAAACCACAAGTTATGGCCAGAAAATTACTACCGAAACCCCCAAAAATCAAAATGTCCTTAAGATTTAACATATATATAAATCTATATTTATCTTGTTTGATACATTAGATGTTTTTGGAAACTGATAACACACAAGAAGACATTCCTATCATTTATCAGGTGTTTTTTTTAGTAATTTGTTGATCATATTGATTTGATAGAAGTATCATAAAAGTATGTATCAAAGATGATACAAAGGCATTAAGGGGTTCAGCATGACTAGTCGAAACACACATGCTCAGCAAACAGAACATTTCAAAACGCGGTGACTTGGTGATGTGACTAAAATGTATCTCAATAGAGAGATGAGTCATGATATAGTAAGTATGCTGAGTTATGGTGCATGACGAGTTCAAGTGCATTATGTATTCCTCTCAAACACTGAGCTTGAGTAACAGTGAATGTATTACAAAATACTGAACCCTGATTCATCAACATTTTCAATGATTTTCTTGAATCTCTTCCTGAAGTCAAAGGCTGGCCACACGCTCGACAACATTTGGATCTCAACCCGTTTTAAAACTGTGGCGGACCATGGAAGGACAGTTCTGGGAGATGTAATCTTCTGTTTGAAGTTCAAGCCAGGACATGCGTAACCGGGCCTGTTTGTAAGAGCAGACGCTTGAATGGATGTAAGGCAGATTTTTCCAAGGTTGATTCCTCTGAATGTGTTTAAACTGTGATAAACCATCTTTCCCGAACCACCATAGAATGTCTTTGGAACGCGTTATCTATGAGCTAATCAAATAAGAATTAACAAATGTGGTCAACTGTTCACACACACATTGTGAGCTATTAAGAGCTCACAGTTTGTCCAGTATACTCACTTTATAGAATTTGATGGATTTTGCTGACTTTATTTCATTCCTGGAACTCTCTTAAATATAGTGCCAACTAAATTTCAGCATTTGATGTTTTCATCTTTGCCATCTTTGTGCTGTGGAAATTTTACCATACACACCCGGTTATTAATGCATATCTAACAATTATTAATCCAACTTCCTGCTGAAGGAAGTATCACCTTTGACAAATTTGTAGATCAAAAGACTTTGTGGGGTTCAAACTCAACGAACCAACCTCAGATATCACGCTTTTTAAATGTCATTTAATGTCTTAGTGGGTACATTTTTATGCGTTTTACCACTGAAAGGGTATCTAATGGAACTATGTGTATCCAGAGGGGAACCAGATGACATGTTTTCCACGTATCTAGTGGGCATTTTTTTTTCAAAGTATTTCTACTGACAGGGCATTCAAAGGGCACTTGTACACATAGTTTACTTGGAAAGGGCATCAAGTGGTAGCTCTTTTCCATCTTTTTATTGGGTAAAAGCATACAAAAGATGCTAATTTATGTTTTATTTACTAAAATGGTATCAGAGGGTACATTATCCACATTTTATAAACTGGAAAGTCATTCAGAGAGCATTTTTTTGAATATTTTTACACAAGACAGAGTTTTTTTTTTTTTTTTTTACATTTGACATTCAGGCCATTCAGAGGGTGCTACTTTATATTTTACATAGGCCTGTTAGAATGGAATTCTTGGATAGAACTCTTGATATTTTATCTGCCAACAGGCAATAAAACTAGAGGGCACTTTTTCTGGGTTTATACACCAGAAGAGCATCCAAGTAGACACTTTCATGGCTTTTTTTCAGACATGATGGCAACAAAGGGGTGACGTCTTGAACGAGTACTTTAAAACTCACTGTATTTCTTTTTTGTTCTAAAGCCTACTACACCTACAGCTGCCTTGTATTTCCTACTACATGTACATTATGTTGACAACATGTTGGGTGACTCAAAAGATTTGTTGTGTCAAAACTTAAAGACTTTTTTACTTAGCTGCTTCACAGGGACACAAAAATTTAACTATGTTTGAGTCATAAGTCAGTTACATCCAAATGACGCATGTGGGATAGTAAATTTGCTGCTCTTCTTGTGCTTCAGGAAAAATGTGGATTAACACCCACCCTGACATGGAAAACAACATGATGAATTTCTGAACTTAGGAAACCGTTTTCCCGTAGAGAGCAAACCCGCAGGTTACCAAACACCAACTGGAGGGCAAACAGAGATTTCCTGAAAGCTGAATCAGTAAGCCAAGTAAGTGTCAAAAATGAAATGAAAATAATTGTTTATTTAACTGTTAATGAACTCTGTCACTGGAAAAAAAAAAAAAAAAAGATTTCTTGGGAATTGGTTGGAAGTCACACCCAAAAGTTGATTTCCTGTTGGACTGGTTATGAATCCAGACAGTAATATCAAAACATTTAATATTTTATCTATTTTGATGTGCTTTTCACAATAATAATAAAAAAATTCTGACGGAATATAAAACACGTCCCATTATCCCTGTAGTGCTCCGTATTATTACAGCAATGTCACAAGGGCCAAATCAGCCACATTCAAACCTACTGTTATAGCTACTTTTTTCACAAAGGACACAATCAAAACAATACCAAATTCTCACACACACATATCACCAGAAATTCTAAAATTTAATGTTGCAGTAGAGAGTTTATTATTTTTTTTAAATGTACTGCCACTACCACAGAGCTGCGGTGGATGCTTGGAAGAATATCGTCCAATGCAACTGCTAACATGGTCCTAAATAAACTAAAATAAACCAAACAAGAAGTTTAACAGCTGAACAAAAGCTCACACACTAACAAGGTTTAGAGATTAAACAAACACTGTATTATCAAAAAAGTTGTTTGGACCAATGTTCAGTTTGAAGCGACAAAAAATGATGTCCAGGACATCACTTAAATTTGGATTCATTGATCCAGTGGATTCACAAATGACCATTATGTTTTGAAGACTGTATTTGCAGAAAATCAATTTATTCAAAATATTTGCATGTAGAAAATCAATAAAAGAGAACCAAGTACTGAGCCCTGGGGAACGCCTTTGGATAGAGGAGCACAGAAGGAAGTAAAGGGAATTGCTATTAAGAAACAAACGATCATATATCTGTTTTGTGCATTTTATTTGGCATGTATTCCTTATTTTATTTCTTCAAAGACATCACACCCAAGACACTAGAAATGTACCTGAAGGTTTCATTTTTACGAATAAATAAGAAAAAGTAATTTTTAAAAAATGATTGCGTCATAGTTGAATATTTTTCTCCTCTAAATTATGCCAGTCACTCACGTTTGGATTCCACAAGAAATCGCAACAGGTTTATTGATAAAACTGAAGGTCACACACTGATCAGGTTTAGGAACCAGTTTAAACAAACCTGAAGTCATCCACACAGGCGTGTTCAGTTTGAAGCAGTGAAAACCAACGTCCAGTGAAGAACCAACATCCAGAGCATCACTTCAGTTTGGATTTGCTAAATTTTTCACATTTTCTATTATTCACACATAAATTATGCTACTCAAACGAAACATACAATATAAGCCAAATGGCTCGTAAAACACTGTGATTCTGACACAGTCAGGAAACTTTTTCTATCTTCACACAGAAATGCGACTGCCTGAAGCCTTGACTTTTTACAGATCAAAAGCTGAAGATCCACCTTGTGGTAAGTGCCAGAATTACGTACAAGTTTACTACAGAGTGTCTCACAGAGAGATAAAATGACAATGTACTTAGTACTCCTTTCAGCTCCAACATCAGGAACTCCTATACGTAACCATGATATAAAATCGCAGACAGCCCAAACGCTCCCCTCAAGTGAAGTTAAACACTCAGAGCTCCCCCTGGTGGCTTGCAGCAGTATCGTTCTTTCAGCCAGTCTCCCAACCACAGAATATTTCCCACCAGTCTCATTAGCCGCACCTGTATACTTAACTTGCAGATGGTGGCTTAAACTCGCACAAGTTTGTGGTCACTTTTCATGACTGTAGCAGCAGGAGGCAAGACAGCACTGCAGCAGCTTAACTCCTGTGTGTCAAAAGTACAGTCACTTCCTGCAGAGTGATCGGTGTGTTTGATTCAGGAGCTGCACTAAAGGTCAAACGAATATTATATTCGGTTGATGTTATTTTGAACTGTGCAAATTCCATATTTTCTCAAATAAAAGTCCAGTCTCTCATGGAGAGGAAGTTTAAACTACAATACTGTCTGTACAGTAGGAAATCCAATAGATGTTTTTGCCAGAAATTAAACTCTTGAGGTAGCTGCAGAAAAAATCTGTTCAAATCAGCTATGCTGATAAAATCAGCTGATCATGTGCTTTTTGAATTTTCTTTAATCTGTTCATCTGCACCACAACTGTATTTATTTCTGCACCCTCTAAATTCTGGCCCGCACATTACTAAACTGCTAAAAGCAGTGCTGTAAAACTTTTTCACTGACCCCCATTTTTGACTTCCAATATGAAAGTAGCTCTGGTGGACAAAAAATACATAAAACTAAAACAAAGCAACTTTTACATTTCTGACCCTTTTGTCCAAAAGAGCTGGGAGGTAAAAGCCTGGATCAGAGTCTGTGACATGTGAAACAAAGCTGCACCATTCAGACATCAAGCTGCTTTCAACCCAATAAGTCATCCACTATCTCCCAAACCTGGTTACAGACAATGAGATCCTCTCAGCCTGCAGCAAATGGGTAGTAAACCTAGTGTTTCCAGTTTATCAACCTTTTGATGTGGTTTAATCCAGTCAGAGATAATCCATGCTTTTAGTTGCCATCTGGTTTCCATATGTCCCACCATCTCCATGTTTGGTACTGATTACGGTCCTGAGTTTCCCTGCAGGTACTGATGGCATGTAGTATCTCAGATTCTTCCACAGGCTTTTGTTTGGTTTACTGAGTATATGGTTCCCCGCTGAGGGTCTCCTCCACTTCAAAGCTCCTTGTTTCCTCTTGATGTAGCGCAGGGACTCTGGTAGGAGACTGTAATCCACCGGACCATCTGATAGACAAAAGAACAATGTTTACTCAAGCTCAAAATCTACACGTCAGATACACCAACAACTGAATCTGATCAAAACTTTACAGTATAGTGAGAAAACAAACTTTTTCTCTCCTGTATGACTGTGATATTCAAAAGGTCTGACTCAAGAATAAGCACCATCATTCTTCTGTTCATTAAATCTCAGTTGTTCTGTTCTGGTGAGTCTGAGGCGGGGGGGTGCAACTCAAGGAAGAATATTTATGATCATTTCTTTATCATTTCCTTGAAGTAATAATCATCATATTAATCATTTTGCACTGCAGACGCAGTAGTTCTTCTGCCTTAGCGTCTCGGTCTGATTGCATTTCTATGAAGAAATGATCATAAATGTTCTTCCTTGAGCTGCGTCCCCCCGCCTCAGTTGATGATGGACAGGTCAAGGTCTCGCTACAAACAAGCGGCTGCTGGAAGAGAGTAGGTGAGTTGTGTTTAGTCTCTTTGCTAAAGAAATTAGGCAAAGTTAAAAAGATGTTTGGTGGCTAGTACTGTGGCTAGGACTCTCTATGTACTGTTGATGAAGTTAGGTGCTGTTCTGAGAATTATTTGTGGCTATAGAGTGGCTTTTTGGTTGAGGTTTGTTTATGGTTTTGATGCATTTCTGGGAATCAAGAAATCTAAACACTCAAATTGATCGAGAACAAATCGCCAACTGAACATCTGTTCATGCATCTGTTCTTTGTCATCATTTTGAAGCTGACTATACATTATGTACACTAATGAGCTGCCCTTAAATTACTCTTGACTCGACCTTCCAATGATTAGTGACAGCAGTTTTTGTTTCCATACCGATCTCCACCAGAACCACTCTGGGACTGTTCTGCACCAGGGCGTTGTAAAGGCCGACTTCACGCTCGTAACACAGCTGGTTCTGGTTATCACGCAGGGTAACTTTTTCTTTTTTGTCTTCACTGCAGGACGTTGCCTCAGGTGAGAGGATGATGATGAGTCTGCGACACTGATTCAGTGTAGCAGCTACAGCATCATGTACCGCTGTAAAAGATTAAAAACAGGAAATGAAAAACAGGTCATCAGACATCATTCGCATATTTCGTGGTTGAGTTGGTATCTTTGTATTAATAATGCTACTTGATTTCTCATCCTGAAATGGTCATTTCCTGGTTGATATTAGGTTTTGGTCTGACCAAAAGACCTTGCATGTGCCCGACTAGCACCAGAGTGGTATCTAGATCTTCATAGGTTTTAGGATTCAGACCATTTCTTGATAAGTTGGGGGTGAAGATCAGAAAATCAAGACAGAGCGTAGAGGTAAATCAGGTAAGTCTCTGTCCCTGACCTTCTCCTGGACAGTCGTCTCGTCCTCGGATGTACAGGGAGAAGCCGTGTTTGTTCTCCAGCTCTTCAGGCAGGATCTGCAGAGCGAATCTCTCCATCTCAGCTGATTTTGCAGTTTCAGTGTGAAGAAAACTCACATAGGCATCATAGAGCTTCCCATCAGGAGCTTTGGAGCAAACAGAATTGAAAAAATATTATTGTTATTGTGAATGTTTAAACCTTTACGACCCAAATCTTCTCCTGCAGGTTGAATTTTCTTATTAAGCTTTTGTTTGTGCTCATTGTATATGAGCACAAATATAATATGTATAAAGTCAGCTGCAGGTCAAACTTGTAGATTTGTTGTCTGACAGTAAAGCAAATATTAAGAGATAAAAATAATTAAAAAAAAACATTCACCTTGTTGTTTGGTAAAACGTCTAGACAGTTTCCTGTAAGCCAACACCAGATCAACCTTACAGAAGAGGAAGACGGTACCTAGGAGCAGAATAGTCAGTGGGACAATGATGCAGAGAGCCACGCTGGTGTAAAGGGCACTGCGGTCAGCTGTAAAGACGGGAAGGAGGGAGAAGAGGAGGACAAATTAAGACCCTTAAACCGTCAATTTGGTGACTCAGAGTTTAAGTATTCCTACAAAATGTGGCCTTTTCTAAGGAACTGTTCCTCTGCACAGCGTCTGCATGTCACACCCAAACACAACAGCAGTCTCTTCTGCTTCCAATTGCACAAAATGAACAACATATAAACCAAATCAATCCGTGGGAAGAAATCCTGTATACTTCACCTCAGTCATTTATAGTAAAAAAAAATAGTTTTAATGTCAGGCTGGTCTTGTGAATGGGGAAATAATGACAGTTAATGGGAACAGATGTGAGAGCAGCCTGAAGACCATCACTGATAGGTAAAAATAGAGCAGACAATGGTTGATCAAGGTAACTTAAACCCTGAGAGGTAGTAAAAATTGCAACATTTCCTGCTTCAAAAAGGACAGAAATGCCAACACCAAGTCACGGTCAAACTTTATATCACTAACTGGAAATATACATATAAATATGCAAATAAGCCATTATAAATAAGCCATATCGTTGTTACACGTATCAGGTCTTGCGGTGAACATGTTTTTCTTGCTAGAGAGCACTTGTGAAATTATCAGTGTGGTCCATCCACAGGTGATGACAATCAACCCCACAGGAAATGAATTTAGGTCACTGTAGACTCAGTTCTTGAAGATTGGTGCCGTAATACATAAATAAGTATTTCTTAAATTGTAGAAATAAATGCAAAATTTCTGTGACATGCTATCAAAAACCAAGTTATTGAGAAATGGCAGGGGTATGTAATGTTAGCAAGTTTTAAGGACATTAAAAGTAAACCTCATTAGCTCATTTTTGACCCAGTTATGCATCTAAGGGTCAAATCAGTATTGTTTTTTTTTTTTTTTTGTATTTTTTGTCAGTAGTCGGGTAAGAAGTGAGATAATGTGTATAAACACCTAATAACTTTAAGAGTTAAAGTGGGCAGAAATGACCGTGTATTCACAGTATCACTCTGTTATTATTTCCTCAAATTAGAGCTGAAACTGTTCACCTGCAGCGTCCTGTTGTTTTTGTCATTTAAGTGTCCTGCAGATCTCTGTATCATGGAGAATAAAAACAGAGTCGAGTTTGAAATACCTTTTTCAAGCCGCACAAAGCTGTCTTTGACACCAGCTGAGGTTATTACATGGCAGCCGATGGGGATGTTCAGGAACCGATGGGGCACCTTTGAGATGGACAGAGTGGACAGACCGTACACTCGGCCGTTGTCATGAATACTGAAAGAGACAGAACCAATTCATGATGTTAGTTTACAAATGAAGCAACCGTGGAATACATGATGAAATGTTTGTGTACATGCTTTGCTGCTTTATAGAAGTGGAGCAACCAGGAGATGCACAGATTTTGTTTTCAGTTTGAGGATACTTGAATGAAACAACAGCCTACTCCAGAGTAAGAGTGATTAAATGGCTGACAAACACTGTTTATGGGATTTCAGGCTGATGTTTTCCCTGAAGTGTGTCCACCTGCTGTGCTTTGCTTTTTTCCGTGACATAGTAGCTCCCAGAAGTTAAGAAACAGTGGAAACTTACAAGTGAAAGGACTCATGGAGCTCCTCATGATCCTCCACAAAGGTCGTGCCAACAGTCCAGTAAATAAGAGTATCATTGTCCACATTGAAGCCGACGAAGGCGAAACACTTCAGCTCAGTTCTCTTACCTATTCAGCAGAGAAGTTGACGTCAATAAAGCAGCTTTTCTACACAGTGTAGTGAATGATACAATTATAACAACCACATATTAATTCTTCAAAACTGCAGTCGAACTTAAAAACAACTCTTAAATTCTTGTTATAGTGTTTCCTGAAAGGCCATGATGATATGGGTAAAACTCATCTTTCAAAATGTTTGCTGAACTGAGGCCAAAGTGGACACTGGCTGTGTAAAACTTGGAAACACTTTCTATGAACCCACCACTTATAAAACATCATATAAACACATCCATAAATCCCTATAAAAGTGTCTTTCAGGTTTTATTAGAATTCCTATGAGTAATAACAAGCATTTATAAGAACTTACAGCAATGATTATGAAGTATTAAAAGAAGTGAGGCATGCGTTAGAGCGTTTTTAGTCAAGTGACAGCACAGTATGAGATTATTAACAATTGTGTGATAATATAACACATTTTTAGCAGTATATTGTGGGCGTAAGTAAAGTTTCAGATAAAAAGACTTCACAACAAGAATAAATTTTTTCTTGTCTAATGCCTTATAAAGGTAAAATGCATTAAAAAACACATTTACAAAGCATGACGCTCCAGCTTGTAACAGTACATAACAGTTGCTATAAATGCTTATCTATAGAAACTGCCTTTTCCCTTTGGTTCTAATTTTTTATTTTATTTGTACATCATGGCAAACTAATAATAACATCATGATTGATTTCAATAGAACTGGTTCAACCGGTGAGTAAGAGGAAAGACAATAGCTCATTCATTTCACATGCAAAAACACGCCACAGGCCATTTTCTCAACAGTAAACAGCACTTGTAGTAGAAGTGAGTCTCACACTTGCAGAAAGTAACACCCTGTGATCTCTGAATTAACAGGTGTGTAACTATGACGGCTGTTCAACTTTGCGGTTCTTACCCACTTCGACTATAACCACATCCTGATGAGAAATCATGACCTTTGGCTCAGGAATGACTGTATCTGCAGTTGAAATGTGCAAAGTTAGTGGTGTTACAGAGAGAAAGTAACCACAATCTATTAGAACATAAATAAAACTAATGAAACTGAGAGAGGGAGCTAAACCAAATAAACCGAGAAAAAACAGATAAATCAGAGAAAACCCTTGCAGGTAAAAAAAAACCTCATAACTTTGCTGCTGCTTCAACTTCAACACTCAACAACTTTTTATCTTCAAAAAATATTTGAATAGATTTAAATAAAGTGAAAATCTATCTACATGTTTCTTAAATTCAAACAGAATCCTGCACACACACTGGATCTGAACACAAATCAAACTCAATAGTTACGTGGTTTTAATTTCTCTCTCAGGACTTCATCTTAACAACGCCTGCTCAACATACCGTTGTTAATAGTTAGCCTGATGCTGCGTGCAGAGGTGAACCTCCTGCCGTCTACACTGATATCAACCAGGCAGGTGTAAATCCCAGCATCCCTCTGTGAGGCTGATGGCAGCATCATGAGGCCGTCCTCGTGAACACTGATGGACTTCTCCACGGGGCCACAGTCCTTCACATAACAAAACACTATTGTCATTTTTACTGAATTACAATAGAGAGAAATCCTAAAAGCACAATTCTTAGTGTACAACCATAAATTCAGAAAAGTTGAAATATATTTTATTTAAAAAAAGTTAACACTTTATAATAACAATAACTTATAAATGGTAAATAGACCATTTATAAATGGTGAGCAGATGATGTATTCATGTATTATCATCATTTATGAATGGTATTTAGACCATTAATAAACTGTAAACTTTACAATTTTTAAAGCCTAACCCTAACTTTACAATAACCATCGAAGTAAAGTTTAAAGATGGTTTAAAAACCGAATATTAACCATTTACAAAGTGCTACTGACACACATTTTAATATAGATGTTTTATAACCAATATTTAAACCCTATATAAACCTTTAATAATTATCCATTAATAATTAATAAAAAAATATTCATCATAATTTCATTGCTTGTTAATGGTAAAGTAACTTACATAATTAGTCTATATGTTGTTTTTAAATGATGATTAAACATTGATAAACTATCTTTTTACCATTTATTAATTATGGTTATTGTAAAGTGTTGCCAAAAAAAAAAAAAAACAGAATTGTGCAGCCCCATATCAGAATCTCTTAACGGATACAATTTCCTCTGATTTATTTTGTGTCCTGTATTGTCTGTCTTTATTTTTTCCCATTTTCATTTTTCTTTTGAGTTTAGGCCTTAATCAAAAATAATCTTGCAGAGAAAGTAAATAAAGATACTTGCCTGTCCAGCAACAGCAACATTATGGCAACTATTTTACATTAAAAAGGGGAATCAGTCCAATTGTACATGTTCCTGATCTGCACAGTAGGGGGCACTGTTGCTCTTAAAGTGAAGACTGTAAGGCTGAAAACACCAGTCTGTTTTAATGCAGTGGTGAGGAAAAAAATCTTAAACTCTGCCAGTTAAAAGTCTAAACCAAAGTTAACTTGACGCTGAGTTAAAGCAAGATGGTCTGTTTAAAGGCACAGAAACTGCAGGGAAAAAAACAACAACACATTGATGTCACAGAGCTGTGTTTACCTTTAACCATTGTATGTTCCTTGTGTTATTCAGTCCTAAGATCTCATTCTGTTTGCATGGAAGGCCGTCTGTCACATCCTGAGTGATAGATATGGTCTCAGGTGGGTAAGGACACTTCCCATTCGATACTGATACCCCGAGTGTAACATTATAGGAACCAGTGTCATCCCTAAAGAGAAAAAGACATGCATGAGATGGATGAAGGCCTCAAAAACACACATGACTTTATACGGTAATTTTTACATTATGGTTTCACAAGATATTGATATGTAAAAGGATAAAAATGAAGATAATTCTCAAAAACAAGATGAATTCAAATATCAAAACAGTTTCAAAAGAGTGGTTTGAATTTTCTAGGATCAGTTACTGTCAAACCACCTGAGCTTTACCTCTTTACCTTTTCGTACATGTGTAAGATCCATTATGAGACACCTGCACAGGTAGAAACCACAGTAAGCCGTCCCTCACTTCCACTCCAGCAGGCAGACTCAGGTTATGCCCTCCCTCTCTGCTCCACGTTACTCTGGCAGAGTCAGCATTGGGACACCTCAGCAGGAAGAGATGACCGGCACTTACATGGTAGACTTCTACCTCTCTCTTGTGGTCTAAACGTGCCATTGCAAAGAGAAAAAAAAGGATTTTGTTGAAAATGGAAAAAACACATCTAAGAATCAATGTTTTTTGACTTTCATATGCAGATATGATGCTTTTTAGGACTCACCTTTTTAACCAGGCTTTTCACTGATAGCCTTTTCTTATTTCTCTTATCATTACAGTTCATTTTAATCGAAGTTCTTAATGTTTATTTTATGTATTTTTTATTAGTTATCTCTATTCTTAGTCTTTTTCTTAATTTCCTCCAGTGAGGTTTTTACTTCTTTTACCCCTTTTACATGGTAAAGAGCTCTTTCTTATTTGTTCATTCTATTTTCTTGTCTTAGTCAACCAGGTTTTACTTTCTTTTTACCATTCTTATCTTTTTACCTCCAGTGTTTCCCAAAGGTAGCTTTCCTCACGCAAGGTCTCAGTGTCAAGCCATTTCTCTCTTTGACAATATATCTTAAGTGCTCACTCTGTGTACACTTGTGTGTGTCTTTGTATGTGTGTGGGTCTATGGGTGTATGTGTGGGTGGGAGAGTCGGGTTTTATTGTTGTTTTTAGCCTCTGTGAGGCACTTTGAACTACATTTATGTCTGAAAAATGCCATAGCTACACATTAAGTTGAATTTGAATTTATATTTTTAATCCTCTCCTCTCTTTAAGAACAGCACATGCAAAAAAGCTGTCACTGTTTGTATGAAAGAAACGTGTATTCTGGAAGATTTATAATATAGGACATATAAAGAACTGTGCAGTACTACATTAGAGGTACTGTAGATTAACAAAGAGGCTGAACCTTTAAACTTTTGATTCTTTTATGAGTCAGTTTGATTAGATTCAATTTAAAGGGCTTTGCTGGCATGGAAAATATATGTTTACATTGCTAAAGCAAGAGAACAAAACAAATAAAAACAGAAAATTAGAGAAAAAGTTAAAAAAACAAAATATTTCGGGGTGGGCTACACACAGCATTGTGCGGAGAAACAGAATAGTCATAGTCACTCTAAGTCACTTATAGTTAAAGTTACAGATAAAATAGAGACTTTGCCCTTTAAAATATCAATAAAATTAGGTACACAATATAACAGATAATGTAAGATAAGATAGAAAATACAGTATACAGCAAGTAAAGCTTTTACTCTCACCACCACAAGGCGGCCCTGCTGTGTACACATTGTAATGCTACGTTTAATAAAATTGGGAGAATGAGGATTTATGTCACCACAACAATTAGATACAGTAAGATACTAAGTTTAATAGCTACATTTATTATATTAGAAATAATTATAGGTTTGGTTGTTGAAAAATCAGACTTTTGTAGTTTTATCCTTCTTTGAAGTTTGGTTAGTCCGCACATTTTTTCCATTATAAATTGAGTAAAAGGGGAGATTAATATCCCTTTGATATCATTATCTTAACTTTAAATCTTTTAAGTTTTTGTCTGCTTTTCTACCTTATCTGTTTATACAACAACAGAATAGCGCCAGGAAGAAACCTGATGCTTATCACCTCACAAATAAGAACAATCAAAACCATGATGTTATCACACAACATCCTGCACAAACCGCTCCACTTGAACGAGATATAACAGAAACGAGAGACATAACAAGAGGCTTCACAGCTCAGTGTGTGTGTCAACCACAGAAAGAGGCAGAGTAAGCAAAAAAATTGCGTTGTGGTATCAGTTGCGTCATATCTCTACGAGAAGATGAATTGACTGTTAATATACCAAGAAATGATGCCAATTGAGGTTTTTGCATGTGCGGGAAACATTAGATTTTCGTGGTATTTTACACTTAAACCACAGCTTGATAAGGGGAAGAAAAAACCTTCACTTGCACGGTTGTTTCTGAAGATCCACCTGGTATGTATATGATCTGTTTCAGTCGCTGGTTAAATAAAATAAAGCACGATAGTTCCTATAGTTAGTGTCGATTAAGGTCATGGTTGTGTTCTTCAGGAGTGGGTCTTTAAGGACAGTTTCAACCACCAGGCTGTCAGGAAGCTGAACTCTTTGCCCGCTCTTCTGCACCCTCTACCCCTTCTGCCCTGTGCACGCACAAACTCTGGACCCTGACCCCCATCCACCCTCCACCCCCACCCCCACCCCCACCCCCAACCCACACACACACGTGCACTCTCTCACACTAGACACAAGGTTGCATCAGCTAATTTATTGCACGCTACTCAACACTGCCATTTAAAACATAACCTGTAATGTGCCTCGGTACTCAGTGATTCTTGACTTATGTTGCATTTTTACTTTTTGCACGAATGTCTCTTTTCTCTGTGATATTTTTACATTCAATTATACTTTCATACTTTTTATCTTTATACTGAATGTTTACTATTTCTATATCTTATTTTACTGTTGCACCGTGAGCTTTGATGAGTACTGGAGTGCAGCTTTGACACACGTACATTAGTTGGAAAAAAAACCCAATCTGCTGCAATCATCATTTGATGGCTGCTATTTGACAGCTGACGTAAATTCGAAGGTGGAATTTTTCTGGCTGGTTGATAACTGGATTGCTCGAAGTAACTATGGATTTCAGTTTCTTTGTGGAAACTGCAAATATTCTTTCTCCTTTCACAAAGTCATGGAGTGCTGTCCAGGTGTGCGGCAGCACCATATAATGACTCTGATGTGATGCTTTACTTGAGTAATTGTGTTTCTGTTGAGATTCATTAAACTAAACACTGTGGTAACAGGTGGCAATGGTCAGAAATCCAGCAGGAGTGGGCAGGAACAGGATTAAGAAAACAGTCACACAGGGCACCACTATATACTAAAGGAAGGTAATTTAAGCCAGGACTATCAATTTTGAAGAAGCATCTTAGTCAATAATGCTTGAGACGGTTTGAGATGGCACAAACAGGAAAACCAGTTTTGCAACTTAATTCCTGTGCTCTCAGTTTCAGTTTATTGTCTAACAAATGCGGTTTAAGTAGGTTGAAGACTTCTTGACTTGAGGCTGAAACTGTTGAAACGCACAGGACAGTAAATAATGTAAAAGACATATATATCACTGACAGCTTTCACAAAAATGAGTTTGCCAGGCACTGCCAGAGTCTGGTTCTTGAAATTATTCCTAAAGGAAATGTTTCTCAGTCTTTAACAGCCTCTAAGAACTGATAAGCACTTACCGTGTGCGACCGTAAATCCCAGAGATATCAGTGCAGCCAGAAAGAAAACCCAACCTGCAGTTGCCATGGTCCCTATCTGAGGGAAAAGATGGGATACACAGTGTAAAAGTCTTGCTCTTGCTCTCAGATGCGGCTCATGTTCTCAGTCTTTGACTCTGCTGTAAGTAAGGGTTTTTAGCACATTTCCTGATAACTGCTGACGTTACAGGGAAGTGAGAGAAGCAGGTCACACAGGGAAAGAGCAAACACTCCAAGTAAAGTCCCAGGAAGTTCCACCGATTGGCTGTTCTTTAGAAAAGGAGCTCTTTCTTTCTCTCTTTTTGTGCATTTAGGTCTCTTATCTCTCAATCCATTTCTATTTCTTTCTTTTTGCCTATCTTCATGGACTGATTCAGCAGTTCCCTTTACACATTATAATACATCCACTCCAAGTCAATAGCATGCCTGTAATTTTGTAATTTTTTTAGGGTTCTTTTTTAATGATTTTGGGGATCTACTCTGTAGAATAAGAAATGTTTTTTTTGTTTCTGTGTAGCAAAGGTAGGATAATTTATGTTAAGCAGACAGCTCTCCTAGAACCACCTACTGGGGAGTGATTTCTTCTGTAACAAACAACTGCTTTTATATCTTGTATAATGTATGTCTTTATAATGCTTTACTACCCAAATGTTCTATAGCCAAAGATATTTTTACTTCCATACACCACTTAATCCCAGTTTTTTGGCCATCACAGGTGTCACATTCTGCCTCAGCAAGGACTTCTATAGTACTGTAATCACCACTTTGAACACCCTTTTGTTTTTATACACACACGTTTTGGCTTGGGACAGCAGATTTACGTCTTCCAACACCAACATTGCTGTGTTGGGGAGAAAAAAAGAAGAAGTGAAATGAAGTCACCAACAGCAATCGACACTGGATCCTGCTTATTCAGCTCTGATACTCGAGAGCAAAATCATGCACCGAAAGGCAGCGCCCACTCAAAGCGGGTATCAGTGTTAGCAGTGAAAGTAAGTTGTGGCACACTAGTCAGGGAAACTTCCACTCTTGGCACTTGCTGTTGGCAGCCAGAAGTTGCATCTGCTTACTTAAAAGTGTATTTCTACTGATGATTTGATTGTCATACATCCAAAAAGATTAAAACTGGTCTGACTTGTGGTCAGATGAGCATCTGTAACCGCTAACCTTGCTTGAAAGTCTGTGAGAGCTGTTGTTAATTTACATTGAATCAAAACATTTAATTTCTGATGAAATTCTTAACAATATAATACTGATACAGCAAAAAAAAAAAAAAAAGCGATATAGACTATGAGCCATTTTGTCAACCTTTAATAATTCCTAACTACTGTGCTGTGAACCTATGGTAACAAAATATTATCTTATCATAAACTATAAAAGGGTGGAGGGTTAAAGAAATTGAGGTTAGAGCCAATCAAAGTTCAGTTTGATCGACACAGTTGGTGGACGAACCAAAGAAACACAAGAGTTACACTTGTAGAAAAAAATGAGAAGCATGATTCAGTCTGTTTACAGAGAGGAACCACAGAAAAATAACAAGATTAAAAAGACACATCTTAGACAAACTACTGTACCTAAATTGTACCATTTAAAAAAAAAAAAATACCAGACAGAATATTGTGTATAGGAAAGGTTACGCTCAAACATCATTATGTAACTCACCTTGCATGACCATCAAGTGAATTTCTTTAAGACCTCCTTTAGTAAAGACCAAACTGACCGAAAGTTAAGTCAACCTACCACCTACCAGACTGATGCTGAGAATCTAAACAAGATGCTCTTTACAAGAAGTAAGTGTCTGACAGGCTGCAGGGGTTTTCCACCCCCTTACTTTGCATCATTATATATCTCTAACCCCTGAGTGAAATTTCCACTTGAAATTGGAAGAAGTAGCTCATACTCTGCAGTCAAGGTGAGCAGAGTTGATTCACCCACAACTCAATTGAGCGTGTTCTCAAATATAGGCCACCTGACCTCAAATGCTTCGGATGTGAGTGTGACGGCTGCTGATTTCCATCTACAGAAAAAAAAACTCTAAAAGCTGGCCGTTTTTTTTTTCTTTTTTTACAGATAACTATTTAAGAGAAACTTTAATTTGTTAATGGTAGATGTAAACAAACATATTCTTTAAGGTAATACCTCCTGAAATAGAGGGTTTTGACTGGCACTGTTGGCACTATTCAACTTATTGGAAACCTATAGGTGAAAGCCACAATACACTTTTAGCGGTGCTTTAATTTGCTTTAAGGGTTTGATGTCATGGAATATTTTCCAGTGTATCACCAGTTGTCAGTAAAAATCTCCCCTTTATTTTTAATCGACATAATATAAGATGAAGCGAACATCCCCTTAAGTATGGTCTGGTAGGCTTGTGTATGAAGGAGAACCAGGTCAGACCACCAGAGTACCAGGTGTAAATCACTAGCCACGTTTACATGTGCAAAATTTCTTGATCCGAATCCACTGTTAATATGGGTGCAAAATCAAATTATCCGATCATGACGTGCGTATACATGCACCAAGCTTTATTCAGATTAGCAGCATTTGGACATGCGCAGAGTTGTCTGATTTCGCGAGACGAGCACAGAAGAAGAGTTGTATTTACGCCTGTGCTGTCAACAAACCAACAAACGCAGCAGTGGCTGACTTCATCCAATTCAGGAGTTTTCCTCCTATTAAACGTTGTCACTAGATGGCGCCCTTGCATACTTATTTTACTGTTGTGTTAAAGGTTGCGCTGTGCGTGCAGATGTGACATCATTACGCTGTATGTACGCCATGTTGTGTTACCGGAAGAGCAGACACGGCAACAGCGGTTGCGTTTTTTGAGTGTTAATAATGAAACCTCCTGTTCTGGCCTCTATAAATAAGCCAAAGGCTAAAGAGTGAAGATTGAGTCAGGTAAGAGAGTCACGATCGGAATAAGTGTTTACATGGAGCCGTTTCGGAATAACGAGCGGCATAAACCACCCCTCTTGATCAAATTACAATTTCTGACTGATTGAGTCGAATTGGATCAGAATCTCCCGATCGACACGTTCACTTGAAGCATTTTTATTCCGATCGGGCATTTATTCCGATTATTAGTGTCCATGTACACAGCTACTGAGATGTGGTTTTGGTGAGGCATGTTAACAGCTGTCCTACTTTCTGGTTCCTATCAGAAACAAACACTTTTCAGGGTCAAGCGTCACTAAAAATGTTGTAGTCCACAGAGCTTGTACTGATCTATCAGGACCATCAGTACTGATGTAATATCATTTTATTTGTGACACATTATGTCAGCAAAATTGTGAGTCAACAATCAGTGCGGAAGATCCCAGTTTGGTTAAGCTTCACTAAAAACATATTGACAGTATTGTGCAATGTGTGGTGATGACATGAAAAGATAAATTACAAGCCTCACACTAAAGGGCAGGGAAATTTTTGTTCTTAAGATAATCGTTATCTTCAAAATAGATAAAAAATACAAACTGATGAGAACTGAAAAAGATAAGCAGAACCAGAATGAGGATTTGTGAAATTGAAATTGTACCTCAGCCTATTCTTTAGTAGTTTCTTATCAGGTAGTGTTTTTTTTTTCTTTTTTTTAAAGAAAATTGCAGGAGACATAAACACAAGAGTAAGCACACGACTTTTTCCAGCTTTTTACTGGCTTTTTTTAGTTTCTTGTTCGCATTGCTGTGCATTGCTGTACATTTTAATGTGTAGCTCACAGTGTGCTGCTCGACTTTTTACAATACTGGAGGCACATTTATTTACATATTTACAGTCTTAATTACACATATATACATAATAACAGGAGTATTTGGTTTGAATTGTCTGTCTTTGTCCACATCGGTCTCAAAATGTTAGAGATATCAAGAACTCATGAAGCTGCAGTGGAAGTTCAAACACAGTGGTGGTCTCCACGGGGTCTCCAAGTTGCTGAATGTGACAATTCAGTTCGTGTGAGGAAAGATTTACACCCATTTACATTAGTTCAGAAAAAAAGCTCAAAGCTCATCATAGGTTCAGCAGGGATGTTTTTTCAGGAAACATCGCCCTTTTTCCTCTCACTGGCATATGATATCTCATCTCCTTCCAAAACCTGGAGGACGGGCAGGAGGATGGAGACAGCTTTGTGTCCTGTCCACCTTTCTCTTCATCCTCTCTCCTCATACATGTCCCAGACCTCTGCCTCTTTTTTAGGTTCTTCCACCAACACACAGCGCCCTGCTTCTTTCTTAGTTGACGCACTGACTCTGGGAAGAGAGCGAGCTGAGCGGGGCTGATCTCCTCCAACTCCACCAGAACTACCTGTAAACCACCAGAGCACAGATCAGAATTAGTGTCTTTGAGCATGTGTTGCAAGTAAATGCTAAAATTTATTGGCTGTGAGATTTCTCCCTACTTAAACCGAGTGCGCACAAACTGTGCTCATTGTTTATTGTGGATCTCTGCTGTCAGCATATTTCAGAAAGTTAGTTTTCTCACCTTCAGAGATCCCTCCAGCAGAGCTTTGTACATTGCTGACGCACACTCATACGGCTGCCGTGTGTCTGAATACACTTCTTTGTCACTGTCATAATCCATGCTGCTACTGTCATCTGTGGTTTTGCCATCGCTGCTCTTAGAGATATTGTTGTTGTTATAGCTACTTGTGCTGCTTGTGAGTCTTTTGCTGATGAAGGTGGAGGCAGTGTAGAGCAGAAGGACTCGGCGACTGGCTTGTAAGTTTTGCTCCACTGAGTCCACTATGGCTGCAGGAGGAAAAGAGAAACAGAAGAAAAGATTAGGGTATTACGTCTAAGAACATGATTTATCCCATTGGCTCCTGACAAGGACCTAAATGGGTTAAAGATTAATAAAACTGTATAATTCATTCTCATCATTCTTAGCATGCAATAGATGAAGAAGCCTTTTTTTTAAACCAAATCTTGACCGTCTTTTGATTTGGTGTCAAACCCACAGGGTGAAGTGGGATAACAATGCTATCCTTGTTATGAAAGTGACTCACCCTCCCCTGGCAGAGAGTCGCGTCCAGCTATGAAAAGTTTGTAACCACAGGTTTTTTCCAATACTTGAGACAGAGTGTGCAGGGCAAACTCCTCCACTTCCTCGCTGAAACCAGCAGCACAGGGCTGCGGATACGCCACATAGGCATCATACAGTTTCCCATCCAAATCTGAAAAAAAATCAGAACAGCAGAGTTTATTAAGTGTTTTCCCACAGACTTTTGAGTCCTGTGATTCAGGTCCTTTAGCGTCTTTTTGGATAATACGTAAGAGAAATAACAATGAAGAGTCGAATTGATGTATTATGAGAAAGTCACAACCTGCTGGAGTTAGTTTGTTACGTATACAGAAAAAAAGGAAGTCACTGTCACATTAATAACCCTTTTCGGTAGTGAGAGTTATAAGTTTGCTCATAACGTTATCTGGTCGGTTAGTTGGTGATTGTTCAAACACCATCAGCCTGATCTAAAACAGACAATCAAATAATCCTGATTTAGTGATTTTACTGACATATTGACCCAAATAGCTGAACTAGAAAAGTCTTCATTGTAAGTGTTTCTGTGTCTGTTGCTTGGTTTTACTGTTTATGCTCTACTTGTTCCAAATACATGGACAGGATGTGGTTGAGTTTTCTTTGTATAAGCTGCTGACTGTTTTCTCTGTTATTTCAGTCATCAAGGCTTTTGCTTGTCCTGCTAAACACCAACTTTATTTTTTTATTCAAAACCTTTAAGGCCCAATATCACTGAGCTGCTGACAAACTGAGCAGTTAGAGTCGCTGACGCCCCTTCAGTAGTTGGTGACGGCAGGAAGTCTTGCGGTTTGTTTGTTTCACTTGTTTGCCCTCACTGTTGACACATGCAGGCAGGTATGAGGTCTGGTTGGAGAGTCACTCGGTTATGATGTTTGTGTGGGTGAGTACTGTATGTGTGGGTACTAAGGTCACGCAGCACTGTGGGTTTTTCCACTCAAGAACATTGTGGTCTGTCTTTGACACTCAAACGCCTTCTTTAAGGCTTCAGTCGTCTCTCAAAGTTTCATCTACAGTAATAATGTCGTCCAAGTACAACTGTGGTGATAAGTGCAGTACACAGTTAGTCAGTCACCCTCTCTTTGAACAGCTTGTTTATGAGTTACAAAACATTTCACCAGACTCAGTGACAAAGTGCGGGTATTTGATGACTTCACATGAGTATATGTAGATAATAAAAGTTACCTTTATTTGGATAGAGCACTGGAAATGCCCTCCTGAACCACAGCACTATGTCAACCTTCAAAAGGTAGTAGATGATGACACTGTTGATAAAGAGAACCGTAACACCACCGAGCACCAGTCCGATGGGTAGTATGATGTTGGGGTCTGCAGAGATGGAAATCACACAAACACACAGTTATAGGGATTTATTCCAATTTTAAGTGGTGATATCATAGCATATGTGACTCATGAAAAGATTATTCACTTATTCAGTAAAAGGTGTTTTCTTCAAAGTCATCTCTATTCTCTTCTCTGAGTGTGTGTATCAGGGCCGGCTCCACCTAAATTAGTGCCCTAGGCGAGATTATTGTTTGTTCATTTAAGTTAAATTAATATTAAATAATATATTAATATAACATTTTCAAGAGAGAGCACACAAAGGAGGGCAACCGACCATAGAAAGTTATTTTTATTTTTATTGTTTTTATTTATTTATTTATTTTTCCTCGAGGCCAATGGTGCTTGACGGCGTCTCTCCAGCAGGTGGCGCCCTAGGCGACTGTCGATATTGCCTATGCCAAGAGCCGGCCCTGGTCTGTATGAAAAGTGGGGAAAGGTGTCAGTTTAACTCCCTCTACTGGTCATCTACTCGCCAGGCACGACAATTGATAAATGCATATTCATCAGAGATTTGTGTAGTGAAAATTTAAAGACAGATTATTATATATACACTTAATTTATTTGCACAAATTGCCAAATTTCACTCCTTTATTTTACTAAATTGTGTGTGTGTTTGCTGGTAATCGTAATCCTGCATGAGTGTAAACTGGCAGGTTTTGTACCTTCTTGTATCAGGGTAAAGTATCCCTCAGGAAAGCCTCTGTTACTGTAGACACGACAGGTGTAGTTGACGTTGAAGTCCTCTTTTCTTAGCTCAGAGAACACCAGCAGACGCTCAAACCACACACCTTTGAGAGGAGCATCCTGCCACACACTGGTGAGAACAGAAAAATGTCAAAAAAAATTGCAAAATTTTGGAGAATAAAAACCTTTATAATTGCTTTAAAAAAATCAAAAGCAGTAGATATCAAAAACAAAGAGAAGGTTGGAAGGCTGACCGTTCTTCTGATATGTAGATGCGATCATCAGGGTTGGAGTCGATGAAATTATGTCCCACCAGCCACATGATATCAACCATGGGTGTCCCAACACAGGGCACAAACACCAGGCACCTCCTGCTGAAACTGGAGCCTTAACACATGAAGAAACAATATCTTGAGTTACACTTGATGATTTTAGCCAACATTAAAGTTATTAAATAGTTTCTTTTAGTGAAGGTATCCCAACTGTGCAGGACTAACAAAGACACTGAAACTGAATGAAGGTTGTGTCTGTTTCATCATTAAAGTTAGAGAGACTTACCTATCTGTGCCTTGACTGTTTCATTGGCCGGTTCATGCACTTGTGGGACCAAAGAGTACTCCTCTGAACGGAAAAGAAACAAAAGTGAGGTTGAGATACTGTATAGTCTTGGCTCTGACTTGTGTGCTTCCCTCTAGTGGATGCTTGTAATCATGACATTTAAAAAAAACAAAGTGTAATGTCTCTCTGTTATCACCTCTGACCCATGCGTCAATTGTCTCCGACATGGATCCTGTGATCCCACCAAGAGTGAAGGTCAAGGTGCAGGTGTAGGAGCCGTTGTTTTGAGAATCCACCCCGTCAATCTTGAGTTTGGTCATATCCCAGTAGGTGTACTTTCCTGTCCCGTCCTCTATGGGTTCACAACCCTAAAAGACAGAGAAAAGACGAACGTGTCATCAGAGCATTGGCATCTTAGGTAGAGTTGGAGTCAAGGCCTCAACAGGTCCCATCCTCTGGATCATAACAACCTTCTTATCTATCTGACATCCCTAGATTTTCAGTGTCTAGACCTGGCTAAGCAGGACTGTTCTAAAAGAAAAGACTGACCAAGTAGTACTCACTCTGTACCACTTAACAGAAGACTCAATATTGTAGCTCTTGAGTTTGTTGATGTGGTCCAACAGAGGGCAGGACAGCATGTCACTGACTCCTTTTGTGAGTGTTTGGTAAACCTTTCGTGGCCTTCCACATTGTTTGGCAACTGGTTCCTCCACTACCAGCTTGGTGGCCTGCATGTAGCATCTAGATGGAGTCCTGAAGTAAATAAAGAAGAATTTTTATTAGTAGTGATTATCAAAGGTTGTCTGATTATTAAAAAGTGAGCTGTTTAATTTAGGAAGGTCACTGTACCTCAGTACGGTCACGTAATCACCATCGTCCTCCAGGGTCACTCTCAGGAACCACAGCGTCTCTCCTTGCACCAGGATTCGACCGGTCTGGTTGTTTATTTCCTGGCCTGTCTTTGAGTTGTACCAGGTGATGTTGTAAGGCACACTTGTGAAGTCGAAGACATCTGGTGACACCAGGGTACTGTTCAGCATCGCTACATCCCCGGGTACAGAGAAAACCCTCTCAAACTGGAGGTTGTAGTTGGTACAGTTCTCTGTAAACAGAGAAAAAAAGAGTTATTCATCTAAATAAAATAAAACCTGTTTTCTGAGGACTGGTGTTTTTTTAATAGCACACTTCTAGCAAGTGAAGGTTAAATAGGCCAGTTTATGGACTAATCATGTTAACCGCCCATGTCTTAGCTGACTGTCCTTTAGTTGGCTATGTTGACACTCAGCAACAGAAAGAGAATCTGCGGCTATCAGACTGTTGTCTAACCACTTTGCTTATCTCACTCTGCTCTCCAACACCAGAGTTAGTTTTGAGGTTTGTGGTCATTTTTAGAGCTGTTTATTTGTAACGATTATGTAGTAAACTCTCTCTGTGTCTCTACCTCTGCATGCAGGTGTCAGAGCTGCTTACTGAGGGCTGGACACAGTGTGATCGAAGTAGAAGGGTAGTTTAATTTCAAAGCAGACAACAGGCTGAAAGATCTAAACTAAAAGTAGTAATCGTACTGCATTTGTCTGGTATAATCATGTATCTTTTTCATATCACAGTAAATATTTCATTATTAGTTTTTTCAATATTGTACAGCCCTGCTCTAAACAGTCGCTTATCAGTCAAGAGTTTGATGCCCTACTCATTCACAACTGGGTATAAACACAAAGACAAGATGATAGTTTTTAATCAGGATAACGTATCCAAATACAGATCACATTTTATAATGATTAATTTAACTGTTGTAGTCACATTAAAACGTTAGTCAAGATAAAACAGAGCAGTGTGAGAATTTGATAGTCTCTTACTATCAGAAACAAATTTCTGTAGTTACATCAGAGGCCACAAGATGGCGACAGATGGATTTCATAGAGATTAGAAACACGTGTTATTCCAAGATCTGTTTAACCTGTAATACTTAGCTGTAAATTAACATTTTACAAAGAGCTCACCTTGTAGAAATCCTGAACAAATCCCATGTGTCCCGATGAATAGCAGAAGACTTCTCAGTGTCGAGCTCATGCCCATGGCTGAAACACACACATGTAAATAACACTTAAAGTTAGACCAATGTCACACACTGAGGTTACAAAACTGCTGGAGAGAGAAACTGCAGCAGCAGCCCAAAGTCAGAGCAGCTGACCACTTACTGGAACACTTCTGCTCAATGTCACTCACAGGTCAGCGGAGGCAGCTATCAGCAAAATACAGTTGTGTTTCCCCTTTCAAACCAAGCTCAAAACTGCCTAATGTCTCTTAAAATAAGCTTTTCTCTCCGTGCCTGGTCCTCTACCTTTCTCCCTCCCACATACATGACAAATGCTCTGGCATTCCAGGAGCCATTTGTGGTGCAGCCTTTGATAAAACACTACACTACAACGTGGATCTGGAGGGAGGCCATGCATTCCTTAATACCACTTGACGTCAGTGAACATTCACACTCAGGCACACTGCTTTATGAATGAATCCTCAGGGAGTGTGCTGTTCTCTTTGTGTAATGCTTATACAACCACAGTTATATTGTTTGAGTCAGACAAGATTTTAGCACAACTGTCATTCTAGGCTTTTATATTAAATTAAATTTGTTGTCGCTCTCTGTCGTTATTGTAATTTTGTGTTTGGAAGTTGGAAAACTTTTTTTTTCATCAAGTTGCGTCATATGACAAACGCGTTCAGTCTCTATCTAAATACATTAAAGGCTCAAAGGGTTAGATACAAGGAAAGTAAAGCAGTGAGCCAAGGACGAGCCTTGAAAGTGACTTAATTTATGTGATGTTTGGCCAAGATACACATTCAGAATAAAAACATTGCGGGAAAACGAGGACAGTCACTAAACAGAAATAAACAGAGTGGGCTTTTACTTGGAAAAGCATCCAGGCAGTTTGATAACATCTTCTATTTTATGGCTGGGAAATGCATGATTCTCTGTGATTCTTGGTTTTAACTTTCGCACATAAACCACGACTTTTTCTCTTGTAAAACTCTGGATTTGGAACTAGGTTGGGAATCAGAAGTCTTGCATAGAGGCAGCATCGTCTTTCCCTGGAACAAGTCTGGGCAGAGAGGAGCGTGGGAAGAGCTTGGCCTGTTTAGCCCACTGAAGTACATAAGAGAGACGTGGGAGTCATAATGGCTGAGATGAAGATATTTAACAGTCAGACTGAAGAGTGACTTTCCTGTTGAGGGTTTGACTTTAGGGACTGGAGACCCAGGAGTGTCAGTGCTTAAATGTGTAAAAGACCGAGCAGTGATTCACACAGTAATTAGTTTTTTATTCCCCTCTCTATTTGTCTACCAAATTAAGATGACATATTACACATGTTTGATTTTGATATGCTTTGATTACACAAGACCAATCTTCATATAATGACTGTACACCACTCATAACTGCAATCAGCTTGTCATCTAAATATATCCCTTTACAGCAGCTTATCTCCACCATTCTTTCTGATATTACTGGAAACTTTCTGTGAAGTTGACTTCTGACAGCAGCTTCTGGAAATTTTGCTTCCTGGCAGGAAACAGTTAAAAGACATGAGGAAAAGAGTTTATCCTGCCAGACCCGAATCTTTTTATAACCGCTGCTGCTTTCTTAACCTTGTGGCTGTAGTACAAACAAGGCTGGAAAATGATCCCAAGATCCAAGTAACATTTCTGTCCATCAAGTAAAATTCTTTCAAGAGTTTATTTCTATTATTTTGAGAATAAAAGACCATGTTGTCGAGAGTTGGTGTCTTTGTCAGTCATTAATATGTGCTGGAAAGGACTTGACTCACGAAGGAGTGTCCCTGAGAAGAACTGATGGCCAGGCTGAACCTGTTGTGTCCAGTTGGCACAGTTTATCTCCTTTTTACTGACACTGTAATAAGAGCATGAACATCAAACAAATCAGTTTGTTTTAATAAAGGCGAATGTGGGACAAACAGATTTATGATGCCTCTAGGAATTTTTAGATCATGCATCCGATCCAATTTTCATGACGTCATACTCGTTTTTCTTCGTTTGTAACCATGCACTCCAAAGAATCGTACAGAGGTTGACGGTAGAAAGCACACGTGTGTCTCACTGACTAAACAAACTTCTGCAGTGTTTGACTTCACGTCACCAAATTCACAAAAAGGAAAGACTGTCCTTTCTGCATGTTTATGTTTGTTGAAGGGGGAAACTGGTGCGCTGCCCTACAAATGTGCTCACTGACGCGAACTTTGTCCATCTGTTTGTGAGAAAGCTGTTACAACACAGAGGGATGAATGAGCTCAGATCAAGGTCTTGCCAACAGCAGTCTGAAGAACCACTCTGCCCTTTGTGATGTTGTTAAGAGCACATGGTCCATAAAAAAGTGCTAATTTGAGTAGAATAATGCTTTTAATCTTACTAGTTATCACTGGATATAAGAAAAACTGGATGTGAGGCAATTCTAGCAGTGGTTTAGCTTGAACTGAGGTTGACTGTGGACTTGGTATGACTCAACATTCTTGTGCAGATTCCAGTTATGATTTATGGGTGACAGAAACATGACACAGCAGTAATAAATGCACTTTCACCTGCTGTTTGCTATTATGTGTCATCAATCATGCTAGGAATCTTTGCAAAATGCGCAGAATGAAAACATGGAAATTCACTCAGTTGTGGTCAAGCAATCATCCCAGCTCACAATAATGTAGGTCGTGGAATAACAGCACATCGTTCTCTCTCCGTTTGGAAATAAATAAAGTGTATAAACTCAGATGAGCTTGGTGTTGGGAGGTGAGACTTTTTTGCTTTTGAGGAGATAAAATCCAGTGCTCGGATCCCAGAGTGCCAAGCTAAGCAAAAAGCTTATGGTTTTTGAAGGGAAGAGGATATGAATCCAACCCGCGATAGAGAATTGAAACCTAGATCCTCAATGCATGTCCTCAAAAGACATGTAGCGACTAATTCAGATGACTAACACGTGCCTGATGGTGAAAGAGTCTCAGACAGATGTCACATCAAAATGATCACTGCACCCAAGTTATTTAATTTAAAATTTATCATTTAGGATTCTTCTCTTTGCTGGAGTAAATATGTTGACTGTTTGAGAAAACCTTTTCTACTGATTCCTTTGTTTTACATCTAAACCAGTTAATTTTTTTTCACCATGCCTGAGAAAATACTGAAAATAAAGAAGGTGCCAGAAATGTTAGATGACAGCCATTAATACAAAGTTACTGAGAAAAAACAGGCAAAACAAAAACAAAGAAAAATGCATCATCTCTATATAAATGTTGCACTAGTATGTCGCATATATGACACACTTTTTTTCCTGGCATCTTGAAGTGTCATCTTTTAGGTTCAGCACTTTTACCGTACTCTGCATATCTACATGAACACCTTGTTTCTGTATCAACTGTGAAGCAAAAAGATTTAAAGCTCCCCCTACTGACCGGCTGCTGTAAAGGTCATAAGCCCCACTTCACTTCTGTCAACAAATAGAACTTGGGTCAAAGTAGAAAGCTGAAATTAAGGTTTATTAAATTTATTATGCTTATTAAACAGCTGCTAGGAATGAAAGCATGATGTATATTCAATTTATAGACAAGAACTCATGCAATACAACATCTCTCCCTTCATTTCATACTGGTTTATTGGTTCAGAGGTGTGACAGCTCAGTTTTTAGTGACTAAAAAGTATTTAAAGTACATCTTGTATGCTGTGTGCGTGGATAGGATTATTGAGTGGATTAAATTCTTTGATCATGTGGGAGGTTTTTTAACTTTCTGACTCATTTAAAGCCGAAAAGGGAAAACAATGGGAGTTACCCTTCTCAGGAAAACACACGCGATGATGACTTCCCACACTGTATGTGATGTTTCACACTGCTGTTAAATAAGTCATCTCCCAGAAACGTCACTGTTCATCGTTTTACAGATTTTGTGGTGATTACTTGCAGGTTTAATCATCCCTGCCTTAACCAGTGCAGGTAATTTACATTTGCAGACAGTGAGAGCAGCAGCACAGAACTAGAACATACCATACAGTGTTGGATACGGTGCAACTGCATTTGCAACTGCAGACTGAAAATACACCAGTCATAATACTTATTTGAATTTAGTGAATGTTTTTTTGTGTTTATGCTCTAAGAGTCATTTTGCTTATTGAATTTTGTGACATTATGGAGCATAAGCTGATGTAAAATAACTCTTTGTTTCATCTGTCATTCACCGCATGTTTGAAATCCCACACTTTTACTCAAATTGATCCATTTAGCTGAGGCTGTATAGATCCTAGGGTTCAGTAACATTTGAAATTCCCTGAGAAGCGACACCACAAATAAGCAAATAAACCCATGTACGCACTGGTGGACATTTCTATTACAAAGTTTGAAAGTTTAACCCTATGATAGACGTTAGTCCACCAAACACTATAGAGCAAAACAGGAGATGAGAAGTTACAAATACGTGATAAACTACTGTTGGTTTAAAGCTTTGTGGTTGTCATAGAGACAATGTCTGCAGGGCTGTCATAGTCTTAACACAATCATAAATAAACACTGTGTAATTTCTTTGAGTGGTTTGAAATAACCAGCTGACCAGTGATGCAACTGTCCAAAAAAACATTCAAGCAGATTTTGCCTTTAACTCTTTTCATCGTTTTCATTAATGCATAATAACTTCTACCTCTAAACAAGCATGAATGGAAGAGTTCTCTGTGCCCCCACAAGCTAAAGCAGGATTAATTTTTCTCACAGGAATGAAAGGGAGACGGTCTGCCACAAAAGTTCAAATCCAAAACTGAAAAACAATAAATCTCACGTCTTTAAATGACTAAAACTGAGCTTAATGCTGTGACTCACCTTGGGGAAAGTGACATACAGGCACCGAACAGACAGAGGAAGGATGGGAGAAGTTTACCCGACGCAGCAGAGCTAGCAGAGGAAACCTCACCTCTGACCCTCGCATGCGAAGTGAAGTATTGACCGTGCAGCTCAGTCAATGACTCAACAGCTCTGTCCCACCTCCATGAGACAAATGCACAAACAAGAAGAGGAAAGAGGAGGAAGAGCGTGTTTGGATTGCACCTCGCAGCTCTCTGTGTTCATCTTCCTCTCATTTCAACACCCAGTTATACAACCAGCAAAAACTCACTCTGAACAAAACAACAAAGTTACCTCTACAGGAGACACTTTCCTTCTCCTAAACAACAATCTGAAAAAGTCATGTAAGTGTTTAGTCCAGACAAGTAGATTCACTTACATGTAGTGAACTTTGAGGTCAGTAGACACTGAGTTTCATGCGATTTTTCTGAATTCACTCTTTTTTTATCCTACATCAGCCTCTGCAAAAGAACACTGAGATTTTGACTGAGCGCCAGCGTCTACAGAGCAAACATCGGCCCATACCAATATTTAACTGAAACATTGATGCACCCATCAGAAATACTGCACACATCATTTTATTGTTAATAGATTATTGCCGCTGTACTAATTTTAGTGTCATTTTTAAACGAGCCATGAGTCGGATGTATTTAAGTCATTGCTTGTCTTCTTGTTAAGATGCTTTAAATATTATTGGTAGATATTTCTTGGAGACAGTGTAATATTTTGCATGCATTTTCGTTCTTCCCTGAATTGGCAGTGAGGTGTAACAGCTTTGTGTAGGTGTAATCGTAATAGCTTTCTAAATATACTTGATTTTTGATGAGGTTTAAGATAAGATGCAACAGGATACAGATAAACATCGGCCGCTGCAATCAATGCATGACACAATGTTTGCCAATGAACTGATGGCTATTTACTGAACCTTAGCCTTCTTAATAAACTGATTCCCGTAAAAAAAATCCCTATCTTAGTTTTTCTTAATATTCCCTGTACAGATCTATATTGACTAGCACTAATTATCTTTTCTCTTTAATAGTTAAGATTTGGCCATTACAGTCTCTCATAAGTTTATCAGGATGAAGATAAAAACAATTTACCCTACACTGAGTAAATTCATAATTAAGCTTTTTATCATTTGTTTGATCTGAGGGTTAGATTTTTTTGTGTTTCATTATAAATGAAGGTAAATAGGCATAGGGGAGAGTGGGGTAAGTTGAGCCAAAGAGTAAGTTGAGCCACCCCCTGTTGCTCGGCAATGGTGGGAGAAATTGATCATGTGACCAAATATATAGGAGATGGGCATCGATTCATGGAGTCTGTGAAGGTTAGAAGAACGTGGGTGAAGGTGTTAAATTTGTTCATCAGTTGTGGTATCTATGAGCTACAACATGAGATCAAAAACCTAACATAAAAGTCCACCATTTTAGCTTAAAGGACTAATAAAGTCATCATAGTAGTTCTGGGGTAAATTGAGACAGTGACTCAACTGAGAAAGTAAAGGAGTCTGATGAGAGGATCAGAGTTTCAGTTCAGATTGTTGAAATGTTTCACTTTTTCTTTTTTAAAAATACAGCTGTGAATGTTCTGACATTCTCATGTCAAAATGGCTTTTTTACAAAACAGCTTTTTAGTAGTTATATGCAGTAATAATAAAAATAATTATTGTGCCAGTTCAAAAGCGTATAATAGATAAAAATACACATGAATATGAAGAAGTGCCTGTTATTGAGGGAGAGAGAAGGTGAGGGAAGGTTCAACTTATCCCATACATGGGGTAAGTTGAACATAGGAGACCACTTTTTTGGCATGCTATATTATCAAGACAGTTATGTTTACACTCATTGTGTTGGTTTGCAGGGATGCACAACATTTTGAAATATATGCAGATACACTAGTTAGAGACAAAACTATGATCGCCTTAATGTAGTGATCCGAAATATGAAAAATGGCTCATCTTACCCCACTCTTCCCTATGTGGCTATACAGAGATATGCCCGATAGTTGTCATCTATGGCTCAAATTCTGGGATATTTTTGGCTGGACTCACCAGCAGAAAAAGAGTCTGGCATTAGCTCTGTGTTGGATAAACTTTTATGTGTGGAAACAATGTAGTTTGGAAACTGTGTGAATATGTATTTAAAGGTCTGTTGTTTCAGCTTCCTGTCAAATCTCAGACAAACCTGTTTGAATCCTGACAAACTGAGTTCAGGGAGAGAAAAACAGCATATTCAGTCCAGTTTAAACAAAACTGACTGCCGTCAACTAGTAGACTTGAACTGGTCAGAGAGCAGGTGCTTCTGTAGCCACATCACAGACAGTTACAGAGGAGACAGAGATGTGATCCTAGAGTAGACGGAGTGATGTTATTCCAGCTATTAGGTTATACTTGTCAAGACAGAACTCACCAGGCTGGAGTTACACTTGTTCACCTCAGGTCACGTGAAAATCCTGTAAAAACATCTTCTGCTTTTATTAAAAAAACCAACAACAAAATAACCTCAAGTCAAGCCGAACCGCTCCAGTTTTGACTTCCTCTTTTGTGAAGACTTCGGGACATGTTGCAATTTCCTTCTCAGGGATCTTTTGAAAGCCAGTGTGTGTCCTAATCTGTTGAGCAATAACTGGGAGGAGGGCAGCCTGGATTCTTCTGCTCATATGATTCACACCGTACATTGCACTCTTGCACAGCTCTTACACTACTTGTTTTTTAAAGGCACAGGCAGATTGACGTGAGGATACTTTCATTTGTAGTCTGCAGCGTTTTCTCTTTTAATCATAACCAGAAACAATAAATCCATGTCTGCTAACGTCAGCTTTCTCCAGGACTACACTTCTGTGTTACATAACGGTGTTGCTGTAGAAGTTTTGTTTTACATGTTGTCATGGAGAGCCCTCTTGTGGCTTTACTGTGGAGCAACCTGAGATGAAGCATTTAGGCTGTTGCTATGGTGAAAATGTTCATGAGTTAGAATTGTTCATGAGTTAGAAGTGCTGTTTTGCTTTAACCAGTCCTTAATGTATCCACACCTAGTTAAAAGTTAAAGTAACCATACCCTGATGGTCTGCACATCAACCCTCTTTAGCTGAGTCTCAAAGCAAATATGTACATGGTGTAAAAAGTAGCTATCAGAAAGTACCCCTCTGCCCAGAACAGACTAAAGACTCAGGTCTGTTTTACTTATTTAATGATATTATCAACGATGATATTAATGAGAGTTTAACCAGGTAGTGCAGTTTATCATTGAACAAGGTGTTGACTGCTGAAGGACTATGTTGCATACAGAATATAAAATCCAAGCTCTTACAAGTGTTTTCAGATGAATGTTTTATTTATCCAGTCGACAAAAACATATAAATATTGACATTACAAACGAGATAAATAACAGTAGTTGTAAATTTTTGTCTTCATTTGCCCATAGCACAGAGTCATGATGAATATTTCATTTGCACAAAAAGTAACAAAAAAATAACTTATGATAAAAAAAGCACTTGACCTATAAAACTAAAGTAACAGATAATTTATTTTTGTATATTTGTGTTAGTTTTATGCACCTTATCCTGTGTCCGATATGCCATGAAATTTTGCTAATTTTTAAAAAAGAAATATGCATTTCCTACATGTCCAATATTTCCTGTGTGTATGGCAAATTTCATGTCTTTGAGGATTTAAAACAGGTTTACACATAAAAGAGAGATCCACTTTACAGATGGAAACATTTCTGATTTGCTTATGCACCATAGATGTGTGGTTTTTAATGTAAAAGTCAGAGGTGTCTGTCTAGCATCAGAAAACGCAGCCAGTAAACAGAGCAGACTTCCACGTACATTTTGCATACTTATAGTGAACATAATGCTCCTGCAGAGCTATGAAAAGGTCTGAAATACAAGTCAATACAATACAAGTCAAGCTGTTCACATGACGTCTTGCCAGTCATTATTGCACATAGTGTATTACATTTTGTGCCAGAGAAAGAGACAAAGAGAGACAGACCCCTGGAACTGAACATGACAGCATCTCTCTATCTCTCATCACACCGGTGTGGTGATAAAACTGTATATAGAGCAGGCAGCTTGTGACATTCGTCATACTGCACAGCTTTGCATCTATACAGGAAAACAGCTATTTTCAGGGCTCAGATTACACATGTCAGACCTCATCGTGTGGTTAGCGGGGTAGTTTTCTTGGTGTACACTTCTTCTTTCCTTTTACCGGCATATGATATCTCATATCCTTCCAAAACCTGGAGGTGGGTGATAAGGATGGAGACAGCTTTGTCTCCTGTCCACCTTTCTCTTCATCCTCTCTCCTTGTACATGTCCCAGACCTCTGCCTCTTCTTTAGGTTCTTCCACCAACACACAGCGCCCTGCTTCTTTCTTAGTTGACGCACTGACTCGGGGAAGAGAGCGAGCTGAGCAGGGCTGATCTCCTCCAACTCCACCAGAACTACCTATAAAGCAGAACTCAAATTAGAACAAGAATTAGGCTGACACACATCTAGCTATAATATAGAATAGTAGACTGTTGACTGATGCTGTTGGCTAATCCCATTGCACATAATTTAAAAATGACATTCAGCTGCGCCTGCCTCTGCAAGTACAATTGGTAGCATTATCTCGTAATGATATCAATCTACTCCTGAAGCTGAGAATTAAAAAGTTTGTCCTCATACCTTCAGTGATCCCTCTAGTAGAGCTCTGTGCATTACTGCTACACACTCCAATTGTTGCCTTGTGTCTGAATAGACATTCTTATTATCATCATAGTTCATCTTGCTGTTGTCATCTGTGGTTTTCCTCTCACTGTTAGAGTTGCAGTCAGTGCCTGTTGGGGTTATTTTGTCACTTTTGCTCGTGTGTTCCTCGCTGACAAAGGTTGAGGCAGTGTAGAGCAGAAGGACTTGGCGACTTGCATGTAAGTTCTCCTCCACTGAGTCCACTATTGCTGCAGGAGGACAGAGTAGATGAAGGGCGACTGGAGTTAATGTTTTAAAGTTACATTTGTGGATATTTTTGCTTTGATCAGATGGACAGAAACTGTGGGAAGTAAAGCAATCACAGTGATGAGCACTATAGGCTCTATATATTGAGTGCGTAGACCACTAGGCCATTGGCGCCCCTTTAGTCAGTCTTTTGTCTTAAAAATGTCAGTACCTTTTGACTCCACAAGTAGCAGTATAAGCAAGGAGGGCATGTCAGAGACTGTCAGTGCTTCAGGAGGCATGTTGATGTCAGTAATTTATACAAAATGAGCCTTTATCAAGTGGGAAAAGCAATGCCTCTGCCTCAACATGTCCACTACGAATGACAACAGTGAGTCATCCTGCAAACAAGAGATCAGAACCAGCTGCTAGAGTCTCTTGTGGGACTACCTTGCCTACAGAGCGGACACTGATGGCAAACCATATGACTCATTACAACCTTTGTATAAAAGATACTTCAAAATCGCAGTATGCAAACTTTCAAACCCTCAGTAACACAGACATACAAACTCCTTCAAGGAGAGCAAATACAGATTGGCATATAAGCCAGCAGGCTAGCTCATTAGTGAGATCTCAATGAGCCGTTTGATTGTATCAAGGGATCTGTAACATCAGTGCATCAGTAGTATGTCAATATCAGACCTTCTCTGCATCTTAAATACCACAACAAGCTTATTTAAACATGCAGTTATTAACAAAAATATCACACTGCAGTTATTTGAGGATCTCATACATGTGCCTGTCACAATGGTTAAACTCTAAATAGTGTCAAGCTGTTGGCTAATGTTAAAATTAGCACGTAATGGTGCCCATAGTGAACATAAAGCTCCTGCAGGAATACCAGAGAATGAGATTGGGATTATTAAAAATGGTTTAAAAGGACTTGGTCGGTTGGTAGAATCATGGTTTGTTGAGAATTCTGAAATCCAAACATGACGTGCGGTTCATGTAGAGATCGTTCAGCTTTGAGTAACATTTCTGTATCAAGTATAGTGATGCTCAAGAAGAAAAGTCCAAATTTGGTATTATGACAACACATGTATGTGGCAGCCTTGTCGGTGACTTACCTTGTCCGGCCAGACAGTCCCGGCCTGCTATGAAGAGCTGATATCCACAAGTCTCTTCCAATATTTGAGGGAGTGTGTGTAAAGCAAACTTTTCAACCTCCTCACTGAATCCGGGGTCACAGGGCTGTGGGTATGCCACATAGGCATCATACAGCTTACCATCCAAATCTGAAATCAAAAAAGGATAATTGAAAGCATAGAAACAGTAGCGGAATGATAATCAGTCATTCACCTGCAGTGAAATGTTACCTGTATTTGGATAGAGGACTGGAAATGCTTTCCTGAACCACAGTACAATGTCAACCTTAAGAAGATGGTAGACAATGACACTGATGATAAAGAGAACTGTCCCACCACCAAACACCAATCCTATTGGCAGTATAATGTCAGGATCTGTAAAGATGGATGTCACATAAGCACAACATAAGTACTGTAAGGATTAAAAATAACAGACTGAAATTGGTACTGGTGCCACTTAATGACACACAAAAGCAAACTAGACCATCAATGAGAAGACTGATCATCCCATTTTAAACCGAACCGGTGCTCCACCTAATGCACAGGCTCAGTTAGGGTTCATCTCTGTGTTTTTTTTACCAGCTCGTTCCAGAGTGAAATATCCTTGAGTAGTGGCTTTGCCAGTGTCAACTTTGCACGTGTAGTTGAGGTTGAAATCCTCCTTTCTCAGTTTAGGGATGATCAGCTCTACCTGGAAGAGAAATCCTCCCTGGTGGGGCCGGTGACTGGTTAGAACAAATAGACAAGAGAACAGAAAGGTAATGCAATGAAAATGTATGATTTATAACTTATATTGTACATATGAGTTACATCTGTGTGGACTGGGCCTCAGATATATAAGATTAAAGCTTTCAGTGTTCCTTCTTAATGTTATTTTGGGGGTTTCATGCTTTTGTTTGATAGAATTGGACTTTGGAAAGAGCAAGAAATGAGGCAAAAATACAGGAAGTGACGTAGGAAAGGAGCGACCTGTTGGAATTGAACCCAGGCTATCTGTAAACTGGATGCATGCTTAGACCACTGGGCCAGTGGCGCCCCCATGAGCTTATGATGTTTCTAAGATCATTTTAAGAACATCATTTGCACACTTATTGGGAAAATCTCCATTGTAAAAATAGATGTATATTTTTTATCATTTTGGCAGATGTTGACTCCTAGGTGATGATCGTCTGCAGACTACCAATTATTGTGTGAGAAATTGTGAGACAAGCTTAATATGTTGGTGCCTACATTTCTTTCTGTGCTTTACCAGTTACACTGTATGTCTTAAATTATTCTTAAGCTAAAGCTCTTGACTGAAACTTGAGTGTTTGTCATGTAATCACAGTTTTAGTGGAGGACGATGGCCAAAAAAATAACGATGTGATTTTTCTTTTTTAAAGGACAGAAAAAGACCTCTCTCTTAACTGTCTTTTACACTGTCTTTTATTCCTTTCTTTATTCACTGGAACTGTGCAATAGGGTCGCTTGTATGTGATGGCGACAGGTTGTGACTGTGGTGTGTTTGTAAATGTTACTGTTCTGACTGCAGAACCATCAGAGAGTCAGATTTCCCCACGGGGACAATAAAGTATATATAAAAAAAAAAAAGGGTGCAAACCTTTTTTTTGATGTGTATACATGGTTTTCGTTGTTCTTGTAAATGAGATCTCCTCTCACCAGCCAGACAACACCAACTGAGGGCTTTTTTTTCACATTTGGCACAAAAACCTCACACTGTTTACTTAAATTGGAGCCTTGAGACAAAAAACAAAAACAAAAAAAATCAATTTTACTGTACTGAATAATCACCAGTAATAACATGATTTCTATTGTACTTTTTCATATTTAAAAAAAAAAACATTGCAGACAGGGACTCACCTATATGTGCCTTAACTTTTTCACTAATTGGCTGAAGCATTTGTGCAGATAAAAAGGACTTCTCTGAAAGGACAGACAACATAAGATAATCAATCAACATATCAATCTTTTTTTGTATAACACTTTTCATACAGAACAATGTAGCACAAAGAGCTTCACACAGAAGAAGAATAAAAGAAACAAAAATACCACCAACCCATCCCCTCATCCCCAAGCACAACAGAAACGAGTATTAAAATGCATTAACTTGAAAAGAGCTCGATTTGGTAAAAACAGGAATATGCGCACTGAGGAAACACCATCTTAAAACCCAAGATGAAGAAACATAAAATGAAATTTAAGAAATAATAAATAAAATGAAATAAAAGATACTAAAATAAAAGCACCAAAATAACTTAAAAAAGATGAGCCTGACAGTAAAACCAGACAGAGATAAATGCCAAAACACTAAAAAGACACGTCTTGAGTTCACTTTTAAAATCATTGCTTTATCATGACATAAAGTAACAGATTCATTTTAAAAAGGTTGTAAAGAAAGTGAAATCTAACTCACTCCTTATTGGTGGTTAGAATGATTAAGTTAATTTTAATGTCAGGGTCACAGTACAGAGTCAAGGATTGACAGAATTCAGTCGTATTAGTTTAACAAATTTCTTATCTTTGTCCCCACCTTTAACCTGTACGTCAATTGTCTCAGACACAGATCCTGTAACTCCATCCAGGGTGAAGGTCAATGTGCAGGTAAAAGAGCCTTTGTCTTCAGGACCTACTTTTGTTATCCCAAGAGTGGTCGCGTCAATGAAGGAGTACTTTTCCGTCTCAGACTCTAACAGGTCACAACCCTAGATGAGAGGGCACACAAAAGCAGGCTTTTCCAATGACATAACACAGGGAAATCCTCCTTCGATCAAATATTTAATTTGTATATATATTGTAAATTGTAGAAAACACAGTTAGTAGGTAACACAACAGGATTGATGACAGAAATGTGTAAAATCAAAGAAATAAGAGTGGAAATAGAAAAACTGTTTAAACAGAAGTGTTTAAAGGTCAGGTAATCTAAAACAGCAATACACCTTGGTTGTATAGTTCACCTTGAATCACTAAAACACCAAAGAAATGTGAATAATATCGGCTAAGTTGTCACATTTTTTCTTTAACAGTTGATGTGGACATACTTCCTGGATATGTAGAATCTAATGGGCCTTTTTTCAGAAAGAATTTTAAAGAAAATATTTAAACAAATAAATAAAGCAGCTTCCAGTTTACTGTTTTGTGTCAGTGCTGATTTCGCTCATGAAGAGTTTCGAGTCATTTTAGGATAATGAACCTTGAAAGTGAAAGTGTTTCCCCGGCTCATGAAGGTGCATAACATTTACATACTCATTAATCAGACTTTCCCAGAGCTTACTTTGTACCACTTGCTGGTAAGGGCTATGTTGTAGCTCCTCAGTTTTTCAATGTAGTCCTTCAGAGGGCAAGAAAGCTGGCCATTATCCCCATTCGTGAGATTCTGAAAACTTTTTTTTAGCCTCCCGCATCCTTCGGCACCTGGTTGATTCATGACCAGCTTGATGTCCTGCCTGAAGCACTGAAAAGGTGTCCTGTTGGAAATGAAGAAGAACTGTATTTAGACAATCATTCAGTCTTAAATATCATACTTTTATGATGGAGATCCATGAGAAATTAAGCCCAGGTGTATCATTTATTGCGTCCAATTTGTAGTGAGGGCATCTTCCAGTGGCTGGGGCTTTTGCTCATGTCAGTGTCATAATGTTATAGTATTTTATAGCGCAGTGCAGTTTGTTTCAGTATCTAGATCTAGAAAGCAGTCATCAAGTTGTATATGGGCTGTCTAGTCAAGCAGTAATAACCACCCATACAGACCAATAGAGCAGTTCAGGCGTAAAGATGTCATGTGTCATGATGTGTTCTGTTTATTGAGTTTTTCTCTATGATTTGAGTGTATTTTCCCTGGTGTTTCTGTGCCTTATTGTCCCTGTTTCCCAGTAGTTCTGTCTTGTGAATTTCCAGTTTGTGTCTGACCCCGTTTCCTTCATGTTTGCAGTGTTTTATTCCTTATATCAGTGTTTCCTGTTTTATTCTGTGGTAGTTTATTCCCTGTGTTTCTAGTCTTGTTTTGCTTCCTCAGTTTTCCCTCTTTAGTAATTGTCTGCGCCTGTGTCTCACGTGCCTTTCCTGTCTCTCCTTAATCGTTTCCCTGTGTGTGTATATTACAGTCCTTGTCTTCCCCTGTTTCTTTGTAGGTTCATTGTGAATTTGTGAATGTATGTCGTGTGTCAATGCCTCTGTGTTACTTCTTCCGGTTAGTTTTTGCCCTTTTGGATTTTCCCTTTTGGGTTTTTTGCCTTTGGGAATATTTCTGTTGGACATTCAAAGTAAGTTTTTGTTGCTTTTTAGTTCCTTTTGAATAAATCCTTTTTGATCTACATGTTGGGCCCTTCCCTTTTTGTTTGACTCCAAACCCTGACACTATGACATTTATCAATCAGTGCTTTCCCACTTGGGTTAATACTTCTGTTTTTTACCGTACCTCAGTATGGCCACATATTCTCCGTTATCCTCCAGTGTTACATTGAGAAACCATAGAGTCTCTCCTCGCACCAGGATGCGACCAGTCTGGTTCTTTACTTCTTGACGTGTCTTTGAGTTGTACCAGGTGATGTTGAAAGGCCCACTTGTGAAGTTGAAGACATCTGATGACACCAGAGTACTATTCAGCATGGCTACATCCCCGGGTGCAAAGTAAAAAAACCCAAACTGGTGCGTGGAGTAGGTACAGTTTTCTGAAACAGTCAACAAAGAAAGGGATCTAGTTAACTTGTTAATGTCAAGTTTGAAGTTCTCCATTTAAAACAGAACAAAAAACGTTGTTTGACAGGTAATTCATGGTAGAAAATTTTATCACATATAAACTCAATTGGACCCCTGTTAGAGCATCAGTGAGGGACTGTTAGAAATTGAAAGAAATGTAGAACCTAGGTGGGACCCTGTGGACCAGCGGAAGAACTTATGATACACAGTACTTTCAAGAAATTAAAAAAAACATAAACCCATAATAGATGTACAGATATACAATGAAACACTCTTTCTTTCTCATTTGCTTACCTTTCACAAATCCAGCACAGATTCCAAATGATCCAAGAAAAAATAGAAAGTATCTCAGGATCCGAGGATGAACCATGGCTGAAACATACAGATAGAAATTAAAACGATTTTACTGGAAGAAAAAGCCACAGCAACAGCCAACTCGGTGAAACCTTTCATTGCTTGTCTCTCTTCTCCTCTGGTTCTCCCGCTCCGTTTCTCCTTCCATATGAAGGATATGACAAACCTTCTGCTAATTTCTGGAGAAATTTGACAGCTATGGTTGACAGTGGTTAACACTTCCTCTGAGCCCCGCCTGAATATTTCTGTGAACATTAGACAGCATATTTTGACAGTATTGATGTCGTCACTGATGTATGGAGCAGTTGAAGTGTAGTAGTTAGTATTCAGGTAACTTTGACTGTGGCTGTAATCAGTGGCTCCAAAGTGATAAGAGGCGTGCTGTTTTACTAATGTCTGACATGATGATTTCTACTTATACATCTAGATGGAAGTGTTTTTTTTCTCAATAATAACATGTAGGTCAGTGTGTTTGTTGTTGCAGAAGTTCTGGAAACTTGAAACCACAATGTGAAAACGGTTGCAGGCAGCCGAGTGGTTAGGCCACCAACTTTTTTAACCGTACGACATTTCTTGAAAGTTTTGCACAGGTGAAAGTGTTGGCCTAAATCAGCCAACTCTTGCTGCTTTATAGTTTGTGAAAAAAGGAGGCTTAAGACATACCGCCAAGAAAACAGTGGCAACAAAATAAATGAAACTAAAAACAAACCAACAAACAAAAATAAAACAATCTTAGCCACAATATCTTCACCTTACTGTCACAACACAGGAAGCCCAACTGCTGAAATGACCCTCTGATGGAAAAAGATAGTGCTGTGGTTGTGGCTAACTTCACGCTAAGCTGCTGCAGTGTACAACTTTCAGATCGTTGTTACTTTCAGTTTTTGAAAGCACTTTATAAGCTGTTATATAAGTTCTTCAACACTCAAAGGTCAGCTCACTGTTTCTTTGCCACTTCAATTTGGTTAATGTTTACACTGACGCTTTACAAGCCAACCAAGAGAGGTTGATTAAATATCAACCTTTATTATCAGTACATATATTAAGATGGTAAGACTGCAAATCCACTGCATTTGAATAGATGTGAAAGTATTTCTAATTGTTTTTTTTATTTTATTTTTTTATTGTTTTAAAGCACTCATTATAAAATAGATTCATCTGGTAAATATGAATTTTATTTTTATATTTTCATTTTGAATATGAATAATAAAGTTAAATTGAGCTGATGAGCTTTGAGAGTTGTCACCTTTGATGACCTGTCTAACACCCAAAGGGAAAAAAAAGTTTTTCTCACCGATTGCTGAGATTTCATATAAAGAAGAAAAAATTCTGAGAAGAAAAATGTTTTCTTGTGTGGTTTGTGGTCTGATTTTCAAGATATTGCTGACAAGTGGTAGGTTGATTCAACGTTGGATTTTCCACTGAAGGTGTTTTTTTTTTTTCAACCTAAGAACACACCACACTTGGATTTTTTAGATGTGGGCGCAGCAAAGATTTTACACAAACTGTGAGGTGTGGCTTTTAAAAGCTAAAACATCAAAGTATGGAACCTGTATGGAGATGAAAATTTTAATTAAAACTAAAACAAGTAGCACACTAAAGATACAGTGTAGCTACTTGGTCTCCTACGAGTGCAATACTGAAGCTTTGTAACCACCATTTCTCATTTTCAGTGCTGAGCTCACAGAAGCATAATGTGGGAAAAAAAGGTGTTAACTTCTGAAGATAGCACATGTAGACAGAAGAATTAACACTTTGAGGGTTGCAGTCGTGCATCTCAGCAAGACATTTGAGTTGCATTCGTCAGCGGCTAAATATCACTTTAATCTTAAAGATGGTGTAGGGGGAACCTTACTCTAAAAAATAATTTTAGAAAGCTGGAAACAGGAGAAGTTGTACACTACAGGCCAAAAGTTTGGAAGCAAGATCAGATTTGTACAAAAAAGATAATAGTTTTATATATATAATTTGCAAGACAATAAACATGACTATTGTGTAAAGAGTAACCTATCAGAAGACATTTTGACTATAATTATTAGGTATTTGAGTTATTGTTGCTTAGACTTTGCTTTTTTAAGGTATGTTCCAGTGATTTCATTCCAAACTTTCTTAAGTTCATGAACAAGAGACTGCTGATTCGTGGGACACGTTTCTCTGACCGGTCGATCCAATTCATCCCGCACAAGTTCAATTGGAGAAAGGTCTGGAGACTGAGGGGGCCAAACCATCTTTTGAAGAACACCTTCCTCTTCTTTTTTGTCTAGGTAACCCTGACAGAGCTTGGCAGAGTGCTTAGGGTCATTGTCTTGCTGCAAAACAAACTTTTGAGCCACAAGTCTGAGGCCAGATGGAACAGCATGGTGCTGGAGGATGGAGTGGTACTGTTCCTTCTTCATGATACCCTTTACTTCAAACAAATCTCCTACTCCATCAACTGCAAAACATCCCCATACCATGGAACTGCCACCTCCATGCTGAATTGTGGGTGTAACACATGGTGCTTTCAGACGTTTACCAGTTTGTCTGCGGACATAGACTCTGCGTTTTGAACCAAACAGTGAAAACTTGTTTCTAGTCATCATAAGTCCAATTTTTGTGATCTTTTGCCCACTCATGTCTCTTTTTCTTGTTCTGTGGATGAAGTAGTGATTTTTTTGCAAATACACAACCCCTCAGACCAGCCTTTCTCAAACGTCATGTCACGATTGTCAGAGATATGGGTTTTGACCTTGTCAAGTTGATTTCCTCCTTTATTTGTAGTGCTGTCTTTCGCCGATCTCTCTTACTGGTGACAACGTTATGTTTATCCTCTGCTTTTGTAGTAACTCTCTTTCGTCCAGGTCTTTTTCTATCATCATAAGTTCCAGGTTCCTCTAGTCTCTTCAGAGTGTAGTGGACTCCTTTGTTAGACACCTTTAGGCGTTTTGTAGTTTCTCTTTCTGTGTATCCTTCTTTCCTTAATGTACAAATCTGCACTTTTGTGTCTTTACTCAGTTGCTTCTTTCTAGCCATTTTTGCGGTAGTTTGAACGCAGTTGATATTTATTAGGATTTTTGTTTGCAAACTCTCAAAAGCCAAAAAGTTGAGGCGAATAATCTAACTGTGATTTTTTTTTTTTGCTTTTGCACTGAAGTTCAACCCTAAAAATAAGCCCTTGTTATCTTTTGCTGACATATATTTAGCAACGGTCAATTAACATCAATGTATATCTAAAAGTTAATGGTGTAAAATGGTGCATTTCCATGAAAGCAACATCTGATCATGGAGTAAATACATCCCAAAATACATAAAACTCATGCTGGATTAAAAAAAAAAGTTATTCCCAACTGTTCGGCCTGTAATGGCCTTGCTTCCAAACTGCCTGTAGCGAACCTTAATAGTTTGATAGTGAAAAAGTACTGATGTATATTAACTAATGTATTCAGTAGATTTTCCCTTTCTTTGTTGTGGATGGCATTGTTCTCCTGAGTTAATGACCATCAAGTAAAAAATATCCTTGAGGCATGCTGAGACCTCATGTTTACAGAAAACACCCCAATTAAGAAACATTGAAAGGGCCACAGTGACCATGACCTTTGACCTTGGACCACCAAATGTTAACAAGAATTAAATCCATGTTGAGGTTTGTGCCAAATTTTAAATTATTCTCTCAAGTCAGATATTGCGTTCAGGTGAATAACTTTGAAATGATGGATCAGAATAGGACTTCTTAAGTTATTATGACCAAACTTTATTAATGAAATAATGATGACCCGTATTTTTGACCACAGAAAAAGTCATCAGCTCTTTCATTCAAGTGGAGATTTAGGCCTAAAGTGAGGCCCATCAGAATAAGACCAACAGACGGGCAAATATACAAGCTTTAAAACCTATACCTTAAATTACTGATGCAAGGAAAGTATGGAGACCAACACTGAACACCAGTCCAACACATCCAAAGAATTACCATCTTTTATATCAATAAAAGTCTATAAAGGTCTAATTTTTAATCTATGCATTCATGTTAACACCCTGAAAGCACTTGCAGGTAACTGGTTGGTTGCATTTGCCATAACAAAAGAAAGACAACAGCTGACAACTCTAGAGAAGCTAAATGAAGGAGAAACTGACTCACCTGGGTAAGAGCAACACAGATGCACTCAACAGATGTAGAACAGATAAATATTCAGTCTGCTGAGCAGCAGAGGAAACCTCAGCTCTAAACCTCATGCAAACCAGCCAGTGACTTCCCCGCTCAGTCCCACCTACTCATTACGAACAGGCTACAAGGTTTAAGAGTTCGTTTGGATTGAACCTCAAAACTTTCAGTTGGCATCTTTGAAAATTCCCCAGACTGTTGACTAATTGGCAAATCATTGCTCAACCAAAACCAAAACTTCAATGTAAAATATCTTAAACAATATTTAAGCGTTCCTACTGCAAGATTTATTACAGACTACTCTTGACTTAAATGTTGTGTTTTTTTATATGTTATCTTAAATATTAAAACATAAAACAGAAGAATTTGTGTTTACCCGTTTTGTTGAAACCAGGACAGGCAACATTAAGATATTCCTGAAGTTCTTTGATTTCGAGATATCACACCTATCAACTATACAGGCGCAGCTAACTAGACTGGTGGGCAGTGGGCAACCACATCACAGAAGTCAGCAGAGCACTACTTTTAAGTGAAGGAATCACCATACATCTGTCATACCAAGTCAGAAATTAACCACAGTGTTCACTTAATGAAGGCCAGTAACCACTGCTTTGCTGTTTTATTGGATTGCGCTGTAACAATAAAAACTTGAATTTAAGTCGGACTGAAGAGGGCACTATAGAGCAGAAGATACAACAGTAAAATTTGCTCTGATCTAGTTTTCAGCCTTGATTATGTCAACAGGGTTATTTGATATACAGGATAGTTTTCTGTCTACGAAGATTATTATTTAATTCAAAGGAAAAATGTTGCAGTAAATTGTTGGCAAAATTTAATCTAATTACAAGATACAAGATGCTTTATTGTCATTGCACTTATGCACAACGAGATTGCATTTGCAGATGGGGACACACAAGAGGGAGGGAGAGGAGGAGGTAAAAAAAGAGACTGCTCTCATTATTATGAGTGTAGTGACAAAAAAACCCTCAGCAACATGAGCACATTACTGACACCACATACACAGAGATTTGGAGACGTGCTATGGTTGTTGAGGGAGGGGGAGTAGTGGAATGGGTCATCAGTGATGGTGGGATTGACTTACTATAAAGGTGCATATGCAAGTTGAAAATGAAAGGGACCAAAGAGTGATCCCAGGGGTACACCAAGGCTTTTACTGTAACACTTCTCTTGTAAATTATTTTGAATTATAATAACACACACCACAAATGTATACCAAGTGGCTATTTTATTGAATGCATATATTTGATCAAATCACACACAACAGGTCTGTGAAATAATGTTTGTGGTAAAAATTATGAGTAATAAGCGACACTCTCAGTGAGGCATCTTGTTCCTTGACAGATCATTTGGGTGAGCAAAATGTTATCATCACCTATAAATGTTGTGTAAACCAGTTCAATCCAGTGTAAACTAAAGCTCCACTAATAACCATCTACAGTACAGTAACATTTTTCAGTGTATTTTTTAGTGGCTGTAAACTTTTAAAGCTGCAACTCCTTTCATATTTTGTAACTTCTTAATTACTGCCAGTGTGATCGAAGTAAACAATGAAATGGCTTTAACTAGAGTTTAGGGCTGCACGTTTAATCAGTTTTAAATTGTAATCAGATTACTTAAAGGCGGAATCAACCTGTCCACACGTAAACAAATTCAGGAGTTAACGCAAATGTTTTTTGTCGTATCGGCGTCTCATCCACATGGAGACAGGGTTTTGAGTGACTGTAAGTGGTACTTAAAAATACAAAAAAGGGTCAGAGTGCATAAATCTGTAAACGACGACCATTTCGTCTCTGTGTGGATGCCTATCTGCATCTCTTGAAATGATTATGTGACACACAATGTAACTCTTTTATGGCGCCTGCACATGTCCCGCCAAAACAACCTCCATGCCTATGCTCTGTACTGTTCCTCTGTCTGTTTTGCAATTCCTCTGCCGAGTTACAGCGCCACTTACTGGCTTGGCATATGCATTACATCATTTTCAGTGGTTTCGTTTTAAGAGAAGATAAAAAACTAAAGTGAAGTTTGGTGAAATTGTCACTGAATAAAATATTGAAATCTAAAATCGGATTTTCAGGGATAAAAAATCGTGCAGCCCAACTAGAGTTGTATGCATGCTGTATAAATTGCTTTTTATACCTAACAACTACAGACGGACAAATGAGAAGACACTTTCTAATTTGGCATTAACTAATAAAAACCATACGTATGCAACTTCAAATAAAACAGATTGTGAAAGTCACAGTAACTCAGTTAAATGTAAGAAAATGGACGGCATCAGAAACCAGCGTTAAAGTCTTTGTGGAGGAAGTGTGTGTGTTCACAGGCAGAGCTAGAAGGTGCTGTTCTGCCGAGCCAGAAAGTAATCCATTTTCTTTTTCCTCTTAGGTTTGAAGAGGACGTAGAGGAAGATGCAAACCACGGCCAGAAAGCAGGATGCAGCCAGGGCACCAAACACCAACCATGTGAACGTGGAGTCTGGAAGAGAAAAATAGGTAGGTATATGAATGTATTTAACAACTTTACTTCAAAGATTATCATCAAGTCAGAACAAAAGAGATCTCTTGATGCTGAACATGTGGAGCAGGTCTCGACTGTTTTCTTTGTGGTATTTTATTAATCATTAGTATACAAGAGTATACTCTCCAAAGAGTATACCAAGACAAAGTCTAACACACTGGTTTGTATCTGTCCGTGAATTTTACATCACAAGTACGAGATGGAGGCTCTCCCCCTGGTTTACAGAGGTTTCTACTACAACCAGGAACACAGGAAATGTTGTACTTAATTACACAGTAAACACATGTATACAAACATGACTCACCTTCTAGGTAAAGCTGTACAAACACTTCCTGTTTCCCTCCTTGGTTCTCAGTGATACACTTCAGCTCCGTCTTTGCATCTTCCTCTTTCACCGCTACAACAACCAGTCTCATCTCCACCTGGCAGCCCTCAGACACTCTGGTCACGCTGAAACATTGAGAATGAAATGTTAACATGTGAAAGTGAGGATGAACTTCAAGGCAGGATGTTTTTGTGATCACACTATGTTTTTTGGGGAAAAAAATCCAAAATTATGAAGATTTGTGTTAATTGTGGACAAACAGGCATTTATCCTAAAATGAAAAATATTTAGTGTTCAGTTCAGTCTTCAATGAGGCAATCACCTCTCTTAACTGTTTTTTTTTTTTTTTTTTTTTTTTTGTGGTTGAAGAGAATCGTGTCTTTATCTGGGACACACCTTAGAGGATGTGTCTTTTGTGTCCTGTGGCGGCAGTGCCCTCAATCAGAGCACTCCTCACCCACATTTACCGTGACACAGTTATGAAAGTTTTCTTGTACTTCCCCTTCTTTAAGTTGTGACATATCTATTTTAAAAAGCTCTGCATACCTAATATTTACTTACATTCAAAAAGAAAATACAAAAGCAAATTGATTGGACTCTACTGGAATCCACATTTTAATGACTCGTGCCGATATGGATGATGATTGAGATGGTCGGCCAGTGGAGGATACATAAAGCTATCCACTTTTCTTCAATTACCAGGTACCAAGAACTTGATTATTTAAGCATAATACAATACTGTGATCAGCAATTACCTCCTCCCCCCTTGCAGAGCCCGCCCATTAAGGTATGATGACTCCACCGATTGGCCGTTGACCTGCCATGTTACCAGAGTGGAATCTGACATTTGACAGTCAGTGAGCACTTTGCAGAACAGGTCCAGTCCTGCGCCTAAACAGATTCACAGGAAATTCAACATTATGAGATGTAAAGTCCTGAATCCTCTTTATATAAACAATCTTGAGATGGGAAAATTTATTAGGACTGAATGTTTTCATTACTTACCATGCAGACTCTCCAAAATGGTTCCGTTTACGGGTGAGACAATCACAGGTGGTGGAATAACATGAGCTGTGTCATAAGAAAATACAGTTAATCAATAGCAGCATTTATATTATTATTATTAATTATTATTATTTTAATCTCTAGAGGGACATTTCTGGTCTTAGAGAGGGTTCAAACACTCACAGTGAGGAGTGCTGCTGCTGCTGGCTGTTGGCTCTTGGTTAGAGGTCATGGAAACATCAGGCGCAGTGGTAGGGACAACAGGGTCTGCACCTGCACACACAAATTTAAGATATGTTAACACAACCATTAAAGCTCCTTTTTAAAACGACAGCAACAATGACTTATTTTACATTTTGATTATATTTCACAAGCAATGTGGAAGTGGACTGTGCGGCCCCTGTGGCGTATCTGAGTTAGTGTGTTGTAACCATTTGACCACTAGAGGGCAGGACATGCTCACTTTTTTATGGTGCTATCAAGAGAAACCAGACATCTGCAGTTTAAGGATTATTGTTATAAGGATTTGACTAAAGTTACTCACTTTGCACATGGAGCAAGACAGCTCTGCTGACTTTGTACTGCTGGTTGTTGATGAGCACGCTGAGCTGGCAGGTGTACAGACCCTCGTGGTTTTGCTTCACAGCTGGTATCATTAGGACTCCTGTGTCCCACAGAGATGAGCTGCCTCTGCTTTGCTGGGCTACAGTTGAGCTGGAGTTCTGTTAGAACATACAGGTGCATCCAGTTAATTCAGAAAGGTAAACTTCAATAATGCTCTTATATGTTATAAGTGTAAACTAAAATATTTCAATCTTTTTGTTTGAATTTTGGTGACTTGGCTCATCATTTTAAGCAAAAAGGGAATTAAACTACAGAAATGTCCTACTTTTGAAAGATATCTTTGTTTAAGCACTTGATACTTGTTTAAGGCTCCTTTACTTTAAGTTACTGCATCAGTGCTGTGTGGTTTGAAGGTGATAATCCTGTAGCTGCACTGAGGTGGTAATAAGAGGTTACATTGATAGCTTGTCTGTATTGTTGGGTGTTTCTCATCCATCCCTGTGTAGATACCCCACAGATTCTCTTTGGGGTTCAGGTCAGACCATTTGGCTGGCCAGTCAGGCATAAGGAATATGACTGTAAAGGTTTTGATACAGTGGGCAGGTGCTAAATCCAGCTGGAACAGGAAATAAACTTCTTGATAAAGAATGTTGGTAGATGGGTGCATGATGACTTTGAACTTGACGAAACACAGCTGAGCTACACCAGCAGATTATTATCACAGACTGTAGAAACTTCTACTAGACTTCAAGCATCTTAGACTCTCCGCTCTTTCAAGACATCAGTATTGTAGATCAAATGAAATGCCTGTCATCTTAGAAGCACTTTTGATCCCTTGGTGATAGCCAAGTCCTTTTCATCTTAGTGCAAGAGGGATGCTTTGAGTCTTGTTTCTGGTCCAAGAGAGCCTTGTTGTTAAGTATGTGACAGTTATAGCTCCTTTCCTGAAGACGTACAGTATCTGTCTGTGTTTAGTTTAGTCGACAGGGCATCTTTTCTCTCACCTTGTACCACTCTATCAGTCCGTCTGTCCGGTTAAAGTCACTCAGATCTGGACAGCTGTACCTCAGATCTTTCCCCACTGTGGCAAAGATCGGATAGGACAGTTTCTCCAGGTCCACAGAGCTCAACGTGAACACATGAAGAGTGATAGTCCCCTTTACACAGTAGGTTTCATTCCTGGAGAAATACACAAAAATCAGTGTGAAGTAGTTATTTCCATAAGAAGATTTGATTCTGTTGAGCAGAAAGTATTTTTAGCTTAATTGTGCAAAAAACAGTCATCATTGACTGGGAATCCCAGAGAAGTCACAGGTGAGGTAGTGGTTTTGATGCCCACCTGTAAGTGCAGGTATATTCCCCTGAGTCTGAAGCCTGAGCTGGGAGGAACCACAGTTGTTTGTCATGCTGCTGCACTCGCCCCTCTCCTGGATAGGCCACACCGTCTGTCCCATTGTGCTTTGTGATGAAGTACTTTGCCGTCCTTGGGGCTATCTTGCGAACCTTCAGCACGCTCATGAACATTGGGAAGGAGAGAATTATGGCCTCACCCTCCACTCTAAATATCATCACTTCTTCAGATGCAACGTAACAGCCGTCTACAAGGAGACAAAAAAATGAAGGTCAGGGCGACGATCCGGTTTGCTAATACATTTTTCAAAAACAACAATTTAGATCCATTAATGAATATTTTAGTGATTTTTTTCTGTGTGTAATGCAAACTCAACATAGTATACAAAAGCAGTATTAAAGGGATGTTCAAACACATCGTAACACCGAGTTAAACAACCCGTCGAGAGATGAATGTTGCCAACCGCTTGCTTCTCTAGTTATATCAACTTTAGTAGCGACTGCAGTATAGCAATACACAGCGGTCTGAGGAGCCATAAACAAACCTCAACCAAAATGCCACTCTATAGCCACAAATAATGCTCAGAACAGCACCTAACTTCATCAACAGTACATATACGATCCCAGCCACAGCACTAGCCACCAAACATCTGTTTAACTTTGCCCAATTTCTTTAGCAAAGAAACTAAACGCAACTCACCTACTCTCTTCCAGCAGCTGCTTGTTTGTAGCGAGACCTCGGACGAGTCCATTACAGACTGATGCGGGGTGACGCAGCTCAAGGAAGAACATTTATGATCATCAGTCCATAATGGACTGGTCCGAGGTCTCGCTACAAACAAGCGGCTGCTGGGAGAGAGTAGGTGAGTTGTGTTTAGTCTCTTTGCTAAAAAAATTAGACAAAGTTAAAAAGATGTGTGGTCACTAGTGCTATGGCTAGGATCCTATAGGTATTGGGTGTCTAACTCAGTGTTACGGTGTGTTTGACCCTAAAATAATTTTATGCCGGGATATCCCTTTAAGGGTAAAGTAGAAATGTTGTCATCACAGAGTTTGTCTGGTCAATTTCATTGCAACACTGTTTTTTTACAACACTGTCTACAGTTGAACACCACAGCAGACGGTAGAAAGCAGAAGCATTGGTCTTTTGAGTATCTCGTCACAAGCACAAGATGTTTGAATATAGATTTATTAAGTTTGTCCGACTTAAAATGGACTTTTAAACTTAAAAACAAAATCAAACACCAGAAAACTTTTGGTTAGAATGTTTCAGCAGGCCGCTAAATTTAAGATAAAATGTTCATCAATCCTACTTTCACTAAATACAACCCAGACAAGGTTATATCACAAGACGACATTTCCGTTCAGTCATACATTTCTGATGCTTTGCATGCTCACCTTCCAAGGGCAGAGGTGGTAGTGGTGGAGGTCTTCCATAAACATAATCCATGACGGCTATGGCGAAGATCAACACCAGACGAACCATGGTGGCGGTCTGCTTTAAAAAAAAATATCCGGAATAAAGGATCCACTTGAAAACATAGAGGGATTTCTTCAGTGATGAGAAAGCAGGATTTGTTCATTGGCTGTCATTGAAAAGTTTATGATTTGATAGTTTTTATGCCAAAGCTGAAGTGCCATTCAAGAGCAAACACTGAGAATAAGCATCAGTTAGATCCTGATTTTGGTTGATGCTGGTTATAGCCGTGTTGTGTTGACATCTTCAAATTGAAACCCTTTAAATACTTTGTAAAACTAGTGACATCGTAAGAATCATCACGTAAACTCGAGCACTCCCTCTCAAAACGCCTCCACGCTCTTGAGCCAAATATAACCTCGAGGGTTTACCATCGAGATGATGAGTCACTGAAATTGGTTAAAGGTCGAGTCAATCAGATGCTGGCAAGAATCTCCACTGACGACATCAAAGGATCTTAAATGACTCTTTGTGTTGCAGATATTTTTGAATGAAGGGATACCACTGAGGTGTTCAAAAAGGTGTTTTTCAGTTTTGTAAAATCAGCTTCAGAGTACATGAACTAGAATATCTTTCTGTGGTAGATCAAGCTCCAACTGGCTGTTCATGTAAGTTTTACCTGATATGCTAGAATTAGGGTGAATTTTTTACTTTTTGAATAAGCCATTGCTGTAAAAATAACCGATCAATTTAAAAAAATGTTTCAGAGCTAGATTTCTGTTTTATTATATTGCGTATTTGAGGGACTTTCACACCGTCACATATTGGTTGAATATATTTGAACTTTTAGGGTGATATAAAACTAAATTCTTGGAGCGTTATTCCACTTTACTCTTAGTTCATTATGGAATTTTTTGAAGGGAAGGTTAATCTCCAGTTTCATGCAGATACATTTTGCTGCAGAGTTAAATCATCATTTCCGCTGAGTTTTCACTTCTGCTTCTGACGGATAGAAACTCCTTTCCACAGACCCGCTCACAAGGGCAAAAGTAATGTATGATTCCCTGATAAAACCCTCGGATCAGTGTGTCATCACAGAGCAATCCCATTCATAAAAACTGTGGGTGTAAGCGTACGTGTAAACATGAGTCATTAAGCACTAAATGTCAAAGGGATTAAATTCAAACTTTAGTAAAGGCGTAAATGGTTTTGATGATTGGCCTATTTCATATTTTGAATTAGCTAATTTTGGATCAGACCCTTTTAGTGTTAGTAAACAGTATGATGTTTTCTTTTGGTGTCCTGGGCTTAGCAGGAGGCGAAACAGTCCTCCAAACATGTTAACCAGCAGAAGCTAGCAACTTGTTTTTTGCTTTGTAGTCAAGGTAGCACTGCTTCCTCTGAACCCGATCCTTTCACTCAGGACCGAGTGTGTTGCTTGGATAAATTAACTCTAACAAACGGGAGCAGATAAGCCCAACCACACACTCAGTTTGACAGGTGATTTGACAGGACAGTCAGACGTGAAATAGTCACTTTACTGTCAGAAAACAGTTATAGAGGTTACGACTTACTGTCGATAAGTGCAGGCAGGTAACAAGTAAACAACTTTCTCAGTTTTGTGTGGCCAGATCTGTCAGCTGTTTTATCAAATCTGTTTTTGTTTTTGTTGACGAGTAATGGCGATGTATGGAAGAATTACACAATGTATTATACAATAGTTTTAAGTGGCATCAGACTCCCATGACCCCCTTATGAGTCATTTTGTTTCGCCTTGTTTCAGGAGTGTAAGAGTGGCACAGATGTAGTCAAATGTTTTCCATGATGAACATCAGTGAGCTGGTCAGATGATAAATTGGGATTATCAGCAGGATTCTGACAGATGTCCCTATCAATTTCAATAATAACACATTATCATCATCAGCAGAAATGACTGCATACTAGATCTAAAGCTGTTACTGGCTAGTGTTGAATTACAGTTCTATTGAAATGTATGGAAATAATGCAGTTTAATATTGCTCTAATATTGCTCTAATTTACAATTTCATGAATTATTAAAAAATCCATTCAAAACATTTGATAACCATGACAATTGGCTTGGACCGTGCATAAAAATAAAATGATACAATTATACATGACTTTATTTACCAGCTATTTTCTCAATTTTCATTATTACAGATGGTTCAAATTTAATATTTAAGTCCCCTGTAGCAATACTTTACTGAGACAAATGTTATTCAGTCTTCTTTTATGTGATAAAATCTTCATTTTTATATTTTATCAGATGCAAAATAAAACAGAAACTTAATACTGGCAATGTACACTGTCAACATCAGCTTTGGCATCAGCTGCTTTCAACCTCTTATATATATATTTAGTTAACCAAAATCAATAACATAAATCACATAAATAATCTGACCACTTTGGATGACTAAATGTTGTAAATTCCTCTCAGTAACAAAACACAAAAAATTTACATACTGTTAGCTCAAACGTATACTCACAGTGCATGCTTTTGTACATATACATAAAGATTAATTAATAGTGTATAGTATAATATAAAGAGTAGTATAGTTTACTTACAGAGTGGAGGTAAGCGTGGTATCTCCAGTGGCAGTGTGAGGGTGATCACAGGCAGACGTGGTGACAGCGTCTGGTCAGTTTGCTGACACTCAGGGGGAACCTGCTCTCTCTTTTTAACCTTCCCAACCCTCTGAGATGGAAATTTCTCAGGTTTCCCAATGTAACGCAGTGTTCTGCACAGCTCACCAAACATGACTCCTTCACACACACACTTACTCATATGCACATATTTCTTACATTGTTGAGGAAGAGTTAAGTTTTTGCCACTTAGAGAGATTTTGGGAGTGTTCATTGAGAAAAAATACAGCAGTGCAGATTTACAAATGTTTACAGCTTTTCCTCTGACAACATTTGCCTCTTGCGTCATTAGTAGACATCTCTGTGTTTGTTTAAGTGCAAACACACAAACTACACATGCATGAGAGAAGGGTAGTGACGGAAAATTTGTTTGTAGAGCTGCACTGATTTATTAATATGCCAAATATCAGTCGCAAATGTTTCAGACAGTTGAGTCTGGGAGATGAGGAATTTTTGGAGTAAAATATCCCAGTTTTTTATTTTATTTCAATCTTAAATTTAAATGTTTCCTGACTGTGGAGAAAAACAGGACTTCAGAGCCCATCATCTTTACCTACAGTAATCTAATTGTCATTAGTTTGCAAAAGTATACTGATAAACTATTGGATCAAAAAACTCAACAGTCTTATGTTGCACAATATTACATAAGCATAGGCTGATTATAGTCAACTATCATCAGCAGATATAAACATTTCTGCTAATATGATAATCTGCCCAAAAAAAGTGATCCATTAATAATGTGCATGAAGTGAAAGTAGACAAATCGCTGAATGTCAAAAAAATCTATATCTTATCAAAGAGTGTCCATATGGTATAAATATATTGATAACATTTTGGCTGGCCAATAAGAGTTTAGGCATATCAGATATTGGCAAAAATGAAATCTTATGCATCCTTAGTTTCTTTTCCATTTTAGCAAAATGACAAAACTATCCATTACTCTTAGTTTATCTCGCAGACAGTTAAGGTTTTGTCTTTTAAGAAATGAGTCTGATTTCTGCGGCTTAAAATAATCTCATCACCTCCATCTTAATACCTGACAGAAAGTGTTGTAACTGCTCCTCTAAGTACTGACTGAACTTAAAAGTTAAGATGTCATGTTGTCAAGCTGTGATTTACCATTTTTGAGATGTTTTTCATTCATTTTAATCCTTACATATGTTTAAAAACAGACTATTTGATTATTGAGATATCTTCACTTGGGTCTTGTCTTTTTTTAAAAGTCGTGCTTCGTCTGAAGGAGTAAAACAGATGAATGGAAAAAAAGGACAGGCGTACTGCACTGAAACATGTGCCACTCCCTCTTGCTTGATTTTTCCTTTTGTTTGGTGTAGTACGTGTGCATGTGCACATCCATAAGAGCAGGTAAAATTCAATATTGCATTAGAAAGTGTAGGAGGGAGGTGGGGTAGAGAGCAGTGAGAACTTCTGAATGATTGATTTTTCTAATGAAGTAAAGGGATAGTTCTGCCAACACACTATGACCAACAGTTTTTTCCTTTTTTATATCTAATTACTTGAGGTCATCACACAGTATTTGGTGGCTAAGTAACTCATTTAAGATAATACAAAAAATTTGATATAGATATAAATGAAATTATGAATGTAAATCTTAACTCCTGGCTCCTTGTATTTATATTTATAACTAACAACAATGATAAGGGTTTAAAGTTCAGAAGTTGCACACATAGAAATGCAAATTAAGCTTCATATTAGCATTACTATCTTGAGCTGGAGAAGATCAGAAATAAGTTTCAGTTTCAGGGAAAGTCTTGTTGATTTGAAAGATATTGTTAAAACCTAAACCTATTATAAAAATAAAGTGTTCATATATGTTTCAATGATCTGGTTTTCTAGTTCATTTAAATTCATACAGATTGAAGCAAATTTCAAGTGAAAAAAGCAGGTATTTTGACCCTCAAGCTGAACCCAAAGCTGATCTCTCTTTGGTAAATTATCAAGAAAACCTGTAACGTTGGTGTGACTCAGTGCTCTGTCATCTCTGCATAGAAACCAGGCCATCCACTCCTGCATCACTCAGGTTGGTCACACTGATCGTGACAAGGCATTTTACAACACTGGTGTACTTTGGCTGATGACATTGCTGCTCTTCAGTGATGCAAGCGGCAAGTTGGTTGTCATGGAAACATACATATGAAGCCCTTTGCACCAGAATGTTTCCCGTATTTCTGAAGGGCTGTCTGTAGAATACCTGACGTCCACTCTGAATCAACAAAGAGGTGAAAGGTCAGATTTTTGTCAATCAAAGGTCAGACGTGGTTTGTCTGATTTGTTTGGAATAATTCAGGAGGTTTTTCTTTGAGATAAAAAAGTTTTGTCTGTAAATAAGAACAATTCCATGTTTGTGACTTTCATATTTGCTGAGATGGTGTCATCCTCTCAAAGCG